TAAACGTACACATATATAGCCTTTTTTGAAATCTACACAGACATGCACCACATGCCTGGTAAGTCTAGTAATGACTATATATATGTGCGCACGAGCATTTTTCATGCCTACATACATAGATACATAAATCCACAGGTACACATGTTTTCATACACGGCAGCGTACATAGATGTCTGTGTGTGCGAGAGATCCCAATGCGTAATCGTTCAACTCTGGAGTTTGTTTTTCGCACTCTGCAGGCAGAGGTGGAGGCTTGCGAGGCCAAGCAGAAAGAGCTCGAGGCCCATCCGTGCGTTGCTTGACAACTTTTTCTGAGGGTTCCGAGCGGTTTGGGGCTTAGTCGTTTCTCATGCCGATGTACACATAAACTAGCTTGTATGGCTATCTAGAAATTTTCAGGGCGGCGGGGGGGGGGGGGGGTGGAACCTGTCCGGCAGGATTGGGGTGAAGTCGTTGCTGGGAGGTGCTGGCACTATTTTGAAGCGAACAAAACTGTCAGCCAGCATTGGGGTAAAGTCGTTGTTGGGAGGTGCTGGTGCAATTTTGAAGCAACCAAGCCATCTAAGATCGGAGCAAAGTCGAGCTGGAAGGTGCTGGCGCCAACCAAGCTGTCAGCCAGGATTCGGGTCAAGTCGCTGTTAGGTGTTGGCGCCGTTTTGGAGAAACCAAACCTGTCAGCCAGGATTGGGGGGAGAGTCGTTTTTGGGAGGTGCTGGCGCCGTGTTGAAGCGGCCAAACCTGTCAGCCAGGATTGGGATAAAGTCGTTGTTGGGAAGTGCTGGAGGCTCTTTGAAGCGACCAGTAACCAGACCTGTCAGCCAGGATTGGGGTAAAGTCGTGTCGTTGCTGGGAGTTGCTGGCGCCGTTTGAAGCAACCAACCGTGTCAGCCAGGATTGGGGAAAGTCGTTGTTGGGAGATGTTGGTGACGTTTAGGAGAGACCTAGCCTAACCTGTCAGCCAGGATTGGGGTAGAGTCTTTGTTGGGAAGTGTTGTCGCCTTCTGAAGCAACTAAACCTGTTAGCCAGGATTGGGGTAAAGCCGTTGTTGGGGGGTGTTGGCACCATGTTGGAGAAACCAAATCTGTCCGCCAGGATTGGGGGAAAGTCGTTGTTGGGAGGTGCTGGAGCCATTTTAAAGCAACCAAACCTGTCGGTGTTGCAGCCATTTTGAAGCAACCAAACCTTGCAGCCAAGATTGGGGTAAAGTCGTTGTTGGGAGGTGCTGGCGCCACGTTGAAACAGCCAAACCTGTCAGCCAGGATTGGGGTGAAGTCGTTGCTGGAAAGGTGCTGGCACCATTTTCAAGCAAGGGAAAAGTCGCTGTTGGGAGGTGCTGGTGCCATTTTGAAGCAAACAAAGCTGTCAGGCAGGATTGGGGTGAAGTCGTTGTTGGGAGGTGCCCGCGTCAGAATGAAACATCCGAACCTGTCAGCCAGGATCGGGGTAAAGTCGTCGTTGGGAGGTGCTCGCGCCATTTTGAAGCAATCAAGCCAGTTAGCCAGGATCGGGGTAAAGTCGTTGTTGGCAGGTGCTGTCGCCATTTTGAAACTAAACTTGTCAGCTCGGATTGACGTAGAATCGTTGTTAAGAGGCGCTTGCTGCTGGCCGCTATTTCTTCTGGGGGTAAGACTCGGTTAGACGGTTAGATTCTGCAAGGGCCTGGACTCACGGAATCGCGTAGCTTTCCCAGCTTCCCTGCACAGCACACCCGCCGAGACCGGAGAGTCGTTGAGAGGGTGTGGCAGAGTGAATGTTAGCTGGGCGAGGGGCCTTCCTGGCTGCATTCTTATTCTTGTTGCCTTTTTGTGGAATTAAAAGTTGAGCATGCCGCTGCAGACGATTCGAGTGGTTTTCGAACCCCGGACCCATAAACCACGGCTTCGTCGAACCGTTTGTTTGTGGTAGGCTGTTTAATGATCTAGCTCACGATTGAGGTGGAGAGCGCAAGAGAACTGAACTTCAGCACACATCCGCAGCACTCGCCTCTTGAGTGGCCCTTGAATCGGAACCGATTTCAACAGCAGTCAAAGCTGCGATATTGGGCCTTTTCCTTTGCCCATGCCGCCAGGGCGTGGTGAATCCGATCATGGTGAGGCGCAGGGCTTGTTCTGGGGGCTTCTTCTGGATTTGGGCTGTGGAAATTTCACGGACCTGCTGATTTGATACATTGATATGCCTGAACTCGCTGAGACATCGCGAGTTGGATTCCTGACAGTCAAAGGCTCTGTCCAACGAGCGCCGATCCTCATCTTCGTCTTGCATTCGCAAGTCCATGTCACATGGTCTTATGGTCTTACCTTACGCAAGAAATGAGGAACTGCCGAGGGCTTCTTATGCGGCTGAAAAGCCCGAAGCCTTGCCTGAGCAAGTCATCAGGATCTACGGCGAAACGGCAAAGGAAGGAGGCGGCGACGCCAAGGACTGCTGTGGTTTATGATATGTCATTTCGGAGCTTACAGTGTAAGGTTTTAGGGTACTACCGGGGCCTTGGTGTGAGGGGCTCGCGGACCCTTGACTCTGCTCCAGCTGTTGGGTGGAATCGGGGGGTTCAGCCTGCAAGCAAACACTCCAATGCGGCAATGCTGCCGTATGTTGTGGTGCCTTCTATGCCAGGAGTTGATCTGAATCTAGGCAATGAATCTGAGAAATCGGAGTGTCACTTAAGCAGGGAGTCCCCGATAGAAGTCGCCCAGGAAACCCAAAGCACCATTCAATCGACCGGTAGTGGAGAAATCTAGAGTTCTAGAGTCCAGAGAGCCCTTGCTGTTGTATTGTACTTGAACTCGAGACCCTCAGACCTGCCGCAAACACTAAATCCCCACGGAAAATCTAGGATGTTATTTGGCTTCCATGTGGTTTTCATGATGGTCTTTATGAGCGTCTTCTTCGGGTTCTCCAAGAGTTGGATTCATTATGCCCTGCCCCGGCCTCCCCGAGAGTCAGAGCGCAAAGCTCCGCGCAGGACTCCAAGTTCTCGGAGGAGTAGGTGCCTACGCGTAGGTCTCCGCCCCGGAGAGTTCGGAGACTCCAGACCTCGCAAGGAGTGAAGAGTCCGACACAGGGTCTTCCTTGATTGAGAACAGTGGAGTCTCTGGGTGTGGTGCTTCTTTGAGAACGAACCGCCAGAAGAGCCGCAAGACCCATCGAGGCTTTCGAAGAGACGTCGGCCGGCTGCAGCTTTGGATACCCTGAAACTCTTGGCATCAAGGTTTGGAAGGTTCCTGCGTGAAAGGCATCGACACCCTCCCGGAGGGAGGGTAGTAGCTCGTGGAATAGAGGGAAGCTCTTCTTGGAACCAGGTCGGCTCTTATTGACCCTGCGCATCACCTTCGTATCGCGGAAGCCTTTGAACCGTAAGCCTCTACCTGGTTTCGAGAAGCGCGCCCGTTCCTTGCACAGGCGCTACCTTTACCAACTAAGGGAAGGGCCGGCGCTCGTGTGTGACATGACCACGGTGGGGAGGAAAGGATCTATGGAAACCGCTGCGTTAAAGTTTCGTTTTTGGACATCCAGCTTTCGAGAAGCTGAGACTCTGTTTAAACGACCTTCAGACTTCGAGTTGGGTTTCAAGCTGCTTTTCTGGAGTCTAGAGACTTTCCGAGCCAGCTCCCGCGCCTGCAAAGACCCTAGCAAGCCGGGGCACCTATTGCCCGGGCGTTACAGCGATCTGCAAGGAAGAATGCTGTCAGCCCAGCGAGTGCCAGACAAGACCAACTTACGAAATCAACATGCAGATGCTTCTGACCCTTGTGAGCCCGCGCCGGGACATGCTCAAATCGCGAGTGCCTGGCTAGTGTATGTGTGTGTGTGTGTGTGTGCCAGTGCCATGACGCTCCTGGCTTTGATTCTCTCAGCTTTGGCAGTCGTCCAGAGCCGAGCTGGAGGACCTAAATTCCTCAAAAGGCTTTGCCAACTGTCAGGTCTCGATGCAACTGTAGGAACATGTTGTGGAGTACTTGAAGCAACCTTAAGCCGACATTGGTACATGACTTTCTCGTCCATACCTTTTGTTGTAGTATTGCTTCGTGCTGAGTGAAGACTAGAAATTCGGCCTGCATGATCCCAAGCAATCCATCTGTTGATCCCTCAGATTGTGTTGTGAATGCAGCCGCTTTCTATACTTTTGGGGGATCCTGCGGATGAGCATCGGCAAGCCTCACAACCTTGAATGTGTCTCGCGGGTGTGTCTGCCTTGATTCAATTTAATCTAATGGTTTGAAGAGCTCGACATGCACTACGGAAACTCAAACCACAAACCGTGCCGAGCAGGACATGCAGGACACAAGCACCTGGCCGTCGTCCGGGTCTTCTCGACAGGTGAAGAATTGCAGGCATTGATGGACAGTGTCCCGAAGTGGGATGTGCGCGGTGCAATTCCGTGCACGACGAAGTCGAACATGAGCGAGATCGATCTCATCTTGGTTTACAGCAGGGACCTGGAAACCGACCCACGTGCCAAAGAGAGAGTGGGTGCCATGAGGATGCTTTCCTTAATGATGCCTTCGGCTGGATGAGGTGCTTTTCCAACATCAAGAACATGTCGGCCAAGCTGAACCCGGAGCAGCACGTCCATGACAGCCCGGAGCAACACGTCTATGACAACCGTGGCTGAACCACGAACAAGCACTGGGTCTCCGGCCGCAATGCCGTCTTCTCGAACATCATGATGGCCATGATGGAGGGCGAGCTGCACGGCAACTACGACATTTTCTTTCTCATGGAGATGGATGCTGTTCCCATCAAGGACCACTGGCTCGACCAGTTCGAGACGGAGGCCCGCGAGATGGCCGACAATGGCATGGCGATCCGCGGGAGCCAATACCTGGGCGGCAAGTGGGACTTGTTCAAACCAACCAAGCCGACCTACCTGGTGGAGCACATCAACGGCAATGCGATGTACAACCTAAAGCACCCTTGGACCAAGGCGGTGTACGATGCATTCACAAGCATGGATGGCGGCAACATCATGGAGGAGATGGCCTTCGATGTCGCATTCGCCATGATTACCATGGATGCGATGTCAGGGAACTTTAGCGAGTTCGCAGCTGCTTGGGCGGCAGCAGGGGGCAACAACAAGACCTACAACTGGGACTCCATGCTTGTAGGCAACTATGCCAACACCCTTCTGAGCACCAGCTTCGAGTTCCCGACTTATATCCGCTACTGCTCCATCAAGAACCTGTTCGCAAGCTTGGATGACGAGAATGTGACGCTCGGCGTGGCAGTGTCCGATCACCAGGGGCACTTGAAGGACACCATCCCCACACATCACCCCTTCAAGAAGATCCTGGCTCTGACCTACTACCCGCATCAGCAGCAGATTAATATTGAGATGTATGATGGTCCAGTCGGCAACGTGACCATAACGACGCAGGCAGCCACAGGACATCCCTTGTACCACCTTTGCGAGACTGCCAGGCTTGTTGACACCAAGTGGTTCGCCCTCACGGACAACTACCACATCATCAAAGCGCCAGTAAGCGTTCTGATGGACACTGGCGACAAGCCCTTGCTGCCGTACATCCCGAGAAACTCGAAGCACTATGGCGAGCTTTTCAACTGTGAGGCTTCAATGTCGCAGGCGGAGGGATTGTTCGGCATCACCTTGAACTACCACCACGACAAGTACGAGGTGCTGTACAAGACGGACCATGCCAAGATGTTCTGTGATGCATGGGACCTTGCAACAGGCAGCGCAGCAAACGAGTCGTGGGCTAAGTGCAGCTCGTCCCTTGGCCCAACCGGGGATCTGGAAGATCTCCGTGGACCAGAACATCACTGAGGAGTTCATTCCGAAGGACAAGACACGCTACGGCTGGAGAGCCTGGACGAGCCAGTGGAATCCGGCCCCGGTTGACAGTCGCGCGTGGACACCGATGCTCTGTGGCTTTGGCCTAAGCATCTTTGCTTTACTGGCTGGCTCTTCCCGATGAGCAACTGAGTTTTGCTAGTGTGTTGGTAGGGCTTAGGACTTCAGGGTTTCGCCTTTCATGGCGATTAGGTGTAATGGGTTGTATATACATCATAGGGTAGTTGTAATGGGTTGTATGGTTGTATATACATCATAGGGGAGCTGTAGTGCTCGAACGTAGTCTGACGATTTCACACCCTAAACCCTAGACCCTAAATCCTTATCCAAACACTGCAAGCCGAACACATCCTAACACACCCTTCTCCAACCGACCCCTTAAAACCCTAATTTCTAAAATCCTTAACCTGAAGTTCCTAAAACCTAAATCCTCAACCTTAGACCCTTAACCATTTAAAACCCCTAAACCCTAAATCCTAAACCCCCTAAACCCTTAAAACCTTAAACCCCTAAATCCTAAACCCCCAAACCCTTAAGCCCTAAACCCCTAAATCCTGAGCCCCCTAACCCTTAAACCCAAAACCCCTAAATGCTAAACCCCCAAACCCTTAAACCCTAAACCCCTAAATCCTGCCCGTCTGCGGTGGCGCCTTCGACGTCCAGTGGCTGCCGGAGGCTCAGGGGTTTAACAACTAAATTAGTTGTTGTATGGTACCGCCGTCAGCAGCTGGCTGCTGCGCAACAGCTGGCTGCTGCACAACAGCTGGCTGCTGCGCAACAGCAGCAGCTGCAGCTCGCAGCGCAGCAGCAGCTCGCTGCGACGGCCGCGGAGGCGGTCCTCGTTGAGGACCCAGGGCTGAGCTTGGGGAACCACAGGTAGGACCCAGGCCAGCCCTCCCCCCGGTCGCCAAGGTGACAGAATTCAAAACATGCATGAGGAGAAGAAAAAGAAGGATTCGTGACGGTCTGTTCCGCATTGAGATAACTAAGCTGCAGTGCTCGTTTTCACATGTTGGTATTTGATTGGAATTCTCCACAAAGGGCCGTTCAGCGCTAGCCGTGTCACCGCTGCCGTTCCTTTCCGAAGGTTGTCGCTTCTCCCTAAAGATCATAATACTTGTAAGTTGATGTTTGATGCAGCACCTTCCGTGGCAAGAGATGTGGATTTGGCAATGAGCGGATGCCGTCAGTGAGCCATGCATCCTTGGACTGGCTCCAAGACCGCAGCCACCAAGCCCAAAACCACAAACGGGGCATTGCAGCAACTCAATGCATGTTTGACACAATCAATTTTGACTCCTGGTGCCCATCTTGCTTGGCTCTGCCCCTCGTGTAGTTCGGAGTCTTGTGGGATCATCCGCAAACACGGTCCGTGTGTGTGTGTGTGTGTGTGCATGCAACATCTCATGTTGTGTGTTTACGCTGGTGTCGCGGAGCGGTGCGGAAGTGCCGAGCTATGGTGGATATTCCAGACGGGCCCAGCGAGGCCTGGGTTTTTCATCGGTGGACAGGCTGCCGAAACCAGCACATGCCCTGTGCCAAAATACGCTTGATGACAACATGCATCCTCTCAACCTGTCACTACGGTCAGGTGCGCAACGTCGGGTCCCTCCCAAGAGGGCGCCCGGCGTACACTCGATGGCAGCTGCATGAGGACCCCCCGCGAATTCTACAGGGGGGTTTCAGATGGCTTGACTCAGCTATGCGCGTGTTTGGCCAACTGGTGCCGCAGGCCATGGAACGGCGCCGCAGAGGCAGCCCGACGCAACCCCAGGCTGGCTCAGCGTGGTTTAGGGCTCTTAAGGCTCTGCGGCAGGCACCCTTTCTTTGGGGCTTGCGGCACCCTGCACCCGAAACAGTCCCTAAACGCTGAACGGCGTACAGTCCGAGACCCGAAACCCCAACTATTCGGGCCTGCAGATCGGAGTAGCCGCGAAAAATTGATCTGTGTGCCATTTCTAAGTGATGGTGCTACTGGTAGTCAGGTCCAGCGGAGTGGCCACAGTAGGAGTTCAGGGCGAGGGGACGGGGGGCTGGGTAGAGGGGGGCCGGGGTGCCTGTGACTTTCAAAATCAGTGTCATGCTCGTTGGACAAGACACGAGTGGGTCGACGTTTCGCCCTCTCAACGCCATCTCGCTTTTGCGCGGGGGCCTCTACTGTGTAAGCTTCACCACTTTCCAGCTGCCGCTATACACATACCTTCTTCCGACGTCGAAATCTCTTGACGGCCCTTTAGCTGCATAGTTTGAACATGATATGGGGCAAAGTAATGCGTGAGAAATCCTCTAAGGAGAACTTGTTCCAACCATGTTGATCGACCGTTGCGATTTGAAGCCTATCATGCCCATGACTGCAGCAGCGCTTCTTCGTTGCCTCGATGCTGCATTGTTGTGTGAGGTATGATAGTTGCTATCCTGTGTAACCTGCAATAACCAAGACTTGCCCATTCCAGTAGAGAAGAAATGGAAACTTCAATGCCGAATTTGCAAGATACGGAGGAGTTTTCGGAGCTGTTCCCGGAAAAAAGCCTTAGGAAATCTGACAAAAAAGGACGCCACACCCTCCTCAATTACAGAACAACGACACCTCCGAACAACTGAAATGCAACTTCTACAAATCACTGGCACCAACGTGATGAAAAAACTACCCTGGGCTGGATAGAGATGGAAGCAACAACTCGAAGGCGGCGCCTCCTGGGGTGGTTGGCGGCATCGGAAGTGGCCAAGCACAACAGCAACACGGACTGCTGGGTGGTGGTCGACGGCCAAGTGCTGGACGTCACAAGCTTCTTGTCGGAGCACCCCGGGGGTGAGCTGGTCATCCTCATCTTCGCTGGCAAAGACGCCACGGTGGAGTTCAACATGCTCCTCGGCTTGCATCGGCTTGGATGTTTTGCCAGAGCATGGCGAGGAGAGCCCCAGAATAGTGTGACCGTCTGCTGCCCACACGAGGACTCACCTTCCTGATGTTATCGGCAGGTATGCCCCTTTCTTTGCGATCGGTGTCGTTGGCGGGGTGGCCGGCATGCCGCGGCTGACCTGCCGGTAAGCGTGGCCAAGTCGGGCAAGCGAGGTCTTCGCTACGACCAGCGGATTTGGTTCCGGGGGAGACCATGACCCTGGTCCGGGTGGCAGCGAGAGCAGCATGCTGAAGCATTGAGTTGAGTCAGGTCAAGTGATGTCAGTCTGGGGTAACATAGTCGCACTGCTGCTTCAACATTTTTAGGTAGGGTTCGCCATGCCAGGGAAAGTTTGAGCCACCATATTGTCTGCCAAGAGTCAAAATCTTCGCGGTGTTTGTTCTCTAAGATTCGTGGCACGTTCACGCAAAACTCAATGCCGTCACGACTCTCTGCACCCTGCTCTACAACCTGCACTCTAAGCCGACATCCCTTTTCCACGTCGCCTTTTAAGGAAGATCATGACCTCCAACCACAGATTGGGTCTGTGACACACAGCGCGATCTTGCTGATCTTGTTCATCGTCATCCATGCAATAGCAAACCTTCAAGCATTTAAAGGCCTGCTTGCGGGTGCAGACATGCTGCCTTGTGAGCATCGCTGGTACCAGTGACCCCTGATTATGCAGGCTATTTCGATGTACACATCTACTGGACGGGCCTGCCGGCCAGTACCTTCTCCTGTCCATGCTGCTCCACGTCTTCGTGTGCCTGAGGCGAACCTGGGACATCAAACTGGCTCTGGTGCAGACTCGGCGATCTCAGCGCATCAACGTCCTGAACCTGGCCATCTCCGGCCTAATGCTTCTGACCTTCATGGCCATCCACCTTTTGCAGTTCTGCTTCGGACACGTTCAAATCAAGCAGCTTTGTGCACATAGTCGTTTCGCCACACACGTCTGACGGGGCTGTTTGTGTGCTATTCATTCCAAACTGCGAGGTGAACGGCACCCTGCCAGACGGCCTCGCTCGTGGCCCCCTCGCGGACAAAAGAGGACCTTTCGAACCCTGATCTATTCTCAGTGCTCTGAGTCTGCACTGGGCATCTTTTGATGCATGCTGCATTTTGTTGCAGTCATATTCCATAGGTTTTCGGCTCAAATCAAATGTCAGGCTAGCATAGTTGGCAATGCTTCTGCATGTGGAGGGCGCCGTATCGGGTGGACAAAGCAGGAGGGCGCAATATTATCAATATTACTACTACTACTACTACTACTACTACTACTACTACTACTACTACTACTACTACTACTACTACTTCTACTACTACTACTACTACTACCACCACTCCTCCTCCTACTACTCCTGCTGTTGCTGCTACTGCTACTGCTACTGCTGCTACTACTGCTACTACTGCTACTGCTACTGCTACTGCTGCTGCTGCTGCTCCTGCTACTGCTACTGCTACTGCTACTGCTACTGCTACTGCTACTGCTACTGCTACTGCTACTGCTACTGCTACTGCTACTGCTACTGCTACTGCTACTGCTACTGCTACTGCTACTGCTACTGCTACTGCTACTGCTACTGCTACTGCTACTGCTACTGCTACTGCTACTGCTACTGCTACTGCTACTGCTACTGCTACTGCTACTGCTACTGCTACTGCTACTGCTACTGCTACTGCTACTGCTACTGCTACTGCTACTGCTACTGCTGCTGCTACTGCTACTGCTACTGCTACTACCACTACTACTTCTATTGCTATTGCTACTGCTACTGCTACTGCTACTGCTACTAGTACTGCTACTCGTGCTCGGCTTCTGCTTTGTGTGGCAAGAATAGAGAGACCTGGGCTTCAAGTCAGCTCTGCTGTTGGGATGTCCACAAGGAGTTCAGGCGGCCCCATTCATGTACAAGCAGCCGGGTATTCGGGTAGTCCTAGGAATGAGCTGACTGGGCATGCGCACTTTTTGTTCATGCTCTATCAAGTGTTCCATGTCGCTTGCAAGTGTGGCCGTTCAAACCTAACTAGCCATCGTTTTCAACATCCTTACTGCAAACACCAAAATTGGTAGATTCCGAGTACATTAGAATCTCTCCAGGCACGCGCACCGCGAACAAACAGCACGCGGGCAGCGGCGCTTTCCGGACTACGGACGCTTCGAGCGATGTGGAAAGGTTGTGTTTTGGACGTTTTGGGCATCTGTGTTTGGAATGCTGGGTTAGCCCGTGTTCCCAGGTTGAACGGGTTGCAAGCATTCGGCGTTTGTCATTAGCACATCGCCGCTTGGAGAATTAGTAGGAAAGCACCTTGAAGCGCAGGAGTGCAACGGCCGGTGGAGATTGTGAACTTCGACTTTGATGAAATGCTGACACTGGAGAAGGTGAGGAGCAAACTCGCTGTGGGGTTGGCTTTGGGTTGGTGCCTGAAGCACTTTGTGCGGCACACCGGAGCTTTCGAAACAGAAAATGCCTACAGTATACGATAGTAGAGTACAGTATGCATAGTATATGATAGGTAGTTTTCTCTCACATCCTTTAGTCTAGCCCAGTATAGTCCAGTCCGTTAGAGTATAGTGTAGTATGGTATGGTATGGTCTAGTATAACTCTAAGTATATTCTAGCATAATCTACCCCTTGCAAGTGGCGAGGTGCTCAGCGATGCAAAAGTCGATCGGAAAGCGATTGACGAGGCGAAGCTTCGGGCTCCCACGCCCGAACAACATGTACCATAATAGAATGTCGTTTTACAATATGTTACAAGAAGCTACAATACACAATAATATACTAGTATGTGTTATGTACAATGATGTACTTTAGTATGATATATTAGAAAGCCTCCAGCCCCATACAGGGAATGCCAAAGTCGAGCTCCTGAAGCCTCACCTAAACAGGTCTTCAATTTGGGGATTGGGGGTTCCATGCGTCTGGCCGGGTGATCCTGAAAGATTGCCTGGGGTGCGTTACCCTGAGAGTTCAGAGTTCGACTTCAGCTTCCAGGCTTGTTCTCGCAGCTGTGACACGTCGTAGACGTGGTGCGCATGTGGGACGGTATTCGAGGCTGTCATCCCGATGTAGAGCTCAGAAGCAAGATTCAAATATGTGCAGCATTTCGGCCAGAAACATTGGTGTCGTCATTGCAACAGCCGGCTAGTGCTCGGGGAGGCAATAAGCTGTAGTGCAGCTAGTCGCTAGCTTGGAACCGTGGTGCAGGTAGTGCTGATCGCTCCACCAGGATACCGTACGTCCAGAAGCTCATCGAGGACTCAAATGCTTTCACTGCCTCCAGCCGTCCTGGTCAGCATCTCTGCTTAGAGTTTCTAGAGGAAAGGGTTACAGTATGGACTGCCAGAACGGCTCGCTATAAGTCGTTCAATATTGGTTACTGGTTGCCACATGGGTGTTTGTCCGGAGGAATACTTCAGGAAAGAGCCCGTTCGATCAACGTGGACGAGGTGCAGGGCTCCCTCTTCATGGTAGGGCTGGCTCACGGTGTCCGGGATGTCCTGGGATGTCCTGCCCACCTATGGGGCATCTGGGGGTGACCAGCCGAAGCCACTTCTGCAACAACCGAGAACCATGCAACATCTGCACAATCACGACAGCATCATTAGACAGGCTGACTACACAAAACGCACCTCGGGCAACAGGGCTAGTCTTTTGCCAAGTTCGGCTCAGTCTTGTTCCGAGAGACCTTGCACCGAGAGAGCTTTCGAGGGCTACGGTTTCGGGCGTTGCCAAAGGCAGTCCGGTGTCAAGGCTGAAGCAGGGACTCATGTCGCAGGCCTTGGCTCCGGGTTTCAGAACGGAGTGTCGACTTGGCAGTTGTGTTTGAAAGGGTCGCGCGTCCTGATGGGTGGCTGGGGTAGGATCGGGTGTGTCGGTTCACGCTGTTTGTTCCAACACATGCAAGCTGAACGGCGCGCTTAGGTTTCTAAGTGCCTTTCTCGTATGCAGGTGAGAACTCCAGCCGCCTTGCATGTTATGTTGTGGTTGCAGCGTAGTCAAAGGACAGGGTGTAGTGCTTGTCTTCGTGGGGCTGCAAGCTCTTGCTCTGTTTAGTCGGGGGCCTGTCTTCTCCGTCGGCCAGGGGAAAGATTCCCCGCTGAAAGACCCCGTGCTGTTGGATGTGACGCCTCTTTCCCTGGGCCTCGGCGCCTGGCCTCACAAAGAGAACATGTTCTTTCCTTCATTGCTCCCGGTACGGCGCGTTGAGCATGGTTAAACCGAGCATTACGTCAGCTCCTGCGTAAGCAGAGTCCTCTGAAGTGGTGCAGTTTTGGATTCGCCGCAGCTTATGCGGCCGCACTTGCAGCACCTGCAACACGAAATCGATCGGGAAGGGGGCAAGGGTCGAAGTCTCGAAGTGACGTTACTTGCGACCATGGCTGGCGGCTAGCGGCTAGCGGCTAGCGGCTAGCCGTTAGGTTAAAACGGCTGCGGCAAATGGGAGGAGATAGTTCGAGATAAATTTAGGCGCTTCGCGTCGTCCGTCTCGGCCCGGCTGTGGTGCATTGTTTCGGAAAGCAGCAACCCGAAAGCCTACAAAGGCCCATAGACCCGAAACCCGAAACTCCAAACCCCAAACCGTAAAGCTTAAACCTTCAACCCGAAACCCCAAACCCTAAACCCGCAGCATATGGGGAGAAAGCGCAGCCCCTGATGCAAGCGTGGTTCACCAACCGAAAAGCTGATGTTAGTGGAAGGGGGGAGGAACGGGGGGTGGGGGGGGGGGGGAGGGGGGCCGTCGAACCTCTGACTGCTTCGGCCGGGGTGGAGGTGAATCAATGCTAAACAGATCCGATTGCCAATAATGGCATCGTTGCCCGGTTGGTTTGGTCACCCTTGAAGTCCGTGTTTTGGAGTCGTGGGTTTGTGGCGAGCTTCGCTGCCATCAGCAAAATGGCTACTGATACTGCCAATGCCTTCGAGCCTGAGTCCACTGCCCCGGCAGTCCACAGCCAACCCTTTCAAATAGCCCAGGAAACTGCGGGTGGAGTGATGACGAGGCTCTTCCGTTTGCGGCTTCCGATTGCTAAGGACGATCTCATGAGTTGATTGAAGATTTGCATGACCTCCAGGGACTAGGCCTAGACCTCCAGTCCCAGAGATGAGGAAAGCTCAGAAGGCCCTGAGGCTCTTCCATCTGAGGTATGGAGCTGACAGCAACTTGATACCAGGAGCTCGCCCACACATGCTTAGCCCGTCTCCGAGTGAAGTTATGGTGCGCCAACAGCGTGATTCTCGAAGAAGGCTCCGAATGCTGTTTTTTTTGTTTTTCCGAGACCCCAAAAGCTTTTGGCTTTAGTTTATTTGGTCGAATTCCCCAACGCCGGTTCTCCCAAAACTGCTCCAGTGCGCCAGGCCCATTGAGAGGAATTCCACCATACCCACCAACAAGAAGCAGGTGCCTGGGGCTAGAGTTAAGGTTTGACTTCTAGACCTGATGCTGTCTGTAGCCGCCTCTCGAGTGCAAACCGTTTTGGTCCGCCTGCTAAATACAATGTAGCTCATGCGGGGAACTTTTCGGTATCAGGTCCCTGTCTGGCACAGGTCTTTTCAACCTACTCCGATAACCAGACAGCCGTGACCATCCAGGTCCCTTCGGAAGCTCGCCGAAGCGGTTCGGTGCAAAAACCTTTGCATTATTTCCAGGTGACTTTAGCGATTCAGGTTTAGTGTGCAACAGCAGCTGTCGAAGCAGCAGACAACTTGAGTAGTCCATTTTCTCTGGGTTGCTGCATACAGTCTTAGCCATGCCGTCAACCTCTCTCCGATACCGGGAGCCTGCAAGGCGTTGTTGAGCGTAGCGGCTGAGACAAGCCAATTCCGATTTCCCGGAAAGTGCGGCCATCTGGACTCGAAGGAGCTGCTTGTGACTTCTGCTCCGAACAGCTTACTCTCTGACTTCTCATATGTACATATTAGTTCAAGTAATACATATACATACGTGCATGCACAGTCATGTATAAACATACACATATACAGCCTTTTGAAATCTACACAGACATGCACCACATGTCTGGTAAGTCAGCATATTTCATGCCTACATACATAGATACATACATCCACAGGTACACATGTTTTCATACACGGCAGCGTACATAGATGTCTGTGCGTGCGAGAGATCCCAATGCGTAGTCGTTCAACTCTGGAGTTTGTTTTTCGCACTCTGCAGGCAGAGGTGGAGGCTTGCGAGGCCAAGCAGAAAGAGCTCGAGGCCCATCCGTGCGTTGCTTGACAACTTTTTCTGAGGGTTCCGAGCGGTTTGGGGCTTAGTCGTTTCTCATGCCGATGTACACATAAACTAGCTTGTATGGCTATCTAGAAATTTTCAGGGCGGCGGGGGGGGGGGGGGGTGGAACCTGTCAGGCAGGATTGGGGTGAAGTCGTTGCTGGGAGTTGCTGGCACTATTTTGAAGCGAACAAAACTGTCAGCCAGCATTGGGGCAAAGTCGTTGTTGGGAGGTGCTGGTGCCATTTTGAAGCAACCAAGCCTTTCGGCCAAGATCTAACATCGGAGCAAAGTCGAGCTGGAAGGTGCTGGCGCCATTTTTTTTAACAACCAAACTGTCAGCCAGTATTCGTGTAAAGTCGCTGTTAGGTGTTGGCGCCGTTTTGGAGAAACCAAACCTGTCAGCCAGGATTGGGGGTAGAGTCGTTTTTGGGAGGTGCTGGCGCCGTGTTGAAGCGGCCAAACCTGTCGGCCAGGATTGGGGTAAAGTCGTTGTTGGGAAGTGCTGGCGGCTCTTTGAAGCGACCAGTAACCAGACCTGTCAGCCAGGATTGGGGTAAAGTCGTGTCGTTGCTGGGAGTTGCTGGCGCTGTTTGAAGCAACCAACCGTGTCAGCCAGGATTGGGGAAAGTCGTTGTTGGGAGATGTTGGCGACGTTTAGGAGAGACCTAGCCTAACCTCTCAGCCAAGATTGGGGTGGAGTCTTTGTTGGGAAGCGTTGTCGCCTTCTGAAGCAACTAAACCTGTTAGCCAGGATTGGGGTAAAGTCGTTGTTGGGAGGTGCCGGCACCGCTTTGAAGCCAAACCTGTCAGCCAGGATTGGGTAAAATCGTTGTTGGGGGGTGTTGGCACCATGTTGGAGAAACCAAACCTGTCCGCCAGGATTGGGGTAAAGTCGTTGTTGGGAGGTGCTGGCGCCATTTCGAAGCAACCGGTAGCCAGACCTGTCAGCCAGGATTCGGGAAAGGCGTTGTTGGGAGGTGTTGGCGGCATTCAGGAGAAAGCAAACCCTTCAGCCAAGATCAGGGTAGATTGTTTGTTGGAAAGCCGTTTTGATGCAACCAAACCTGGCAGCCAGGATTGGGGTAAAGTCGTTGTTGGGAGGTGTTGGCGCCATCTTGAAGCAACTTATCAGCCAAGATTGGGGCAAAGTCGGCGTGGGAGGTGCTGGCAGTATTTTGAAGCAAGGAGCAACCAAAACTATCTGCCAAGATCGGGGTAAACTCGTTCTTGGGAGGTGCTGGCGCCGTGTTGATATCACCAAGCCTGTGAGCCAGGATTGGGGGAAAGTCGTTGTTGGGAGGTGCTGGCACCGTTTTGAAGAAACCAAGCCTGTCGGTGTTGCAGCCATTTTGAAGCAACCAAACCTTGCAGCCAAGATTGGGGTAAAGTCGTTGTTGGGAGGTGCTGGCGCCATGTTGAAACAGCCAAACCTGTCAGCCAGGATTGGGGTGAAGTCGTTTCTGGAAAGGTGTTGGCACCATTTTCAAGCACCGGATTAGGGAAAAGTCGTTGTTGGGAGGTGCTGGTGCCATTTTGAAGCAAACAAAGCTGTCAGGCAGGATTGGGGTGAAGTCGTTGTTGGGAGGTGCCCGCGTCAGAATGAAACATCCACACCTGTCAGCCAGGATCGGGGTAAAGTCGTCGTTGGGAGGTGCTCGCGCCATTTTGAAGCAATCAAGCCAGTTAGCCAGGATCGGGGTAAAGTCGTTGTTGGCAGGTGCTGTCGCCATTTTGAAACTAAACTTGTCAGCTCGGATTGACGTAGAATCGTTGTTAAGAGGCGCTTGCTGCTGGCCGCCATGCATTCTTATTCTTGTTGCCTTTTTGTGGCGTTAAAAGTTGAGCATGCCGCTGCAGACGATTCGAGTGGTTTTCGAACCCCGGACCCATAAACCATGGCTTCGTCGAACCGTTTGTTTGTGGTAGGCTGTTTAATGATCTAGCTCACGATTGAGGTGGAGAGCGCAAGAGAACTGAACTTCAGCACACATGCGCAGCACTCGCCTCTTGAGTGGCCCTTGAATCGGAACCGAATTCAACAGCAGTCAAAGCTGCGATATTGGGCCTTTTCCTTTGCCCATGCCGCCAGGGCGTGGTGAATCCGATCATGGTGAGGCGCAGGGCTTGTTCTGGGGGCTTGTTCTGGATTTTGGCTGTGGTGATTATTGTACCTGCTGATTTGATACGCCTGAACTCAGTGAGACAGCACGAGTTGGATTCCTGACAGTCAAAGGCTCTGTCTGACGCGAGCTGATCCTCATCGGGTTCGGAAACTCGCAATTCCATTTCACATGGTCTTACTTAAGCGAGAACGAGGCACTGCCGAGGGCTTCTTATGCGGCTGAAAAGCCCGAAGCCTTGCCTGAGCAAGTCATCAGGATCTACGGCGAAACGGCAAAGGAAGGAGGCGGCGACGCCAAGGACTGCTGTGGTTTATGATATGTCATTTCGGAGCTTACAGTGTAGGGTTTTAGGGTACTACCGGGGCCTTGGTATGGGGGCTCGCGGACCCTTGACTCTGCTCCAGCTGTTGGGTGGAATCGGGGGGTTCAGCCTGCAAGCAAACACTCCAATGCGGCAATGCTGCCGTATGTTGTGGTGCCTTCTATGCTGGGAGTTGATCTGAATCTAGGCAATGAATCTGAGAAATCGGAGTGTCACTTAAGCAGGGAGTCCCCGATAGAAGTCGCCCAGGAAACCCAAAGCACCATTCAATCGACCGGTAGTGGAGAAATCTAGAGTTCTAGAGTCCAGAGAGCCCTTGCTGTTGTATTGTACTTGAACTCGAGACCCTCAGACCTGCCGCAAACACTAAATCCCCACGGAAAATCTAGGATGTTATTTGGCTTCCATGTGGTTTTCATGATGGTCTTTATGAGCGTCTTCTTCGGGTTCTCCAAGAGTTGGATTCATTATGCCCTGCCCCGGCCTCCCCGAGAGTCAGAGCGCAAAGCTCCGCGCAGGACTCCAAGTTCTCGGAGGAGTAGGTGCCTACGCGTAGGTCTCCGCCCCGGAGAGTTCGGAGACTCCAGACCTCGCAAGGAGTGAAGAGTCCGACACAGGGTCTTCCTTGATTGAGAACAGTGGAGTCTCTGGGTGTGGTGCTTCTTTGAGAACGAACCGCCAGAAGAGCCGCAAGACCCATCGAGGCTTTCGAAGAGACGTCGGCCGGCTGCAGCTTTGGATACCCTGAAACTCTTGGCATCAAGGTTTGGAAGGTTCCTGCGTGAAAGGCATCGACACCCTCCCGGAGGGAGGGTAGTAGCTCGTGGAATAGAGGGAAGCTCTTCTTGGAACCAGGTCGGCTCTTATTGACCCTGCGCATCACCTTCGTATCGCGGAAGCCTTTGAACCGTAAGCCTCTACCTGGTTTCGAGAAGCGCGCCCGTTCCTTGCACAGGCGCTACCTTTACCAACTAAGGGAAGGGCCGGCGCTCGTGTGTGACATGACCACGGTGGGGAGGAAAGGATCTATGGAAACCGCTGCGTTAAAGTTTCGTGTTTGGACATCCAGCTTTCGAGAAGCTGAGACCTGTTTAGACTTCGAGTTGGGTTTCAAGCTGCTTTTCTAGAGACTTTCCGAGCCTGCTCCCCCGCCTGCAAAGACCCTAGCAAGCCGGGGCACCTATTGCCCGGGCGTTACAGCGATCTGCGAGGAAAAATGCTGTCAGCCCAGCGAGGTTTAAATTGCTGTGTTCAGACCTCGACAAGCTTGGCTGAACCAACAGCACCACACTTGTATTGTGGCCCTTTTCAGGCACAAGGACATCCCCCTCCCTCACCTTTCCTCTTTTTGGCGTGAGCTCCACCCAAGCATGGCGTGCCTCCGTGTACTGGCTGCAGCCAGCCTTCTTTGCGCACTTGGCGCAGGCCACGAAGACCACGACCACTGCACGCACGAGGCCTCCATGGTGAACTACACTTGCAACACCACCACATGCGGAGGCTATATGGCCTACAAATCTTCAGGGTGCACTGCCAGCAGCAAGTGCCCAGCAGTCGTCGTCATTCAGGACTGGAACGGCATGAACGACTACGAGAAGGAGCGCACGCGGATGTTGGCCGAGATGGGCTATGTGGGCTTCGCCGCCGACATCTACGGCTACGGCACGCCTGTTGAGGACATGTCCGACTGGATGGCGGCTTCCTCCGCCCATCGCGGGAATCCGGATCTGTACATGTCCAAAATCAGTGCTGCCATCGACAAGGTGAAGTCTTACGACTTTGTGGATACGACGAAGGTCGCCGTAATTGGCTACTGTTTCGGTGGAACCGGTGTGGTGAACATGGCCATTCTAGGGATGGAGGGCGTTTTGGGAGTGGTTGGCTACCACTCCGGCATCAGCCCAAATGCTAGGGTGGTGCGGGGCAACATCACTGCGCCTATGGTCGCCAAGGTGCTGCTGCACTCGGGCGTGAAGGACGATGCTGCAACCGACATGGCGATGCTGGAGGAAGAGTTTGAGTCCGCAGGGGCAACATACGAGATCGTTCGCTTTGGCTCGGGCATCTACCACAGCTTCACGGAGTGGACGGCCAATGCTCCCATGGCAGCTATGTACGACCAGCGTGCAGACGTCAGGTCTTGGGAGAGCACCAAGCACTTCCTCATGGAGCTGTTCGATGGCCTCCCAGCTGCTAGCCGCGGGCCGGAGAACGCCATGCTGACCACCGGACTGCACAACTACACGTGCAACACAACCACCTGCGAGGGCTACATGGCCTACAACGCCTCAAGTTGCACTGCCAGCATGAAGTGCCCAGCAGTCGTCGTCATTCAGGACTGGAACGGCATGAACGACTACGAGAAGGAGCGCTCGCGGATGTTGGCCGAGATGGGCTATGTGGGCTTCGCCGCCGACATCTACGGCTACGGCACGCCTGTTGAGGACATGTCCGACTGGATGGCGGCTTCCTTTGCCCATCGCGGGAATCCGGATCTGTACATGTCCAAAATCAGTGCTGCCATCGACAAGGTGAAGTCTTACGACTTTGTGGATACGACGAAAGTCGCCGTAATTGGCTACTGTTTCGGTGGAACCGGTGTGGTGAACATGGCCATTCTAGGGATGGAGGGCGTTTTGGGAGTGGTTGGCTACCACTCCGGCATCAGCCCAAATGCTAGGGTGGTGCGGGGCAACATCACTGCGCCTATGGTCGCCAAGGTGCTGCTGCACTCGGGCGTGAAGGACGATGCTGCAACCGACATGGCGATGCTGGAGGAGGAGTTCGAATCAGCAGGGGCCACATACGAGATCGCTCGCTATGGCTCTGGTGTCTACCACAGCTTCACAGAGTGGATGGCCAGCGTGCCCATGCAAGCCATGTACGACCAGCGGGCGGACGTCAGGTCTTGGGAGAGCACCAAGCACTTCCTTATGGAGCTATTCGTCGGTCTCCCTGCTGCAGAACGAGAGCCCGAGTGCCACTTGGATTTCGGTTAATGAGCCATCGCTGCACATGTTGAGATGCCAGAAGCCCTAGGCAGTTAGCTTCTCCAAAAACCGTCCCAGGTGCCTGTCCTACCAGCTATCATACGGGCTTGACAGGTCATCGTAGGCACTGATGGCCGCATGACCCTCAATCGCATCCCTTTTGCACGCGATGAAGTGCCCCCCAGTAACCGAGACTCCCCATGCATCTGCTGGGGAAAGTCCGCTCCGGCCGCCATGATGCTAATGTAACGTTTACGTTTATGCCTATGCAAGTCCAGTGTGAACGGACATTGCGAAAGGGTCAAATCAGCAGCTTGGCCACAACCCCCAGCAAGCTGAAGCGCTGCATGGCTCGGACAGCCCCCCGCATCGCACCCCGGTAAAGGCGATCACGACCACGACCACGACCACGACAACGAGGCCTTGCGTCACAGACGCTCCCTTGACTGAGCTTTTAAAGCTCTACTCGTTAGAACCGCGCCGCCTCAAGACCGCGAAGTCGGGGGTCCGAATCTTCGCAGGTGGACGGCTCCGAGACCAGCTCCAGCGCGGGTGCATTCCTCTCCTCCGCCCTTGGCGCGGTGTTGGCAATGCTGGCCTAGGCCGAGCCCTTGCCCGTAGGCTAGCCAGGCTAGCTAGTGTCACATTGCAGGCTTCAGGTCTTGGGACTTCCGGGACCTTGTCGCAGGCTTGTCAGTTTTCATTTGAGAACCCTGGCCAAGCCCATATTGAAACGAAAACCCCTTTATAAAGCCTTGCCTAAGATTATGCACCCTGTCGCTTCCCAAGATAGGCCCCAAACAATCGGACACTTTCCATTCGACTGGATCTTTCACAAGATCATGCACGAGGACAGCTTTGGTCTGGGGTTGGTAATTTCAACATCTGCTTGTTCGCTGTTGGTACAAAGAGTCTGAGCCTACATGAGCTTCCCCCACTGGCATGCAACCTGAACTTGTCTAAACTAGTCTAAATCATATCTAAATTGCTCTAGTCCTGCAGAGGCATTGAAGCAGAAGTGCATGCATCTAAGCGCACTGGCTTGAATATGCATATACGTATATCATAAGCAGAGAGGGGCAGAGAGAGATGTGTCCCGTAGTGGATGTATGTACTCGTCGATCATCCCTATCTCGATATCTCTGTCTACCTGTCTACCCACTGGGTCACCGACCCACTTTCCTACCGACCAATCTATTTGGCTAGCTAGCTTCTATCCTGTCTATCTATCCTTTCTATCGCTCCCCTCTCTCTCCCTCTCTCTCTCTCTCTCTCTCTCTCTCTCTCTCTCTCTCTCTCTCTCTCTCTTTTTTCCGTGCCTCTCCCTCCCTCCTGTAGCTAGCGGTGCAGACGCATGACGCAGACTGCACTCAGGCGCACGCCAAAGCGCATGCACACGCGCACACGCGCACGCACATGCACTTAACCCGCATTTATACATGCGCTATCATGCGCTCATGCGCACTTGCACGCACGTGCACTCACACACGCTCACTCTCCAGCACACGAATTAAATTCATTTTGGAAAACTAGCCGCACACCGCATGGAGGTTGCCGGCCGATCGTGCATACACAGCCGGCTGCTGCCCAAGCAGCGAGAGAGGGCGCGGCGCCGCGACTCCTGTGCAGATTTTCAACGCTGCCGACAGCCGACAGCTCCGAATTTCCGAATACTGGTTGTGAGATGTCTCTGAGCTGGACGGACACGCCACTCTTCGGATCTTGTCGTCAGAAGTTTCCAAAAATTCGTGACACACCCCATTCGTCACCATGTCTGCTGTTTTCCAAGCAACTTTGGCTTGGAGTCAGCGGAAGTCTTCCCGCTCTCGAGATGTGGCCGTGCTGCGAAGCAGCCGCCACCGCTCCACCGCAATTTCGAGGCTCGGGCCTCTACTCAAAGCTATGTCGCGGAGAGAGCAGAGCCTCGTGCTTGTGCAGCTTACTGGTCCGGCATCGGCAATTGATGGACTCTACCTTGAAGTTCGGAACTTGTTGTTTACCGTTTTGCTTCTTCGAGCCTCAGATCCCCCACCCTTCCCTGTTCTTCGGCGTGAGCTCCACCCAAGCATGGCGTGCCTCCGTGTACTGGCTGCAGCCAGCCTTCTCTGCGCACTTGGCGCAGGCCACGAAGGCCACGACCACTGCACGCACGAGGCCTCCATGGTGAACTACACTTGCAACACCACCACATGCGGAGGCTATATGGCCTACAAATCTTCAGGATGCACTGCCACAAGCAAGTGCCCAGCCGTCGTCGTCATTCAGGACTGGAACGGCATGAACGACTACGAGAAGGAGCGAACGCGGATGTTGGCTGAGATGGGCTATGTGGGCTTCGCCGCTGACATCTACGGCTATGGCACGCCTGTTGAGGACATGTCCGACTGGATGGCGGCTTCCTCCGCCCATCGTGGGAATCCGGATCTGTACATGTCCAAAATCAGTGCTGCCATCGACAAGGTGAAGTCTTACGACTTTGTGGATACGACGAAAGTCGCCGTAATTGGCTACTGTTTCGGTGGAACCGGTGTGGTGAACATGGCCATTCTAGGGATGGAGGGCGTTTTGGGAGTGGTTGGCTACCACTCCGGCATCAGCCCAAATGCTAGGGTGGTGCGGGGCAACATCACTGCGCCTATGGTCGCCAAGGTGCTGCTGCACTCGGGCGTGAAGGACGATGCTGCGACCGACATGGCGATGCTGGAGGAAGAGTTTGAGTCCGCAGGGGCAACATACGAGATCGTTCGCTTTGGCTCGGGCATCTACCACAGCTTCACGGAGTGGACGGCCAATGCTCCCATGGCAGCTATGTACGACCAGCGTGCAGACGTCAGGTCTTGGGAGAGCACCAAGCACTTCCTCATGGAGCTGTTCGATGGCCTCCCAGCTGCTAGCCGCGGGCCGGAGAACGCAATGCTGACCACCGGACTGCACAACTACACGTGCAACACGACGACCTGCGAGGGATACATAGCCTACAATGCCTCGGGTTGCACTGCCAGCATGAAGTGCCCAGCAGTCGTCGTCATTCAGGACTGGAACGGCATGACCGACTACGAAAAGGAGCGCTCGCGGATGTTGGCCGAGATGGGCTATGTGGGCTTCGCTGCCGACATCTACGGCTATGGCACGCCTGTTGAGGACATGTCCGACTGGATGGCGGCTTCCTCCGCCCATCGTGGGAATCCGGATCTGTACATGTCCAAAATCAGTGCTGCCATCGACAAGGTGAAGTCTCTCGACTTTGTGGATACGACGAAGGTCGCCGTAATTGGCTACTGTTTCGGTGGAACCGGTGTGGTGAACATGGCCATTCTAGGGATGGAGGGCGTTTTGGGAGTGGTTGGCTACCACTCCGGCATCAGCCCAAATGCTAGGGTGGTGCGGGGCAACATCACTGCGCCTATGGTCGCCAAGGTGCTGCTGCACTCGGGCGTGAAGGACGATGCTGCAACCGACATGGCGATGCTGGAGGAGGAGTTCGAATCAGCAGGGGCCACATACGAGATCGCTCGCTATGGCTCTGGTGTCTACCACAGCTTCACAGAGTGGATGGCCAGCGTGCCCATGCAAGCCATGTACGACCAGCGTGCGGACGTCAGGTCTTGGGAGAGCACCAAGCACTTCCTTATGGAGCTGTTTGTCGGTCTCCCTGCCGCAGAACGAGAGCCCGAGTGTCCCTGGGACTCGTTATTCATGACTCGGGGCGTGCTTTGGTTATACTAGGAACCTGAATCCAGGAGGACAGCCACGAAGGCTCAAGGCTTCAGCCACGGGTCTCCAAGATGTTTCTAATCCGAAGCGACTGCGACTCCCTCTGCTGCAGGCGACCATGACCACGACGGAGACAACCAGGCACCGCCGATGTGAAACCCCAAACCCTCCAGACCCTGTAATACAGAGCCGACATGAATTCGAAAGATAGAAATATAGTATCCTCTGTGTAGTCCATCCAGTATATCCAACATCCCGGAGAGCTGATAATCGTCTTGAGTTCAGAGTTTCAGCTTTCGATAAGAATCCGGCGACAGACGAAGAGGGGCTGTGTGAGGGCAATTCTAGCGAGCTTGGATGGGATCAGCCTTTACGAGGAAGCTTGTTTCGGGGCCCGGGGCTAGCGAGGCGGCGTTTTGGAGCCAGCCTCTGCGAAGTCATCGGACTGTCCATCATCATCGTTTGCACAGCACTGCAAATCTCAATTCATTTGCAGCACTGACGTCAACGTCTGTCCGCGTGGTGAAGCTTTGCTGCGTAGGTGGTACAGAAAAAGCATCTGCAAAATCTGGAGCCAAAGAGGGTTCGAAATTTCTCTTCACTTCTGTAGGCTTTATAGTAGGTACGACCTTCCATGTTTTAGGGCCCCTTTGAAAGTCACACCCCGACCCTAAACCCCTCAGCTCAACAAACTCAGCAGATCTAGTCCCTAAACCCTCTCTACACCGCAAAAAAACGAGTCTTCTGCCGCCTGCTGACTACTGGAGGTCAATGCCACCTTCACCTCGGACTCTCTGCCTCTGCAGTCTCGGAGCCTCTCGGCCTTGGCCGGTCTCCTCGCCCTGGCCTACAACCTGGCCTAGAGGAGAAGAGGAGAGGCTCTCTGGGCTCTCTCTGGGCTCTCTGCCTCTGCCTCTGCGTGTGCCCATATCTAGACATACACACTTTCGTTCATCGTTGTGACAAATCACATGGGTCTTTTTGTATGCATGCCCGCATCTACGCAGGAAGCGTGAAGGCAACATGATCTGCAACTGCTAGCAGCATTGGCGAGTGCATCAAGTATGTGGAATAGGACCCTTTCATCAGCCCTTGTGCTTTCTTCAGTGACACTTTAGTGGTTCAGCGGAAGCTAGTGCTGTTGTTTCTCTATCTGCGCAGCTACCTGCATCCATTGTTACTTTACTGTAACTTGCTTACCCTTTCTTGTGGCTCTTGCTGCGTTTCCTTGGCAGGCCAGGGCTGGCGAAGTGCTGCTAGCAGCGTTGCAGCAGCGGAGTGAGCGAGGTTTGTATTTTCGGATTTTCAAGGCTGCCGAGAAGATTCGAAATCCAGGGATGTTTATCACATGACCCTCCTTTCCTTCTGTTGCACATGTTTGCTGTGCCGGACTTCTCACTTTTCGGATCTTCTCGTCAGACCTCTCCATGAGTGCTTGACACACGTATGCCGCCCTCGCCGTGTCTGCTGTTTTCCAGTCCAAACATGATTGGAGACAACAGCGGAAGTCTTCCCGAGGGCTCTCGAGATGCGGCCCCGGCCGCCGGTCCTGCGAAGCAGCCCCGGAGCCCCGGCCACAGCTCCACCAAGATATCGAGGCTCGGGCCTCGTTCCGTGCAAACCCACTCGTATGCGGATACCAAAGCAAAGGGGCACGACGGGAGCTCTCAGTTGGGGTCCTCTGACTGGCTGCCGACTCAACCAACTTGCAAGCCCCCGCAAATCTTGAACGCAGAGGTGAATCATCCGAAGCAGGTCACAGAAGGCCGTCATGAGTCGATCTAGAACAATGATGCGCATCATTCTAAACAAGCGGGTTACGGACGGCCATACTTGTAGAGAGAAGGGACAGCCGTCTCATCTCGACTATGATTGCCACAGCAGTAGCCGAGGTCCCGACTGTAAATGCTCGTGGTAGTGGGCATAAGATTCCTAAATTGCTACAATTACAGCCTTCTTCTTCCTCGTAAACATTGTCGCCGTAACACAGTGTAGTCATCACTTCCAAAGTTTCTGACCCGCCGCTGTTGCAGCATGCTCTCTAGAGTTTTGCTGCCTGGCGACGCCGGCCACAAGGTCCTCTGACTCTTCTTGTGGGCTCAAGTGCTCAAGGGCTTCGGTGTTGTTTTGACTTTGCAGCTCAAACCCGAAATCCCAAACTGTTCATGCGATCGGGTAGGGCTCCACGCTGTTTGGACGTCCGATAATGCGAGCCCCACGCTTCAGTCCGTGGTGCTCCTGCTTGTCCACTTGTCGAGAAGGCTTGCATAGCTTGAGATCTGCTTCGACTGTTGGGGCTCGAGTCCCGTACCACAGACACCCTAAAACATGAACCCTCGATGGCAGAGTCGTGCAAGGCCAAACCCTCAAAGCAGACAGTGATGTATACATGGGTTTTAATAGGATGTGCGATTATGATACTCATTCGTTTTTGCTCTTGATCAAATAGGCTTTCAGATGGTAAGTTCGAGTCTTCAGGGGAAGCATGTCCTGTTTGTGTGTATTATGTGTACATGTATGTATGTATGTATGTATGTATGTATGTATGTATGTATGTATGTATTCATGTATGTATGTATGCATGTGCGTATGTATATGTGTATATTACACACATACACATATGCATATAACGAGCCATTGTAAACAAACCTGTACCGTAGCAAAACTACTCGGTTTGGGGTTTGGTTGTCTATCTAGCCTTTATTGTGTATGTGGTACGTCCGCCCTGCTCACTTAAACCAGAAAAGCCCTCCCCCTCATCACCCTCGCTGCAGATCCGTACCTGGAGCTCTGAACCCTGAGCCTAAACTCAAAACCCTACCGCGCCTTCAGGTTGCCCGGCATGGCCGCGGTGCCCCAGGCGCCTCAGGGTTGAGAGAGGCTTCGGGCATCCGAGTTTGGCAAGGTATATCTTCGCAACGTGTATGAGGCTACGGGGGGTTGTGAAAGATGAAGGTGAGATTCATTTAGCATCGACACTAAACAGAAGCTGCCTGAGCGGATCTCCATGTAGTGGGGCAGACTGTTGCCCTTAACTCTTATGCAGTTCTGCCTGTTCACATAGAGGGGCCATTCCATTTGCAAGGACTTTCTGCTGGCGGAGCTTACCTCATACAGGTACGATTGTCTCGATGATCAGGATCACGATGATGACTCAAGGATGACACGCTCAGGATGTTGCCGACGATCATGACAATGGCGGCGACGTCGGTAGCGATGGTGGGCATGACGAAGAAGAAGCTGAAGATGGGAAGGATGACGATTGCGATGATGACTGCACGCTCCCCTCCGACACTTGCACTACTATTTGCAGCTTAGTCTTTCCAGAAGGCAGGCGAAGATTTGCAGCGAGTATGGTATGGTGACGTGCTGCAGCACGTACACAGACAGTCTATCGAACTCACCAGGAATGGGCTCACCTCTAGATACCTTTGCCACCGGTGGCTTTTCTTTTGGATCCCCTTTGTGCATCCTTGCCTGGCCCTGGCCGTGTTTGGATGTGAGGATGCTTGCTCGCTCAGGATCTTCGAGCCCAAATACTCAAGCTTGGAACCTGCATCCCGGACAATGAAGGCATGAAGCCCCAGAGCCCCAGCCTAAGCCAAAGACCCTGGAGCCTAGTGCCCTACGGCCCGGCCCAAAGCCCCGAAGCCTCGGAGCCGCAAAGCCTTAAGCTGCAAAAACCACGAAGTTGCCTCGACGCCCTTGGCCTGCTTTCAGGTTTTCGCTGAAGTTTTTTGTCGCAGTGCAGGCTCGAACGGAACAGGGTTTAGGAATTGTAGGGCATGCACTTCCATGGACCAAGTTTCTGAGAACATGCATGCTCACCAGGGGAGCTGCACAATCAAAAGCCAAAATCAGGGGATCAGAGTCTTGCACGGTGTTTGTCGGTTCCACTTTGCGACAGCCGCATCACATTGCCAGCGCAGCACTCAATGGTCACCACGAAATTGCAGCATTATCTTGGCAACAGGCACAGCGCACATCTCGCAAGTCCGCACGCTGCCCGTCCAAACACAACCCTTGTCAGGTTTTTCAGGTCTAAGCTCAAAAACATGCGATGCATCCTTGAGTACAGTTGAATTTCGGCAGCATTTTGAGAAACTCGGAACTGAGCTGAAGAAAGTGCCTTTTTTGAAGGAGCTTTTCTGCTTGTTGGAGCCTGCAAGCCGGCCTGTGACGACTTCTATTTGAATCGCTTGGAGCTCTGCGAGAAGGAAGTCGAGATTAGTTATAAGTGCGACGCGAATGTTTTCTCCGGCCCCACACTTTTACACGTGGTGGTGGCAGCAGCAGTCGTGGTGGTTGTGGTAGCAATCAGGAGTTGGATTCTGCAGTAGGAGTAGGAATCGGCGGTAGTGGCAGTGGCGTCTTGGCAGGAAGCACCGCGGAGACCCGCCTGGCGCTCACGCCAGGGAAGGCCGGCGCTCCGGTTCTCGGGGATTCCGTATTCGACTGGAGTTGGAGCCATGGTCTGGTGGGAGGCAAGCGTTTGAAGGTTTCAAGGTGAGGGTGTTTGTGCAGTTGAGGGGTAGAGGGAGTTGAGGGGTAGAGGGAGCGAGCCAGCTGAAGGACATGCAGCACAGGCTTTGCACCTTTCTCGCTGAGCTTTACTCCCAGCATAGCAAGCACACCTCACCGGAAGACCCGAAACGTCAGCCCATCAACTCCCTCCCACGGCCTCTTCATCCAATTCCTGTAGAAGCGTCCAACGTAGAGGGCGACTATAGGGGGCCTTAATAATTCCCCATTCTCATTATGAAGACCCCTGAGAAATCCCTGGAAGAGGTGGAATTGGTCGTCGGCCGTGACAAGTCCTGCGACTACCAGGTGCCCAAACCCCTCCGATAGCCCTTGTCAACCCGAGTTACCCTGATTGGGGTTTAGGGACCCTAAGCCTAAAATTTCGCAGAGTTCGTCGGCTTCAGGTTCCGGGCATCAGGGGACGAGCTCTTCAGTTTGAGATGCTCAGGCTTGAAGCTCAAGGTATTGGTGGTCACATCTGCTTGGGAGAGGGGTACCGGATTGTCGGCAGAGAGTTGTCCATTTTCCGTTCGGGTCAAGGTTTAGGGTTTAGGGGCTTAGGGGTTAGGGTTTAGGGTTTTGGACTCCCAGCACAGAACTTTGGAAAGACGGAGGCCTCCTCGAAAGCTGCTGCCAGGTGTCGAACTCCAAAGTTTCGAAGCATCACTTGAAGCTGCGCGCGGACTCCCAGATCTTAGTGTTCCAATTGTAGTTTAGGGTTCTAATTGTAGTTTAGGGTTCTAAGTATAGTTTAGGGTTCTAATTATAGTTTAAGGTTCTAAGTATAGTTTAGGGGGGTTCTGTAGAGTCTGCCATACGCGCCGACATTGTCGGTTCTAATTATAGTTTAGGGTTCTAAACATAGCTTAGGGTTCTAATCATATTTAGACTATTTAGACTATTTAGACTTCAGGGAGGTCGAGGCCTCTGGTGGTTGTCCAGATAGGTTTCGAGCTAAATATCAGGTTTAACGGCTCTCAAGGAGGGAGGGGTCCTGTGGTGGGTGTGGAAGCGATTTGGGGTTTGAGTCGAGGGGCTCAGTACTTGGGGTTTGGGGTCTAGGATTTCGAGGTTATGGGATTTTCAGGTTCCAAGACTGAAGGAAACCAAGGGTGGGACAGCGTTGGCGATGACGACGAGCATGTACAAGACTGCCTTAACATCCCCCTCATCGTCACTATTGAATCACTACTTGCGTTGTCATCATCATCGTCATCATCATTAACAGCATCATCATCAACAACATCATCATCAGCAACATCATCATCATCACTGTCATCATCGAAAGTGTTGGCTTTGTAGGACGGCTGAGGCGTCGCCTGGCCCGAGGAAGGGCTTCGGTTTAGAGATCTGTACGAAACAAGGCTGGAAGGAAGCTGTTTCCCAACCTTCACTCACAGGGTTGATAAGGGGCCCCTGTGGACGGGACCCCTGTGGGTTGCACTTGCCGAATGGGCGCGTTGCGGCCCAATACGCCCGTTCGGCAAGTGCAACCCACAGGGGTCCCGTCCACAAGGGGCCCCTTATCAACCCTGTGATTCACTGGTCCGCCGTCCGCGAGCTGAAGCCCCTGAGTCGTCAAACCCGCGGTGTTTTGAAAGGCTGGTTGGAGTCGCAATGCCTTCAGCTGGTGGCTGCTGGAAATTCGGGATGTGCTGTGAATGGGGCACCTTTGAAGAAGGACCATGGAAGGGAATGTTTAGCCCCCTTGGGGTTTAGGTGTCCGGCGTCAAGACAGCATTTCACAGAGACTTCGCGGATGTCGTCGGCTTCGCTTCAGCGTAGATTTGGATTCCCTGAGCCCACTCGGTATGCTGACGTCGCAGAGTGCATCGGAGTACGCGAGGCAAGGTACTTAACTCGGAAATGCCGTTGCGATCAAGGTGTAGGGATGAGGGTTTAGATCCATCGGCGCCCAACCACCGTCAGTCTCCATCGTTCTGCGCAGTTAGTTGGTCTAAAACTCATTGACTAAGTTCAGTCCACTGGGACTTAGGTCACGATGGCCCTGGGTTGCAAGGTCTGAATTTCAGGCATCCAGGGTTTGACTGCTGGTCTTCAGTCCTGACATGCTTCTTTTCCTTCCTGGCTTAAGTATCAAGGCACTGCGGGTTTTGACAAAAGGTAGCTTTCATCAACACCCTCCTCGTGTTTCTGGAAGCCCTCTGTTTGAAGGCTTTGGATGCTTCGGCCTTCACTTCAGTGAACGAACCGCCGCTTTCGCCAGGATGAGCAACGCCACCTCCAAGATGGTGACCGGGTCGAAGTGGGGCGTTCCTCTCGTGCTTGGGCTTTTGGGGGCGGCGCGTTCAAAGGCCAATGGGTGCTAAAACCCCTAAACCCCAAGCCGCAGTACACCCTAACTCTAAGCCCGAAACCGCCGCAAATCCTAAATCGCAATCACGAAGCCCGCCCGGAAACTCGACGTGCCTGAAGTCCGCAACCTCGGCTTGAAACGCCCGCCACTGAGCGGTCAGCCTTAAGCACCAAATCCTGAAGCTGCATGCCAGCTGCTAGAGCTCGTCATTCGAATGATAGTGATAGTACGTACGTATAGGGCCCTAGTTATCCGAGAAGCTGCTTTGAAGACGTACTTATTGCTCTGAGGCTTAGGGATCCCTAAACCCTAAACACGATTTGGCTTCACTTGCAAACCTTGTGGCCTGGTTGCCATAATGCTGCTGCCTTAGCTTCAGTCTGCACCGTGAAACCTGAGCTCAGCACCCCCAGACCGTCAGGGTCCTGTGGGGGCCTGTGCGTTATGTACAGTGCTAGCTTTCCGTAGGGTTCCCCATCAAAGTTATAGTGCAATGGTACCCGAAACGGCCCCCGGCCCAAGCCTGGTTTCAATCATCAGTGCCCTTGTACACCGCACCCGAAAGCTTCACAAAGACCGCCTGAAACCGACCATAAACGAACGGAGCCCTGGCCAGGAAAAGGGGAGGAAAGAGCGAGTCGCAGGTCCGGCAGAGCCGGGCTTCGAGGGCTTTTGGGGTTGTCTGGGCATGGGGTTTCTGGCTTCGAAGCACGCAGAAGTGGGGGGAAAGATCTACATGCATAGGTTTTGAACAGGAGGACATTGGCCGAGGAATTCAGGCGCTGCTCGCCTTTGCGGTGTTGGATGAAGTTGAGAAGACAGCATTGCTACCCGTGCAGCCACATGATTCCGGTTCCGAGCACCCGAATCCCAAGCCCTGAAGCATAATTAATCAACCTACGCCTCAAGAACCAGATAAAACGTGAATGGTCAACCCTAGAACTGAACGGCAGGATGCACACTGCTGTTCCTTGGCTGACTTGCTTCGGGCCTTGGGGTTTCGGGTGTCTTGTTTTTCGGGATTTTGCGGCTGCATCGGTGCGGCGTCTGCATGCAGAGACGTTGTGAAACTAAAGCTTTGTGTTCGGGTTGGGGGCACTTGTTGCAGACAGAGCACGGCCTAATGCTCCATTGCGAGGCATTGCAGTGGGAATCTTCCTAAAGTGCTGCACGTTGTGTTTTTTGCGCCTCTTTTTGTGCGCGGCTTGCTGCACATGATTCGAGCACGGTTGGGAACGACATCATGAAAGGTTGCGGGCCTGTGAACTTTCCGGTCTGCAAAGGTTTCGGTAGCTTTTCAGGATGTTTCAGGGGTCAAGATCTCGTCGAAACCCTAAAGCCCTTAAGTTGAAGCGCCTAAAGCCCCAAAAGCCAAAGACACGATAACCGGAAATCGCCTCAAGAAGAGCACCACAGCCCAACACGAGGCCTTGAAAAAGCCCCAACCGGTCCAGCCGCTCGAAATCGAACTCTCCCCCGTGTCAGTGTGTCCCAGGTCTCCGTGTCCAGTTTCCCAAGAAGCAGACAGCAGAGGCCCAATCCTTGTGAAGCGAGGGGTGGTTCTTTGAACGAGGGTCCCCTTCTGTGGTCCTTGCCCTTACAGGAGAGGCCGACGCCGGTTAAGCTTGAGTTCTAAACGGGAAAGGTCTTGGTTTTGGCCGGTGTTGTTGCTTAAAAACGCTTTTAAGAGGTACTCGGCTTGTTACGCTCTGACTGAGGAGTTTGGAAACTGCGTTTCTAAGATGTTGATGATGTTTCATGTGAAACTCACTTGACCGGTTTCTCGCCAATGCCGTTCGAACGCTGTTTGAATGCTGAGGCTTGGTAGGATCACGGTTTTCTGGGGATCAGGTTCTCTAGCACTTCTGATGACCATGCTTTTGAGCATTGTAAGCTTGCACATCAATCAGCAAGCCAGGACCGTGTATTAGCAATCCCCAAATATCGAAGATAACCATCAACAAGATTACAAACTCTATGAACGCCTCTTACACACCATCAACAAATTCAACAGGCTATCATCACAGGATCCTGCAAGCATATACGATCAGGAGCCCAAGAACGTGGAGCCGGAGCGCATCCTTGCGCCGGCCCAGACGACAAGGCCCTGGTCAAGGGTGCCTTTTCAAGGGAGAAGTTGGAGCGGTCAAGGGTGTGGGGGAGTTTTGGCCTTCAGGGGTTTCGGGAAGGTTGGGTGTTAGGAGTTTACGGGTGCAGGAGTTTAGGTGCTGTAGTTTTGGCGATGATCTTGTGCCCCAGCAATGTGCCATCTGTTTTCATTCCGATCCTCCCAGATGTGTGAATCTCAGACGAAGGATTTGTCAAACTTAAACGCTGACAAAAGGCCTTACCCCAATCAATTACAAGGACCAGTCATGGTAGCACAAAGGAAACCGAAGGACACCAGAATCTCCATCGCTTTCTGCGATTGTGTAGGTTTGTCATAAAGGATGATTCGAGCATTGCGCGGAAAGCCTTGTCATTGTTGCCTGTTTATCCAGATCGCAGAAAAGGCCTAACGAAGACAGCTTTAGCAATGGACACAGTCAACCTGCTAGACGGGGCTATGCTTTGTTGTATCATTCGCACGTATCGTTCTGCGATGTGGCAGCAAGTCTCACGAAGTGAAGCCTATGCATGTGCAAACCTGCGTGTCTCTCTCTCTCTCTGTCAGAGAGGCGCTTAAACAAAACGCGCAAAGAACGCTATGTCACTGTGCCCTACACCCGTCTTGACAAGGGCGAGAGGTCCTCTGGATGACTACGTTGCGAGCCCGCCCGAGCGCCGGCTTTTCTGCTCTTGGCCTCTTGCTTTCAGCCCGAAGTCTCCCCCATAACTATGGCTACTCTGAACTGGATTGGGAAAGAGAGTTCTGAACTCCAGATTTTTGCGTGTGGCGAAGTTGACGTCTTTCAGCAGGATATCGGCGCATTTTTCATCTTGATAGCGGGGCTGCCCAGAAACGGCGTTCCGGCCTAGGGTGATGACGCAAACCTGCTACTAGTATAAGATGGGTCAAAGACATGGGGCCTTCGGGCGTGTCAGAAGCTGGGGCAGAGCACCCTCCTACAGAAAGTTGCATGCTTCAGGAAAAACCTTAAGCCACGCTTTTTGTGGGCGAGAAGGCCTTGCGTTCTCATCCCGCCGATCTTGTGCATTTGGGCTCCGACGTAGAGCCTTGGTGCAGACGTGGCTAGTCCCTTTCAAAGGCCAGGAGTGTCGGCTTGAAGATTCGGGTGTGGGGCAGTGCATGGTAGGCCTCTTATAACCTTGCGTGGCCGCGGTTCAGGCAGAGAAGGAATCATGGGAAGCACGTCTCAGGAGCCGGTGTTTGAGGTTTCCGGTCTTTGGAGTTGAAGGTTTGAAGGCTCTTCAGGCCTCTTCTGTGGCTTTGGCGGTTATTTGTAGCGAGGATTGGGCTGCAAAGGCGTGGGATGAACGGTTTCTGGATTTGTGTTGGGAGGCTTCAGCGTTGTAGGTCCAAGGGGAAGGGATGCGGGCGAGAGGCTGTCGAACCCCGCAGCTGTGAAGCTGCAAGCCTGAAAGTGAAGCTGTTCTGTTACATCAACCCGCAACCCTAAAACCTAAAAAGGTCTCCTCCCGGTGGACGTCTTATTGGGAAGTACAGAGGAAGCCTCCCAGCCGAGTCCCGAGTCCTAGCCCGCAATCTTCGCCCAAGAGGTTACCTGCGGTGTTTCCCAGCGCAGAAGTGTTGGATTCTAGCCACGGGACGGGGCCCTTTCGAGGAGCTGATCCAGCAGCTGCTACAGGCTGGCTTCTTGATTTTCGCATTCTTCTGGATTTTTGGGCTTCTCGGAGTTTAGGACTTTATGGTTTTAGGGTGTCAGCCCGCAGAAGCTCAGCAAGGAGCAAGGAGCTAGCTGTTGAAGGTGCAGCTGGTTGGGTCAGGCTGCTGGCTAGAGAGCCCACACACGGGTGTCAGGGTTGGGTTAAGGAGAGGTTCCTGTTTGAAGAAAATTCCAGCAAAGGGTGACCCACTTCGAAAAGGCGGAGAAGCAAGCAGAGGAGATCATCGCCAATGCCAAGAAGAACCGAGAGGGCCTCGGTACTGCGTTACGCTTGTGATGTGCTACAGATCCCGATTAAATCTATAGCTTCACTTACAGCAGGCTCCTTAACCAGACCCCCCCCCAAACCCTAAGCTTAAACCCTAAACCCTAAACCCCAAAAGACAAGAGGGTTCAAACAAAAACACAAAACATCCAAACCCTAAACCCTAAACCCCAACCCCCTTTGGCCTGGTTTGGGCTCGGGGAGCAAGGAAGGTCCCAGAAATGCCGAGCCGAGGTCTGACGAAGCTGCGCCAGGCCAAAGACAAGGCCGAAGAGGAGCTCAAGGAGAGCCGAGCCCGGGTAGTTGGGGTTTGTAGGATTGTAGGGTTTCGGAGTTAGGGCTTGGGGCTTGGGGTTTAGAGTTTAGGGTTTGGGGCTTGGGGTTTAGAGTTTGTAGGGTTTCGGATTTAGGGTTTAGGGTTTGTAGGGTTTCGGATTTAGGGTTTAGGGCTTAGGGCTTAGGGTAAAGGGGGCGGGTGCTTAAGACAGAAGTCTGAAGCTTCAAGATTCGTAATTAAGATACCCATACCCGACTTGTTGTCTCCGTATCACTACACTGTACTACCCCCCAACCCCCCACCCACGCCCGCCCCTGTCTTGGAGTTCTGGACTAGGTTCCATGGGATGATGCTCGTGGGGTTGTCGGGCAATGTCTTTTGCCAGTGTTCAAAGCTTTCCAAGAAGGATCCAAGTCAGGAGCCCAAAGCCCTTGAACTTGAATCCTAAACATGGCTTGCGGCTGAGGGACCAAAGCCTAAACCCATGACGTGTGTTCCAGGATTTCCGCGAGAAGGAGGAAGCCAGATTCCAAAAGGAGATGGGCCGCTCTGCATAATGAATCAAGAGGTTTGAACAAGCCACAAGTAGTAGTAACTTAGCAGTAAACTTTCCGTAAACCTTGTAAAGTTTTGTAACATACGCCCAAAACCCTAGTTGACTTACTTAGGCCCCCACAGTCGCAGCATACGTCTTATCAGCGTGCTGGAGGCTTTCGGGGCCTTTCAGATATCCCTTGAAGCGTCTTTCACTGGAGATCCCTAACCCTTGAGCCTACTATACTGGCCTAAATGGTTATTTGAGCCTACTATACTGGCCTAACTACAAGGCTCCTTCTTGTAGTTATATATGGCTTCTTTAATTCATACATATACCACCAAAGCCTTATTCTAACGATGAAGGCCCACAGCTTAGGCCATGAAGCTCCCGGGCTCCCATGATGGGAGCCCAGGAGCTCCACGGCGGAGCCCGGAGATCATCCCAAAGCCGATACAAGGACCCCAGGAATCCGACCCCCCCAATGGCCTCTGAGAGCTGCCCCTCCGAAGCCCCCATCATCTTAAAGCCGAAGCCCCCCTGAACCCTGCACCGAAGACACGCCTTAACAACTAGGTACTAGGCCCTAAGACCCTCGAACTGTTTTTAATTTTCTTTGAGGCGCCAAGGCCGGTGCAAACCCCGCAGAGACTTTGCAGGCACCTGGTACGGGAGCGTGGGCTTCGTAAGGGCTTTGAGGCTTCTGTGCTTGAAAGGGAGTTCTTGAGAATTAGGGGTAACATGTATTTAATGCGGAGGCGTTTGAGGTTTTCAGGCGTTTGGGGTGTCTTCAATGTTGAGACTCCTAACGAGACTGTACCTGGAGTTTAAAGTTTATGGTGACCAAAGTTTGGTGTTGCCGTGGGTATTCTGGGTTGAGAGTTGTGGAGCTGTTTTTTTGAAGTTTCTAGAGTTTTTGGAGGTTTGTCTGGGTTGCCTACAGCTTCGCAGCTGCAGTTACAGGGCTTCAGGCTTGCGGCTTTCGGCTGGCGCTGTCGGTTTTGTATCAGTGTGATGTGACCTTCATGCTGTACGGAGAAGTATGCCGGCACTCTTTGAACTTTAACGCTCAAGCCATTCTATGATATCTGCGCTGTAACGTACACACTGCGAGTGCAATAGAAGTGTTGTAATATGGAGCACGATACTGTATTACACCCAGTGTGCAAAAGATGAACTTGCGTCACTATGTTGCGGCGAGTCTGCTTTGTTGCAGCTGTACTGCTGTAATGCTACAGTCCTGAATTGCACCGAGATCCCCATGCCATTGTTTGACCAACCTGTCCTCTCAATCTCGGGCGCTGAAGCCACCAAGCTCCAGATCCTTGCAAGTTTGAGGTGAATGTCAGTTCATTACTCCAGGACGTGTGTCGTCCGCATCACCGTCAAGGTCATCGCTGGGGCGACCGTCATCGTCATCGCTTAATCATTTCCATCGCGACGTTGCCCGTCACCTTGGTCTTCGTTGTCGTCGTTGCTGCAACCACCATCAATAGCACAGCCACTACCAAAATCGTTGTCGTCAGACTGACAGCTCATGCCCTAAAATTGAACCCTTAAAGCCTAAGGCTTGTGCCGCCTCCCTTTCTCTAGCCTTCCCTCCGCAGGTCAGCACTCAGAGTGAAATCGACAGTGTCCACAAGGACCCCTCCTTCAGATATGGGACAAGGGGGGTTTCAGAAGGCAAGGGGCTCCTCATTTAGGGGTTCAGATATCGGAGCCAGAAGGGGGTTGTAGGTAAGCCAAGAGAACCGTGTTCATTTTCGTGGAACCCAAGCTTAATGCCCCTGTTGAAGTGCGGAGTGAAGACTGAGGATGTACGTAGTATGTACGCAGTGCTAGAGCATGCTAGCAGGAGGTGATTTTGCCAAGAGCTTACAAAGGGCCAAGATGAATGTCAGCCTTTGATGCACAGCTCAGCCTCGAAAGGTCTTTGTGATGTTACTCCTCCACTCGCGATCCTGCTCCCCGCGTCAGACAAAAGAGAGTCTTTGTTTAGGATTCAGGCTGCTAAAGCCTGGATCTTGCAAGCTCTCATCTTTGGCCGGTGACCCGTCTTTGTTCTGATCCTGCGCACAAAAGAAAGGCGCCTGTGCCCCATACACCTGTCGGGACGAGAAATGAAATGGCGCGGGGTCCCATGAGGACTACACCAACAACAAGGCCAAAACGATCGAATACGCCGCAGCCTCAGCACTTCCGGACTGAGGGCTTCAGGGCTTCAGGGCAGACGGAGTGGAAGGCCTTTAGTTTATGCCTTCTGGCACATGGCCCAGGACGCTCTTTAGTGCTCCTGTGCTCCATTCAGTTGGATCTAGACTTTCTCATCCTTACCGCTCATGGCAATGCTCGTTGCCGTGCCTGCCCTCTCCGTCCCAACTCCCAACTCCTCCCTCCAGAAACTGTACCGGTAAGGGGTTTATAGACCTGAAAGCCTCATGCTCTGAAGCATCAAAACGAAGCGCCGCAAATCCCGAAGACACCCCGTGCCCCGCGCAAGGTCGTGGGTCGAGTTTTGGAAGTTCCCGTGACCTTGTCTGACACACAGAAGCAGGCCGCGTTCTTCGGAGATTTCTTCGTTCCGGATCTTCGTAGATGTTGCTGTGGAAGTGGTTTGTGTCTTGTTTGTTTGTTTGTTTGTTGGGCTTCGTGCGATGCCAGAATCGGGAACGGACAATCTCATGGTCATTCCAAGGCAACTGCAGCCTGCCGAAACCCGGAAAGCCTTGAACACTGCGACCACACCCCGAACTCACAAGCACCTGAGAGCCACGGCCTGTGGTTTGATCAGAGACGATCAAGGTAGGCTTTGTCCAGATTCGCTCGCATCACACATTTGCACATCTTGCTAAAACATGTGTCGAAATTTGAATCGAAAAGGGCGCTTAGTAGCTTAGGGTCCAGGGTCGGTTCGGGTGACAGGCCTCCTTTTCAGAGTTGGAACTGTTCCACTTGAACGTTTGGAAAGGGCAGAGGCTTCTAGCACAAGGCCCGACAAAGGCAGGTACGGCTTTGGAGGCTTGTCTTTTTGTTTTTCCTGCCTTGACATCGTGTTCGAAGGCTCTCGTGGGATGATTCGGAGTCGGAGCTTTGTGGTTTAGGATGCTGCAGCACTGCACAGAAGCATTCCGAAACCCATAACCTGAAATCAACGCCTGCAAGATCTCGTTCGTTTCAACAAATCGAGTCCGCTCAACTGCCCGACCGCCCAAACCTTGCGCTTCTGGTGGTTTTGCCATTATATCTGCAGGCACTAAAGACGGGAGCTGCATGAGAGGAGCTCAATCCAAGGGGCGCTGCAGTGAACCCCACACCGATGTAATGGCTACACCATTGCGCTAGATGTCATCGTAGCAGCAGCAGTAGCAGTAGGAGCCCATCGACAGCTGAAGAGATGGCACAACAGGGCCCCTTTGAGAGATTTTCTTTCATGCTCGGACTAGCCATCTTTGAGTGTTCCTAAGAGGTGGCGCAGATGTTGAAGCTCTTGGGGACACTTTCCCCATGCACATGCCAAGAAGCTGTAGCCAGCTAGCCAGAAAGTCTTGTCATCCTCAGAGCTACGCATGTCTTTCTCAGCAAGAAGCTTCAATAATATGAAGCCCTAAACTTGACCGTTCGAAGTTGCTGTGCATGGGCCTTTGATCCCCAGTCTCGAGAAAGGGAGAGACAAAGACGGCGGGGTCGTTCATTGGTTTTTGCCTCGGAGCCAGCTGAAACCATCATCTCGTTCCAGCCTCGAAGCTATATGGTAATATGGTTCTGGGATGTTATGGGTGTATCAGGACATCGGGGACTTCAACAAAAAGGGTCTGTCCCTTGATGTTGGGATCCTCTTTCTTGGAACCCCTAACCTCAGCTCCGATCCATGTCCTGAGGGCCCCAGCTTAAGCCCAAGATCTCAGTAGCAGCGGCTTCACATGTCAAGCCATGCCCACTAGGGCACATGTTCAGGATCAGGAGTAGTCATCAGCCATAAAAGAATGTTGCAGCTTCCCTCAACAAGCTGAATAAGGAAAGAACAAGGGCAGCATGATGAGCATGAAGACGTCAGGCATAGCCTATACCCTCGACTCGACAGCCCCGATTGCTGGCTCCTAGATGTGTAGCGCCCGCGCTGCGGTTTTGGAACGACGCAGGGGGCGACCAGCAAACCAGCGTCCACCAAAAAGTGCGCAGGCGATTTAGAGGGTTCCTGAATCCTGAGCTCTGTGCCGAGAAGGCGAAGGCCCCGAGGCTACAGGATTTTTCCGGCTTGCCAGTTAATGGGCTTTTTCTGAATTCTCGTCTCTGGTCTTGGTGTCATCTTTCGCAGCCCGATCCCAACCCTTGTGTTTCAGACTATCAGAGGCGTAGATGCTGACGTGGGGCCTTGGGTTGAGATCCAGTCAAAGCCTCTTTGTGCTTTTGGCTTTAGAGGAGCAGTCGAAGATGTAAAGCACCGACAGCTCAAAGACGAGCCTGACGAGCAGCTTTGTCATGGCCGAGGCTGAGAGGGGACACCGCTCCTCGCAATCCAGAGGAAGCGGTCGGGCACTCAAAAGGGAGGGCTGAGCTTTCTGCAACACCCCCCCTGTGCGAAGATCAAGCCTATTAGGCCCCAGATCCCCAAAAAAGCCCAAAGACCCGCAAAGTCTCTAAACTTTGACCACGGAGTCCTAGACCAGATCCTGAAGCCTAAAGCCCTGGGCCGTAAAGCTTACAAATTGACAAACCTTCGCACAGGCGTGGCCAACTCCACAAAACAGCTGATGTCGAGGTGACAAGTCCGTCTACGACTGAGAAGCAGTCGGGCACCCAGGGGATATCAGGGAGTCAACGAGGAGTATGTACTTGCTCAGACAGGGTTTTGTCGGGTTCTTATTCCGCATTGGAGAGTCCGGGTTTTGCCATGGCAGACGTCGAACTGCACCAAGAGCACGAAGAGACTTCAGGGAGCCTGGCCGCAGGATGACTTCGGAGCAGTTCAACACCTTCGAGGACAAGAGGGTGTGCAGGCTGCAGCATCGATGAAGAAACACATTACCCGCTTGGACGATGCAGCAAGAGTTTGGGGAGGTTCCACTGAATGACGAGATATTTGGCCCACATTTGTAAGAAGATCGCTGCTGTGGAGTTAGGCTGGTTATCCAGCAGTCCGGCAGCCCTGCTGAAACCACCTTCCTGCGCCAGGAGCGTCGTGAGCTCGACAAGACTCATGCAGAGATCCGGGAGATCGAAGAGAAGATCGTGGAACTAGAGGAGGAGAAGAGGCCTGAGAGATTCATGATTCGAGGCAACAACAACCCTATTGTTGTGAGGATTGTGCGATTTGGAGCTACGTTGGCTTCTCTTCGTGTCTGAATGCGGTAATTTTCGAGCGGGTGTCGTGGAGCTGCGGGGCCCAACTTTCGAAGAGAGGGGGAGGATTCGGAGAAGCTTAGAGTGCAATGTCGGAGCATAGGCCGAAACCCAAACAAAGAATGGGCATGAGGTGCTTTTCGAACCCCCGGTGCTGAAAACTGGCGCACCCATGTGCCCCGGCCATTCCGTAGTACTAGCGCGCCGAGTGTTGCGACAGTTGTTTGATTGGCGAAACAATTCGTACGACAACTGATTGATCGACAACAGTTTTGAAGATTGCCAGGTGCTAGCACAACGTAGAGTTTTCGCAATCATATCCCTTGAATTGTGTTCCATATAACATCTGCATGCCCGGTATCCCCCAAAATCCGATCCAAGCTGTCAAGCGTGGATCTTTCTGAAGGTGTCCCAAAGACGATTCCCCACGAAAGGCCGGATGCTACGTTTGTGACTGATGTTGTTTCGGGCTTTGCAATATACTGGCAAAAATGTTTCGTGCTGGGGAGATTAAGGCAGAAGCCTGTTCCCTGGCCTGGCTTGTCGCGACTGTAACTATGGACGCACTCCTCGTCTGAAACGTGAAGCTTTACTACCTCTCCTGCAACGTTTCGTCATATTTCACAAATGTGTCATATGCACACATTTTCATAAACGAAGACATGTGCCCATACACTACATTACAGTAGTCGTATTGTAGACTGGGGTGCGCGCTTTGGTTGGATGCTGGCTAGTGGATCATACCATGCTGCGTGCTTCTCGCGACCGTCTTGCAGGTTAACCGTCGAGGTGATAGTCAGAAAGGGTGGTGGAAGTGGCCCAATCCTACATCCGCAAGAAGCCCGAGACCTGAGGCTTGAACCCTCGCAGAATTGCAGAACCCCCCCAACCCTAAGTCTCAAACCCCAAAGCTTCCTCAATAGGCCCCGAATCGTGGGGTGATCCTGCTCTCGGTGATCTGTTTCAGGCTTTCCCTACCAAGGATGGGCCGTGGCCGAAGGCCAGAGCCAAATAACAAGCGCTTCTTCGGGCTGATGCATGTAGGGCATGAAACAGTCAGTAAATCTTATCAGTTAGGATTCGCCTGTATAGTTGCTCGATGACGCTTCTGTAGTGAGCGAGGGCTTCGTGGCTGTTTCGGCGCTCTTGTACTGCTTGAAAATGGATGGGCCATCGGTGGTTTTGGGTTGGGGATGTCTTCAGTTGAGGCTTTGGGGTTCAGTGATTGCACAGCAGGGTGCCAGATGGAGAGCTATTCCTGCGCTGGGCCTGTTTTGTGGGAAGTTCTGTGTTGCTGGTCGTGTCGGTTCGATGCTTTCCGTCCGAAAGAGTGGAACACGAAATCCAATAGGTTGTTGATGAATGCATGCACCTTGGTCAGTACCTGTCTGCAGCATGCATGGACTCTGCCAGTATGCATATCATATATGACATGCAAGCACCATGTAAAGAATTGCATGCACGCTGCAGAATTCTGTGTAGAGTCGCTCTTGCGAATTTAGCCTGGGCATATGCAGTACTCTAACTTTCCGACTGGGCCGACGATCACGGATCAAGAGGAGCCTGAGAGAGCCCAGAGCCCGGGGCCCTGCCTTTGCCTTTAATCTTTCCTTTGGTTAGTAGGGAATGGAAGAATGGTAGGAATAGTGGCTATAATTCTACCCCATTCCTCCCTTCCCCGCTAGCCAAAGGTAAGTTGTAGGATTCTTAAGGCCCCCTATCCTAAAGTACCCTTATAAGTTATAGTAACGCTTATAGACCCTTTATAACCTAAACCCTAAACCCTATAGGCCCTACTAACCAAAGGTAAGACTTTGCGCCAGGTTCCCTCACGGTGCCCTTTGTCTTCGCAGGCTCGCAAGCCCCCGGCCTTCGGCCCCCTCGGCTCTCGGGGTTTTCTTCGGTGCTACTGTGGCGTGGTGTTGTGGGCGCTTTCAGAGCTACGCAGCTACTCTATTACTCAGACTCTACCTGGGGCGACATGGCTTTTGAGGGTTTGGAGCCGGTCAGGGTTCAGGGCTTCGGGCTGACGTTGGTGAGTGGGGGTTTGTCAATGTCGCAGCCTGATTCGATACAAGTAGAGTCAGTTGATGCCGACCCTCAGACACAAATGCTTTCTCTCAAGGAGTCAATGGCGATGTTGCAAAGTGCCAGGACATGCCGTATAGTGCTTGAGTTACTCGTCGCATGATTCGGTAGTATAGCGCTTTAACACCCTCCAACAGCCGTAGCCTATCTGATTCTGCAAGAACCCCTCGTATATTCATGTTATCCATTCGATCCTGGAAGCCGAAGCTGAAGACTGCCCATCAGAAGAAGCCCAAGGCTCCAGCTGCCCCGTGGAGTGCGGCAACCCAGGGGTTTTCGAGTCTTGGGGTTGTCCAGGGCTAGGGTCCTGAACCCTAAACTTTCGTTTTGACTTTGGGGCATGACATGCGGGCTCCCATAGGCTATGCGTTGAGGAGGATGTGGCGAACTCCAGCAATTAGGATCATGTCGGTGTATGGTTTTTCGTTGGGACCGGTTTCGTCATTCTGGTTCTGGGCCTTTGTGAATGGCTCGATTCCTCGTAACTGGTCATCCGATTGGCTCCGCTGAAGTGGTATTCCCACTTGGCAGGGAGCAGAAAGCATTCAACAAAAGAAGCCGACGATGATGATAGCATCGTGTATAGAAACAACATATATAACTGAGGCTTGTGGACATGATTCCGTTTAAGTTCTTGGTGAGTGCGACGACGATCAGAACTAACTGAATACTGTATACTGTCCATTTGTCCGGCAATGCCTGCAGGCACGGCGAGCAGCATCCCACCTCCGCCGCCGGGGCCTCCACCCGTGGGGCCCCCACCGGGACCCCCACCAGGGCCACCCCCGAAAGCTGCGCCGACGCCGACGCCGATCACGCCAGCCCCTGGCCAGGATCTCAGAACAATACTCTACAAACATGTACACAGGGCGGGCAGCAACGGCACTATTCAACACCGCAAGTATGCCCATGTGCAGCAATCACAGACCATCTGGATCCGTGTTTTCGTCACTGTCGGCAGCTGGTTTGTCTTTTCGGTCTCCTCATCGGCATAATTCCTGTGTCTGGGCAGACTTGCCATGGAGTGACCGGCTTTAGGGTTCAGAGCTCGAGGCTCGGGGCAGGTCTTAGTGGCGGGGCTTCGTTAACGTCTCAGGGGGTTGCCAGGATCCGCGACAAGGGTCTGAATAAGCTTTTGTCGTGGGTCGAGTGCAGCAGCGCACGTCTTGCAGAGCAAAGGTTGGATCGATTTGTCAGCGTCATCGTTCTCGTCACTAAGACCGTTACTACCCCTTGTTGCTAACTCCTGCTTTGGAGGCTGTTCTCTCTAACTGGGGCTGCGGGACTCTCCCCGAATCCCAGGCCCTGCAGGAAGTTTTCGTCCGCATTTCCGCTAGTAGAAACCGACATTGACATGTTTTCGTCGCAGAACCCACGCGAGCCAGAACAGCGCGACCCTATCAGCGTCCATCACCACGAAGACGAGCAGGAACTATGTGTGCGCAGACCACTCCTTCCTGCACTACAGTTTGTAATCATGAGACGTGAATGATGTAAATGAGGTAAGCATGCAGCCCCACGATGCCTGCAAGGAACGGTGCCTTTCTGCCCAGCTCCTGAAGAAGAGCCAAGAACTCCCACGAAGCGAGGCCCGATTTCACCGCCGGAGTGTCTAGGTCGGTTGCAATCTTCAACCTTCTCCTTCAAGTGTCGGTAAGCAAAGGTTCTCTGTTCTGATCTCCAATCCTCCAGAACCTCCAGAACCAGGAATCTCGTGATTCCTTCAGATTGTGTCTGTATTTGCTTCTGTCAGTCTTCTTTGCAGAGGCGTGCTCCGGTCACTTCAGTCAGCTGAGCGTTTTGCCGCGATCTTGCCCGATGTCAGTTTCTTGTGTTCAAGTGTTTGGTTCAAGGAATTGACATCAATCGAGTTCCAATAGTCCAGGATAAGCCCTCAATTCTAAGCCCCAAAGCGTCAGGCCAAGCCGTTGCACCTTGCACCCTCGCACACACGTACATGTACGCAGACAAAAAGATCGAGATCTCCAGGGTTCGACCTCGTCCACCGCCAAAGCCAAACAACTCTATCTGCAAGCTATACTCTTGCCTGTGCCTTGCTATTGTTGCATCGTCACCATATCATCGTAGTCGTCCTTGTAGCAACCCCTAGTAAGGCCCTAGTAGTCAGCAGTGGTAGCCGGTAGCAGTCGGAGTAGAAGCTGTACCACGTCCACTGCCAAACCAAACTTGCGAGGCACTTGTCCCCCAGCCATGGCCGCCGTCTGCGCGCGTGCAGCACTTATAGAGCTGGCCACCAGGCTGCGTGCGACGAACCCGGAACGCTGGCTGGACCTGACGTGCAGTGTCGACAGGGCCGAGAAAGACCCGCAGGAGCGAACTGTCGATCCTGACACTAAAAAGACATTCACATCGTTCGAGTTGATGGACGAGCTGGAAAAGAACGGCCAGGAGCGCCTGGGAAGCGAGTTCTCGCGTCGCCGAGGGTATACCGAGCAGGAGAGAGCAGACTATGCAGAGTGGCTGGAGATGACCCAGCACATGATTCAAGCCTACGGATCCGTGGACCATGTGCAGTTGCTAGACACTCATGTGCGCCTGTTGAGCAAAGCCCAGCAGGAGGCTGAGACAATGGGCAGCGACGAAGCGCGAACCCTCGAGGACTTCGGCATCCAGATCAAGATCTGCATGGTCGACGGAGTGATGAAGACTACTGTGGACCAAGCAAACTACAAAGAGCTGCTGTCCCACTTTGCCCCGATCGACAGCGACGACGGTCGCGGCCGCAGCCGGTCTCCGCGAAGAACTGCAGCTTAGGTCGCTGTTCGGATCTCAAGTCGGGTGTCCGGCAAAAGAGCCTTCACGTCTGCAGGAGAGACCCACAGCTGGATTCCCCTGCAGCAAGGAATCGGTTGTACTAAACCAGCCCCTTCACCAAGCAACCCTCACAAACCCCTCGAACCACAAACTAACTAGTACTGACGTAAGTGTTGTCACGAGCCAGAAGAGCCAGAAGAAGGCTATCTAAGCCCAAGCCGACCCTGAAAAGTAGAGCCCTGAGAGAAAGCTTCACGGTTTAGCAGGGCGGTCTCAGCTCACCCGAGACTCTCCGACGGCGCAGAAGAAGAGCCGCCCGGGTGCCAAGTTGCTGCGGGAGCAGTCTTTTTGGATGCTTCAAACAGAGGGCGATTGTGTTGATGCTGTTGTTGCTGCTGAGCGATGGTGTGATGTTGTTGCTGCTGATGATGACGATGACGATATTCGCGCATACCCCGCACACTTGAAGCCCCTTCCGGAGTGTGATTCTTGAGGATGCCAGTCGCCTGGCGTCGTCGTTCCCCCGAAGAGAATGCCTGTGGCTTCTGCAGCTTTGCAGGAAATGTCAAAGCCAGGCCGGTGAATTTGGATGGTTTGATGTGGAAAGTACAGGGTTTTCTCGCGGTTTATAGTATGTAGAAGAGTTTTCTTGTAAAGGATTTTATCGGGATTTAAAGAGGCTTGTAGGTAATGCGGCATTTAACGAAGTCTGAGACGGCTTTCCAGGGGCTGTCAAGGGTCTGAGAGTGCCTTTACGCCGGCGCACATCTCTCCACCGAGTTTGGGGTGAAGGTCTCCTGGCATTTGAAGAGGTCTTTGGGGTTTAGAAGTGTAGAATCGGGGATCTAGAATGAAAAAGCCGAAGGCCCTCACGTCATAAGCGCCCCTGGTGCAGATCCATGAATGCGAATTGTCCCTAGAGCCAAAAGAGACATTGTAACTGTTCCGAGACATGGATGAAGCCTGAAGCCTTCCGCAACCCGAGCCTTCCAGTCCCCTTGCCGCCTGGGCCACCGCCCGCAGAAACCCCAGGCGGAGAGGGCAAATGAGGGTTTCTCCGGAGCCGCTGTTTCGTAGACACGATGTTTCAGAGTTTCGCTGGCTTTCCCCAAAGGAGCCTTTCGCAGGAGCTTCGATGTAGGACTTCGATCGGCGATTCAAGCAAAGCTAAAGAGCCGAGCTTCGAGGTTTCCTGAAAGGATTACTGTAAGCCCTGACCGACCCCGAGCCTAAGAGCCTATGAGCTCCAGTACCTTAACCGGGATTCCAGCCCAATCCTCACCCTGCAGAGAAAATCTACGCCTACGCTCTCCCCCACCTTCCCAGCAAAGGATTTGAGAGTGAGGTTCCAGGCTGGGAAGAAATTCGGGATTTAGGCTGGGCGGGCTGTTGCACAAGTGCTAGGTGCAGGATTTGGTCTGCCATATGCACTGAACTCAAAGCACTTGAAGTTGAAGCCATCACGCCCTTGTTTACGAAGTTAATGCAAGCTGACGTTCTCCGGACCCCCACACACGAGCAACTCAAAACCCGAAATCCTGAATCCTGAAGCCGTCTGAGCCTGCAAATCTCGGGAGGCGTCCCTGAACCTCCAACACCGCAAAAGCAGCTGGGCCCCCCAGATCTGCTGTTTGCAAGATCATACATGCGAGGCTTTGCCTGCAGTGTTTCTGAAAGCAAAAACTTCAAGGCCTCACTCCGCAAGGATTCGATCAGGTTTCCCACGTTCTCACAGGGACCAGGACCCGGGAACCCGTGAGCCGCCCCGCCCTAGCGAGTGTGAAGCTTTGAGGGGTTTTTTGCACTACCGACACAATGGTTTTGTACGAATTCCGCACCCTAAGAGAGATGCCGGCACCATTAGATGATGCTGAGGGTGACAAAGACCGAGCCAAACGACTGGGATAACTGGCACGCCACCGAGAACTGGACTTAGCGTCGATGTTCCTTTTGGAGGGTTTGGGGTGATTGGCCCATGAGCTCACCACGTTTACGCGTTCGATGTGTTTTCTGAAGATGTGCGTCGATCCTGACCGAGATTCCAGAGTCTTTGCAGTAGCTTGAAACTCCACACTATTCCACGTGAGCATATGGATGAACCGGCATGGACACCCAAGTTCCGTGATTCTGTCCGGTCCTCATCTTGTACGGCATCTCGAAAGGCCAACCCACAACTTGATTTTCTGTTGTACCTTCGCCAGCATCGTGGCTCGAGTCGTCTTCTGTACCTGATGTTGGCAAAGCTGGACGTAAATTTCGCGAAAGGAGGGGGAACAGCAAGCAAGGGAGCCAGACGAGTCGTCAAATGATTTGCTTGCATCGATTCTTGCATTGAGCCGTTTCTGCAGGTTCGCTGGTAATGACGAGTGTTGGTTTTGGGCTCTTGTGCCTCAGGGCCCAGGTGTCGAAGCACAAAGCCCCGAACCCCTCAACTTAAACCCTGAACAGCAAACTTCAAATGAACCCAGGAGTCAGATTGGTGTTCGGAACCGCGGCAAAGATCCTCTGTGTTGACGGACCTTCACTTCACACGCCGCTAGATCTGCCATCCAGAAAACCACTTGAATCTTGGCTGGCTTTGGCATAAAGCCCGTTGTTCTAGAGCCAGTGGAGGTACAGCCAGGACGAGTGGTGCCAATGGAACGAGTGGGAAGAGGCATCATGGTACGCGCCGCGTGCTCGGATCCAGGTGGTACAGAGTCCAAATTGTGAGTCGTCCTTGTAGACTACTGACTACTCCCTTTGAGGGAACACCCTATGCCCTATACACTGCAAACCCTAGACTCGGAGCAGTCAGTGGCAGAGTGAAGGGACCGAGCAGTGCCGAGGGCACGAGTGTGACGCGGCCTTGGCTGCGTAGACTTCATGGTGCCCGGTTGAACTCCATGTTCATTGTCCAGCTCATCAGTGGAACAAGCGAATCATCGCGATCACCGCCATCGTCATCGTCATCATCACTGCCATGATTCTCACAGCACCCAACGGTCTCAGTCGCCCAGGGAAGCAGGCGAGAAGCCTTCCACCGACTGGGGCTGGCAGGCAAATGTGGAGACTCCGGATCCAGCGCTCGGTGCCTAAAGCACGACGTGCTTATAAAACCCGAAGACTTTGTCATAACATGCTGTAGACACTTGTAGTATACAGCCTGTATAGTCCGGGCTTTGATATACTTCTTCTGTGGAGTTTGGGTTTTCGCTGTGCGGACTTGGGTCTGAAGGACATGGCGGAAGCATTTGCTATCAAGGCATTGTCAGTCGCGGGTTTGTAGGTCTGGCCTGGCTGCGTAGACATGTCAGGTTTAGGCTTCATTGCGTTTCTGCATTTTTGGGGCGCATCGTCACCTGCTCGTTGTTTCTTTGGGACTGCCCTCCTCTTTCCTTTCTATGGACATTGAGTTGCTCGAGCCCAATTCTCGAAAAATCGCTGCTTGACCTAGGCCTGGCATCCTACCAGCTGCAAGCGAACTGGAATCATTTGGGCTTCCGCCACCTCCGCAGCCGCCTCCACAGGCACTTGGGTGAGCTTTTGGGAGTTTGGGCGGCTTCCTGTACCCTTTTGAGCGGAAGGGTGCCGAGGACTAACCCAACACTAGAAGCTGTCAGCCCGAAACTTTCACACCCGGAAAGGTTGCGAGCAGCGGTGCTCAGACCTCTCTTTTGGGGAGTAGTCTCGGGGTGACGGCTGCATGTCTTTATGAAGGCATATTTGAGACGCGGCCCAGTGCGCTTCTCGAAAAAGACGACTCGACAACCACTCCGACCTCAAAAATGCCGCCAGATGCGCCTCTCAAGAGGCCTGCGTGAGTTTAGCCAGAACAGTGCCAACGTTGAGTGTTTGAGCTTTAAGGGGTGAAGGTTTCAGCACCCCTGCAAACCTGAGACCCCTAGGAGCATTACACCGGTTTCCGCAACTCCCTCAGTCCAACCCACAACTGAAGCCCCGCACATTACAGCCAACCCCTTCTGCAGAAGGTCAGCAGCACGCCAGCTGTCGGCCAGCCGTGCCCAAAGGAAGGCAGTTGTGCTCTGAAGATCGTTTTGTGGGTCGGTTTCGGGGTACGAGGGCCCGGCATTTGACTTTCTTTAGAGCGTAATGGCCTCCAGGATTTGGAAGCGTTGGTAGGTTACTTGGCAGCAGAGCTTCGGGAGAGGGTTTGCCTAAACACCTGAAGGACGCAGTCCTCGAGGTCTATAACGCCCTGCATGCACTGTGAAGCCAAGGATTCGGTAGCCATCACTGCCCATGCACATGATGCAGACAACGCGTGTAACACGTAGGGCGCGAGCATGCTGGACACAAACGGTGTGCACACAAGACGTGTGTTTTGTGGCACCTGGCAAAAACGCAAGCGCCGTCCGATGACACTTACTCTAAGCTCTAAGATGCTCTAAGCTTGCTGGTCCGTTCGTGCCCAGGAAAGGCTTTTTCAGCTCCGAGGCTGACCTCGCAATCTGCAACCCAAGCCGTAAACCCCCGTAAGCCCTACAGCAATAAAAATCCCTTCGACCAAAATCGATCCGTGGAAGCAACCCTGGCAACCCTGATGGAAAATGCTGGACCGCCAGTTCTCGGCACCCCGACGCGCCGACTCCGTGGTATTTCGACAGGCGGGGGATGCAGGGGTGGGAGGGTTTCGGACGCAGGGTTCAGGGCTTGGGGTCTTTGGGATAGAGGGCTTCGGGTTTTCAGCGCTTAGGCTTGAGGTTCATGGTATGTTGCGGGGCATTGATGGCAATTTTGCGAGATCAGGACCTTCCTTATTTGAGCTTCGGGTATGTGGGCTTCTCAAACGTCGGATGGAGGCAGTGTAGGATGCATGGAGTACTCAAACCTGCGAGCGAGAGGGGTTGAGATCCGATAGCCATAGAGGGCTGAGCCGCGGAATGCTTTTGATACCCCGAAGCCCTTCACGCAGAGACTCACGGTGTCTTCCGTGCAGAAGAGATACCGGATCTGTATCAGATTATCTGGAGGTGGAGGGCACGAAACCACACTGTCACCACTCAGCCCAATGTTGTTGCTAACAGTGGTGGCAAATGGGCCTTGGACAGAGCTACGTGTGGCGCATGCGAGACTGTCCGGATGCACCGGTGCACTGTGGGCAACACCGGATGGTGGAACTTTCAGCCCAGAAGCCTTGCAAGAGCTATCGGACCCAGGAGCCCTGTGAGCTTTTCCTGGGCGAACACCTACACACCAGGGTCCCTGTGCAAGTTATGGCCAGGTCTTTTGGAACGATGTCATGATTCTGTGACAGCATTCGGGTTTACAGTGCGGACATTGGGAACCCCATTCAGAATTCACGGGACAACGTGAACGGAAGAACCTGCACAGTGACACAAAGAGCTTTTTCCAAAAGGGTTGCCCGGACAGGGATACATATACTCTACATCAGCCCGACACTTCCAATGATTAAAGCACCCCTTGACTTAAGACACTCCTCGGTATGGCAGAGCTAGGGCAGCTAGGACCGGTAGTGAGCTGCTGTAGGGATATTTGGAATGTGAGATGCACATATACACGTCGATGTCTGTACATATTGTAGTTTGTAAGTTCAGCCTCGGCATCGAACTCGAAGCCCTCTGCGTAAAGCGTTTCAACTCTGACGGGGTGGCAAACGAGTCCCCTTTCCAAACATTGACTTCGGAACGCAAGGGCGCGCCCGCAGTCGAACTCCCGCGAGGGGTCGTCAGGAGCTCGGCCAAAGTCGATAAGCTCTGCGCACTTTCAAAACGGAGCAGTGCAATGTGGGCTCTTTATGTCGTGCCTGCTGCTAGAAGCAGCAGCAACAACGACAACAACAGCAACAGTAACAAGAACTGCTGCTGCTACTGACTGCTGCTGCTACTGCTGCTACTAATACTACTACTTCTTGCTTGGACGACGACTGCTTCTACCACCGCCGCGGCTGCTGCTGTTGCTGCTGCTGCCAAAACATAAGCAAGTTTGCATGAGCTTCCTGGGCGGCAGAGTGCTTGAATCTCTGAGGTCGAAGCCCCAGCCGTGGGCGAAGCATGTGCAGATCAGCGACGTTGCTGCGAGATGAGGGTTGTAATGATCGAGGTTTTGGATTTAGGGGTTATGGTTGAGGCTGGAGGGTTGTCTCTATGATACTCTACAATGTCTGAACTTCTGGACCCCGTAGTATTAGTACCACTCAGGAGCGCTTGAGACGGATTGAGCTTGCGCTGTGAGGTCACGCGTGAGCCCGGGCCGGCCTCGCAAGCTGCAGGTGGGTTCTTGTAGAGTTCCTTCTAAGAGTAGCTAGAAGAGTTTGTATGAGGGTTTCGTGAAGGCTGTTGATCAAGTTCGGTTTGCGGTCCAAGGGGCTTACAGGGCCAGGGTGTAAGGCTTCTGGGATTTTGGTTGAAGGAAAGTACGATTGGAGGGGTTTCTTAGGAGGAAAATAAAGGGGAAGACAGCGGGTCGGTATACTCATAGAATGCTGGGTTCGAGGGTTTCGTATGCGCTTAAGTCAGCTCAGCATATTCGGGGTGTGTTGCAATTATATGTGTTCTGACTGTGAACTCAACTTAAGTCCCTTAGTAAGAACCGCGGCTGCGAATATTGTTGTGTTTCTACCCCAACCACCTGAACTGACAAAGCCAACGAGCCATGAACAAACAGCATCAGTTTCCAGTCACCAATCGTGTTGAACCGCACTCAAACGGCTTGGTGTGAGCCACAGAATGATCGTGGGTTACAGTATAGAAAGGGTAGGCGTAATGTAACATGCATGGATGCAGAACATAGCATACCGCACACGACAACCGGATGAAAGCAGAGATACAAAGCACTACAGTATATCGCAGAGCGCTCGGGAACGAGAATCTGACTCGTGAACGAGCTGGTAATCAGACAGGAATAGGTCAATCTGCCCGGTCGAATAGGGTGGCGGTCGTGTGTCTGACACTACTCAACCCTGAAGCCTATACCCCCAAAGCCCGAAGCTAGCAGCTGCAGCAGCACATGTGATAGTCGTCTTCATGCCTGCGCACAGAGAGGCGCGAACGAAGCGCACTCGACGGAAGGCAGCGAGGCGTGGAAAGGGCACGTAACGTGCGAACATGGTGAACTGCGGCTTAAGGTTTGGAGTTAGTTGTAGGATTGTTGGGTGTGGGATATTGGGACTGGTCCCCTGGCGCTTCTGATTTGTACAGTAGGCATTCGCATGAGCAGTGTCCCGGAGCAAAGAAAGAAAGCCCTTAAACCCACAGCCGAACACCAAGGCTTGGTTTAGACCTAGCAAGGTATCTTACAAATCCTGCATTCACTCTAGAATTCGCATCCTTGCGTACTTCAGTCGGGTTTGGGCGTGTTCGATTGGGGCTCTTCGTCGTACGTGTGCTCTAGTCTTCAAGCCTTGAGCATATGGTAAGGTGTTCAGGGGCATCTCGGGATCGGAATCCGGAAAGCCACACCTCAAAGCCTCAAGGCTGCAGCCCTACACCCCAAGAGCCTGATTCAACCTCAACCCGTTAAAGCTAAATTCAAACATGCACGGCTGAATCCCCAGATATGTCTCGTGCCCACTGAGAGGCAGTTGCCTGGGACTTGGTGGACTATCTGCAGACGGTGCCAGACTCAAATGTTGGGAACGTGGCAGGTGAGCCATGTTATGGCAGTCTTGAGCGGTCGCGGTCACCGCCGGTCCCCCCTGCAACATGACGAGCGCTACGGTGCTGCAAACCCGGTCCCATTTTTTGGTGCCGGGGGGCACCCTGATTGTTCTACCAGCCTTCTAAGACGACCGGCGCCGTTGATTCGTCGGCTTCATAGCCAGTGATCGCAGCAACACCAGCGGCACGAAGAACGAAGAAGTCTGCCAGGGTTTCGACATGTTTCGGCCTTTGTGCAGAAACAGCCCTGCCTTTGCATGCGGCCCCAAGGAGCTGCAAAAGGCCGTAACTCTGCTAAATTTTCACCGATCCCGAGGTGCTCAAACTGGATCGATCCGCCAGTGCAGCTTTGCGCCTGCTTCCTTTGCACCAGGCTCTTGCAAGGGCTCGTGAGCTTGGTCTCAGGGCCTCCCAAAATCTCCCAGAGCGTAGAATTTCGGCTCTATGTTCCAAGCCTTTGGAGGCGATCTCCGGTTCCCCGTAAAGTTCGCGGAAGTGCAACCCTGAATTTGACCGGTGACCCATGCAACTGCCTAGCACCCTGCGCTCATGTCCTGTTGATGTCGGCCGTGTCACATCCTTGACCCGTCCCTGGCTGGAATTTGCGGTACACGTATGTCAGAAAGGTTGCCCAAGTCATGGGGGTCGGCTAGGCCTAAGCTTGCCCTGTCAGCCCTACGTATCCCTACGTCTCAGCCCTTGAGTCCCCGACCCTTCTAAACACCCTGATAAACCCTGAAGCCCTAAGCACTTCAGAACCCTTAGGCCCTCAACCGCGACAGGCCCGGGATGCCCTTGGCAAAGCTTTGCACGACGAGCTGCTGATCTCAATCTTCCATATCCGGGCTTTTAGTTGGGCCCCTTGAGGTCACCGTATACTGTATACTTGTACTTCTACTATACTCCAATAATGCAATCCGAGCCCTTCCAATGTTGGCTGGGGCATTGCTCCAGGAATTTACCGACGGAGTCAGGCAACATCTCTAATGCCGGCCGATGCATGCCTTTAGCCTGAAGTCTTACCCATGGCCGACTAGGAGGGTTTTGCCTAGCGACGTGTGTAACTCATACCACTCCTGAAGCCGAAATTTTAAACCTTACCACTAAGCGTAAGCCCTTAAAGCCCTGCACAGCCCAAGCTTCACCTATCGATACTTCATGTTTCTTCGGAGCACCTTCCAAGGAATCCCAGCAAAATCGTCCACAAGCACTACCGAGCCCAGCGGCCGCAGGAGGAGGCTGTGGGCCTCAAAAAGGGCTGGATTTGCAGAATGTTTGTGGCGTGTTAGACAGTAAGAGTAACGCTGCATCGGCTTTGGCTGCAGGACTGATTCGTGTCCATGACTCTTGAAGCAGTGTCAAGGTTCAAGAAGTCAGTCCTAGAGGGTTCCGAGCTTTCAGAGCATCGGGCAAAGTCGTTTTAATGATGTTTGCATCAGAAAGGGCCCCCAAGTTGTCTGAGCCCTTCCGTGTCTCCGGTATCTCACTGTGTGCCGGATTCGAAGCCACAGAGCCTTCGATTTGAAAGACGAATCCTCTGCCGCCAAATCTCAGGCTCCGCAGATTTTGGGGCTCTGGGTTTGGGGAGGCTCGTGGATGATTTCGCTCGCAGGATAGACCTCTGAGCTACGATGCCTTGGCAGCGATAGAGACGCTGCCTCCGGAGCAGGCCCCCAACTGCGCAGAAGACTCCTGCGGTGCTTTTAAAACAACTGAGGGGGTGCAAAAGTAAGTGTGTGTATGTGTGTGTCTGATTCCAAATCCGCTAAAGTCCCGCAGTGCCAGCCATGCTGGTATGGCACAGGCAAGAGGGTGGGGCGGTTTCTGAAATGCTTAGTTTTCGTATGGCTGCAAGGTCAGGACACAATCTTACAGCAACAATAAGCGGCTGGTCTACACCATGTCTACACCTATGTAGTTGCAGCTTCCTGTGTATATTTTAGCCACTACACTACACCATGCATCCATGCGATGATGGCTGGTGATAGTGCAATCATACCCAGAACTATGCTTAAGACGTAGCACCATCATAAATGTGCACGACTACACTACAGAAGATCATCAGGCTGCTGTGGTCTACCAGTATAGAAGAGAAGATAGCGCGAGCAAAGCGAGGCAACGCACCAAGTCATGTCTTGCATCGTACTCCACCGAGGGCGAATACAATCCGTCAAAACCACTGTCTTGTATCCCGGATTGAGACTCGGGAACTTCAGACGAAGGGTGTGGACTTGCAGGCCCAGCAGCTCTTCAAGAAGTTGCCCAAGTCGATGATGCTTGCCTGTTGCCTAACCTGGGATGTGGGATCCTGCAGTTCTCAACCCAAAAGGGCGGGGGCGTGACTTCAGCACGAGCGTCTTAGCTCTTGGCAAGGTATGGCAATCACTAAGCAACAAAGGACTTTACCCGACGGAAGCCTCAAGCCATGACCGCTGAGCCCTACGGCCCAAGCCATGAGCCCAATCCAAACTGCTGAAGCCGAGGAATCCGAATGCATTCGTGATGGGCTGGGTCCGCCGCTACCGACAGGAGGAGCAGCAGCAAAATCCTTCGGAAAGCTGGTGGAACTACTGGCCCTGACGTTTCACAGGCGAGCTTGTTCCAAGAGGCCCTGAGGATGGAAGGTCACAATGGCCACGCTCACTACTCCCCTCTCGAAACAAGCTGAACCTCCACGACATCGGGCCAAGTTGGGAGAATCAGGGACCCGGTAGAGACCTTAAATAGTAGGGTCCTGACCAAGAAGACCCCTAAATCAGGGACCTCGGAGTTTCAAATGAGTTTGGCTAACTGGCACTGAAAGAGTCGATTTCGAAGCATCTGACCACTGACCACCTGTTGCTGAGGGTCTGCAGGCTGCCTTTAGCCGCATCTGAAACAACAAAGGTTCGACATGCGATGTTTCGCATTTTTCTGGGATCGGAGGAGGCCCTCTGCAAAGTAAAAGCGCCTTTCTGAGCTTCTCATCTATTGAGATTCTGTGGTAGATCTTCTTTGCAGAGGCGTGCTCTGGCCAGTAGCAGTCCTTTGAGCGTTTTGCCGCGATCATTGCGGTTTACTTTTGGGAGTTTCAGCTGTCCGGTTCGAGGAATTGGCATCAGAGTTCCGATATTTCGGGAAACTCTCCACCCTCAACCCCGAAGCGCTAATCCCTTGGACCCTACACCCGGTGAGCGGTCGAGGTCATCTCTGAATCGCGGCAATGTGCGGGCGACGTAGGACCCTGTCTCCTGACAGTCAGGGCCGGGGCGACTGCCAAGCTTTGTCAAGCACTCGTAGGACCCCAAACCCTGAGGCCCGAAAATACATCTCGTTCGAGCATGTCAGGTGCTGGCAGTAGCTTTGGTCCATGTCCATGAGTCATGGCCGGTCGAGCGGCCTTCGTTATCTGTGTGATCTCAGCACGGTCCGTGCTCTTATGAGACCTGGCCAGAACGCTCATCAAACACTACAACCTGAAGCCTTTTAGTTCTTACACTACACCTTTCAAGGAGCCGCGTGCAGGGAAAGAGACGTTGTAGAGCTGTCTCTATGTGCGTGGCAGGCGAAAATGGTGTCCGTTTTCCGTGCTGCAGTGTGGCCACGTGTGTGCGTGTGTCAAGGTGTGTCAGTTGTACAGTGACTCCATTACTATAGAGGCCTTAACAATTAATTAGAGCAGGGTTCTGGGGCACATGATAACATAGTCTTATCAGTCTTTACCCAGGATGTGGGACCAGTTCAGAAGGGTTGCCAAAGATGCACAACATACCCAATCATACGTAATAATTCGTTTTCTTGCCAGAACATTCAGGAACATTCAAAAGAGTTCCAAATCATTCCAGGAATCATTCGCACAACTTCCAAAAAATTCAGTAGGCCTCGCAGCCACAAATCCGAAATGCTCTCAACCCTAAAGCGCTTGTGAAGCCTGAAAGCAACATGTCGCCTGCCAAGCATTCCTGAAGTTCGTGTTCCAGGTGGCGTCCTCGCAGCAACGGGATCTCAAATGTCAACAGTACGGGTTTTCTCGAGCCATCGGCGCTTCCTGGAGCTTAGCAAAGTGAAGGCGGGGCAGGGTAGGGGCGAGTCTAGAATTTGAGGCTGGCAGTGCGCGCAGGCCTGGTCAACGCAGGCAGTTTCTGCCTTCTTTCCCGACTTGCTCTCGGCGGTGCTCCTCATCGACCGGCGGGCTGCGGAGGTGCCTCCAAGAGTACCTTGGTTCCTCGTCTGCTTTTCCAGCATAGTTGGCGCCGGAGCAGAGACTGCCTTCCGTAGGCTTGGTGATGCTACAAAATCCTGAAGTCAAGGCACGAAAAGCTTCTTGCGCTAGCCTTTGCACAGCAGGAATGAGCATGCACTAAAAGCATTTCCCCATAGATGGCGAGCGGCACCATCTCCTTGAAACTTGAAACCTTGCCAGGCGCCTGCCACGCTTCTTGCAGACCTTCGAGCTGTCGCCTAGGGCGTTTCCGAAGGCAGCGCAGCTAATCCAAGTTGCAAGCGCAGTCTCGTAGACGTACGCTTGTGCTAGGCGAGCAGCGCATGCCGCCCATCACGACTTACAGCTTTCCCGACCAGGTGGGTGCCGCTTTCCAGGTCCTCAAGCAAGCCAAGCATGTCGGTACCATGCAGAGAGGTCCTTGACTCCTTACACCGGTCTCGAGAGTCCGACTAGAGGGCTGGGATCTCGAGATCTATACTGAGGTAAGATTGTGCTGACGCTGCGTGGGCCCTCGTCTCCACCGAGGGAGAGGCAAGGACCTCTTCGAGTCCTTGCAGCATGTCTCCGAGTACATCGGAGCATCTGAACTGGGGGTCCTAAGGAGTCCTAGGCCGTGAGGGACCTTTGATGGGGGCTGTCGCTGCCGTTCCTGGCGTGCTGGCATTGCCTCCCCCGAGCTGTGAAAGCCTGACACAGTCAAAGCCAGCCTCCGTCGGGATTCATGTGACCACACGTCATCAGCTCAGCTTGCAAGCCTTCACGTGGGTTTCCAGATCAGACTTGGCTTGGTTCTGGCGGATGCCGGCCTCGCGATGGACCCCAAGCTGATTCAGGGCGCTACGCAAGCACACCTGGATGCGCTCAAGGAGGTGGACGGCAAGCTGGTGACATCCCTCAAGGGCCACGAGGAGGTCACAGTCGCGATTGCGAAGCTCATCGCTTCGGCCCCGCCTGCCACGATCAAGAAGGTCTTCGACACCGTTCCCAACATTCAGGGCTTGAATGCGGACTGGTTCGCCACCATGCCAATGACCGATGCCATCAAGTCCTACCAGGCCTTCCTCGAGACAGCCACAGCAGTTGCGGCGGCCAAGCGCTAGGCCCGCTAGCCGCTGAGACAAGGAATATCTGTTTACCTGTATAGTCCTGACGCTAGAACAAGCGCTTTAACACCTTTTTTGACAGCTTTTGTTCAGTTGACTATCTTGACCGTAGGATCTCGTCGCCTACAAGTGGTTGCGAGAGGTTGTGTGTTGTCGTATCTTGGTAGTGCCTTTCGCGACAGACGAAATGATGCCACAGCAGTGGTAGTAGGGAGGTTGGAAGGTTGAAGGAGGACGTTTTCTGTGTAGCTCGTGTTGCGCAGTTTTTCAGCTGCGTGTGGCGTAGATCCCCGGGCGCTCTGGAGGCTTTTGTTGCAATGGCTCGATCCGGCCGTGTCCTTTGCCTCGTGGCGGCGGTTGCCGCAGTGCTGCACGCCTCGTCGTGGACCTTTGTGCCTGGCCCGCTGCGGCGCCAGGCCGTTCCCTTGGCGGCCTCTGCAGCCGTCCTTGCGCCCCTCCCCGCCTTCGCGGATGGTGTGGACGCCGCGGCGAAGAAGCTTGCAGACGCCAGCTACCCCATGGTGAAGGCGGTTGACTGGGCCACCACCGACGTGCTGGACAAGTACATGGCCAAGGTGCCCACCACGAAGGAATTCAGCAAGGCAATCCTCGACCTGAGCGTGTCTCTGGACCCCAAGCTTGTCAAGGATGCTGTCGCTGCCCACAAGAAGGCAGTGGATGCCATGGGCCCCGACTTTGTCACGCCGCTGAAGAACCACGAGGAAGTGACCGTGGCGCTGGCCAAGATGTTGCTAGCTCTGAGTTAGGAAGCTGATTGAAAGGTATGTTGAGATTCCGGTGCTCAGGAACTGCAGGCAATCCAAACTTTCTCTTTGAGCCAGAATCTAGAGTTCTTGTAGGTTGTTGGCTTTGCTGATGCGGCTGCTGATGCGGCTGAGGTTTGCCGCTGCCCCGAAGGACAAGATCAAAGCGGTCTTCGACGCCACGCCGAGCGTGAAGGATCTGAACGCGGCCTGGTATGCGCAGATGCCCAAGGCTGACGCAGACGCCACTTTCGTGGCTTTCAAGGAGCTGGCGGAGGCAGTGAAGGCCGCTCCAGTGACGCAGGTCGCCCCCGTGGCAGCGCCTTCCATGGATGGGCCCATTGGCATGGCAGCCAAGAAGCTGGCAGATGCCAGCTACCCGATGATCAAGAGCTTGGACTGGGCTGGCACCGGCGTGTTGGACAAGTACGTGGCCAAGACTCCAGCCACCAAAGAGTCCATCGCCGCCTTCCTGGATGCCGGCCTCGCGATGGACCCCAAGCTGATTCAGGGCGCTACGCAAGCACACCTGGATGCGCTCAAGGAGGTGGACGGCAAGCTGGTGACATCCCTCAAGGGCCACGAGGAGGTCACAGTCGCGATTGCGAAGCTCATCGCTTCGGCCCCGCCTGCCACGATCAAGAAGGTCTTCGACACCGTTCCCAACATTCAGGGCTTGAATGCGGACTGGTTCGCCACCATGCCAATGACCGATGCCATCAAGTCCTACCAGGCCTTCCTCGAGACAGCCACAGCAGTTGCGGCGGCCAAGCGCTAGGCCCGCTAGCCGCTGAGACAAGGAAATCTGTTTACCTGTATAGTCTTGACGCTAGAACAAGCGCTTTAATGCCTTTTTTAATGCCTTTTTTGACAATTTTTGTTCAGTTGACTATCTTGACGTAGGACCTCGTCGCCTACAAGTGGTTTTCAGAGGTTGTGTGTTGTCGTATCTTGGCAGTGTCTTTCCGGGCAGAAGAAAAGATGCCAGCAGTGCTAGTAGGGAGGGTTGGGAGGTTGAAGCAGGACGTTTTCTGTGCAGCTCATGTCGTGCAGATTTTAAGCTGCGTGTGGCGTAGATCCCCGGGCGCTCTGGAGGCTTTTTGTTGCAATGGCTCGATCCGGCCGTGTCCTTTGCCTCGTGGCGGCGGTTGCCGCGGTGCTGCACGCCTCGTGGACCTTTGTTCCTGGCCCGCTGCGGCGCCAGGCCGTTCCCTTGGCGGCCTCTGCAGCCGTCCTTGCGCCCCTCCCCGCCTTCGCGGATGGTGTGGACGCCGCGGCGAAGAAGCTTGCAGACGCCAGCTACCCCATGGTGAAGGCGGTTGACTGGGCCACCACCGACGTGCTGGACAAGTACATGGCCAAGGTGCCCACCACGAAGGAGTTCAGCAAGGCAATCCTCGACCTGAGCGTGTCTCTGGACCCCAAGCTTGTCAAGGATGCTGTCGCTGCCCACAAGAAGGCAGTGGATGCCATGGGCCCCGACTTTGTCACGCCGCTGAAGAACCACGAGGAAGTGACCGTGGCGCTGGCCAAGATGTTGCTAGCTCTGAGTTAGGAAGCTGATTGAAAGGTATGTTGAGATTCCGTGCTCAGGAACTGCAGGCAATCCAAACTTTCTCTTTGAGCCAGAATCTAGAGTTCTTGTAGGTTGTTGGCTTTGCTGATGCGGCTGAGGTTTGCCGCTGCCCCGAAGGACAAGATCAAAGCGGTCTTCGACGCCACGCCGAGCGTGAAGGATCTGAACGCGGCCTGGTATGCGCAGATGCCCAAGGCTGACGCAGACGCCACTTTCGTGGCTTTCAAGGAGCTGGCGGAGGCAGTGAAGGCCGCTCCAGTGACGCAGGTCGCCCCCGTGGCAGCGCCTTCCATGGATGGGCCCATTGGCATGGCAGCCAAGAAGCTGGCAGATGCCAGCTACCCGATGATCAAGAGCTTGGACTGGGCTGGCACCGGCGTGTTGGACAAGTACGTGGCCAAGACTCCAGCCACCAAAGAGTCCATCGCCGCCTTCCTGGATGCCGGCCTCGCGATGGACCCCAAGCTGATTCAGGGCGCTACGCAAGCACACCTGGATGCGCTCAAGGAGGTGGACGGCAAGCTGGTGACATCCCTCAAGGGCCACGAGGAGGTCACAGTCGCGATTGCGAAGCTCATCGCTTCGGCCCCGCCTGCCACGATCAAGAAGGTCTTCGACACCGTTCCCAACATTCAGGGCTTGAATGCGGACTGGTTCGCCACCATGCCAATGACCGATGCCATCAAGTCCTACCAGGCCTTCCTCGAGACAGCCACAGCAGTTGCGGCGGCCAAGCGCTAGGCCCGCTAGCCGCTGAGACAAGGAAATCTGTTTACCTGTATAGTCCTGACGCTAGAACAAGCGCTTTAATGCCTTTTTTGACAATTTTTGTTCAGTTGACTATCTTGACCGTAGGACCTCGTCGCCTACAAGTGGTTTTCAGAGGTTGTGTGTTGTCGTATCTTGGCAGTGTCTTTCCGGGCAGAAGAAAAGATGCCACAGCAGTGGTAGTAGGGAGGGTTGGGAGGTTGACGCAGGACGTTTTCTGTGCAGCTCGTGTTGCGCAGATTTTAAGCTGCGTGTGGCGTAGATCCCCGGGTGCTCTGGAGGCTTTTTGTTGCAATGGCTCGATCCGGCCGTGTCCTTTGCCTCGTGGCGGCGGTTGCCGCAGTGCTGCACGCCTCGTGGACCTTTGTTCCTGGCCCGCTGCGGCGCCAGGCCGTTCCCTTGGCGGCCTCTGCAGCCGTCCTTGCGCCCCTCCCCGCCTTCGCGGATGGTGTGGACACCGCGGCGAAGAAGCTTGCAGACGCCAGCTACCCCATGGTGAAGGCGGTTGACTGGGCCACCACCGACGTGCTGGACAAGTACATGGCCAAGGTGCCCACCACGAAGGAGTTCAGCAAGGCAATCCTCGACCTGAGCGTGTCTCTGGACCCCAAGCTTGTCAAGGATGCTGTCGCTGCCCACAAGAAGGCAGTGGATGCCATGGGCCCCGACTTTGTCACGCCGCTGAAGAACCACGAGGAAGTGACCGTGGCGCTGGCCAAGATGTTGCTAGCTCTGAGTTAGGAAGCTGATTGAAAGGTATGTTGAGATTCCGTTGCTCAGGAACTGCAGGCAATCCAAACTTTCTCTTTGAGCCAGAATCTAGAGTTCTTGTAGGTTGTTGGCTTTGCTGATGCGGTGCTGATGCGGCTGAGGTTTGCCGCTGCCCCGAAGGACAAGATCAAAGCGGTCTTCGACGCCACGCCGAGCGTGAAGGATCTGAACGCGGCCTGGTATGCGCAGATGCCCAAGGCTGACGCAGACGCCACTTTCGTGGCTTTCAAGGAGCTGGCGGAGGCAGTGAAGGCCGCTCCAGTGACGCAGGTCGCCCCCGTGGCAGCGCCTTCCATGGATGGGCCCATTGGCATGGCAGCCAAGAAGCTGGCAGATGCCAGCTACCCGATGATCAAGAGCTTGGACTGGGCTGGCACCGGCGTGTTGGACAAGTACGTGGCCAAGACTCCAGCCACCAAAGAGTCCATCGCCGCCTTCCTGGATGCCGGCCTCGCGATGGACCCCAAGCTGATTCAGGGCGCTACGCAAGCACACCTGGATGCGCTCAAGGAGGTGGACGGCAAGCTGGTGACGTCCCTCAAGGGCCACGAGGAGGTCACAGTCGCGATTGCGAAGCTCATCGCTTCGGCCCCGCCTGCCACGATCAAGAAGGTCTTCGACACCGTTCCCAACATTCAGGGCTTGAATGCGGACTGGTTCGCCACCATGCCAATGACCGATGCCATCAAGTCCTACCAGGCCTTCCTCGAGACAGCCACAGCAGTTGCGGCGGCCAAGCGCTAGGCCCGCTAGCCGCTGAGACAAGGAAATCTGTTTACCTGTATAGTCCTGACGCTAGAACAAGCGCTTTAATGCCTTTTTTGACAATTTTTGTTCAGTTGACTATCTTGACCGTAGGACCTCGTCGCCTACAAGCTGTTTTCAGAGGTTGTGTGTTGTCGTATCTTGGCAGTGTCTTTCCGGGCAGAAGAAAAGATGCCACAGCAGTGGTAGTAGGGAGGGTTGGGAGGTTGACGCAGGACGTTTTCTGTGCAGCTCGTGTTGCGCAGATTTTAAGCTGCGTGTGGCGTAGATCCCCGGGTGCTCTGGAGGCTTTTTGTTGCAATGGCTCGATCCGGCCGTGTCCTTTGCCTCGTGGCGGCGGTTGCCGCAGTGCTGCACGCCTCGTGGACCTTTGTTCCTGGCCCGCTGCGGCGCCAGGCCGTTCCCTTGGCGGCCTCTGCAGCCGTCCTTGCGCCCCTCCCCGCCTTCGCGGATGGTGTGGACACCGCGGCGAAGAAGCTTGCAGACGCCAGCTACCCCATGGTGAAGGCGGTTGACTGGGCCACCACCGACGTGCTGGACAAGTACATGGCCAAGGTGCCCACCACGAAGGAGTTCAGCAAGGCAATCCTCGACCTGAGCGTGTCTCTGGACCCCAAGCTTGTCAAGGATGCTGTCGCTGCCCACAAGAAGGCAGTGGATGCCATGGGCCCCGACTTTGTCACGCCGCTGAAGAACCACGAGGAAGTGACCGTGGCGCTGGCCAAGATGTTGCTAGCTCTGAGTTAGGAAGCTGATTGAAAGGTATGTTGAGATTCCGGTGCTCAGGAACTGCAGGCAATCCAAACTTTCTCTTTGAGCCAGAATCTAGAGTTCTTGTAGGTTGTTGGCTTTGCTGATGCGGCTGCTGATGCGGCTGAGGTTTGCCGCTGCCCCGAAGGACAAGATCAAAGCGGTCTTCGACGCCACGCCGAGCGTGAAGGATCTGAACGCGGCCTGGTATGCGCAGATGCCCAAGGCTGACGCAGACGCCACTTTCGTGGCTTTCAAGGAGCTGGCGGAGGCAGTGAAGGCCGCTCCAGTGACGCAGGTCGCCCCCGTGGCAGCGCCTTCCATGGATGGGCCCATTGGCATGGCAGCCAAGAAGCTGGCAGATGCCAGCTACCCGATGATCAAGAGCTTGGACTGGGCTGGCACCGGCGTGTTGGACAAGTACGTGGCCAAGACTCCAGCCACCAAAGAGTCCATCGCCGCCTTCCTGGATGCCGGCCTCGCGATGGACCCCAAGCTGATTCAGGGCGCTACGCAAGCACACCTGGATGCGCTCAAGGAGGTGGACGGCAAGCTGGTGACGTCCCTCAAGGGCCACGAGGAGGTCACAGTCGCGATTGCGAAGCTCATCGCTTCTGCCCCGCCTGCCACGATCAAGAAGGTCTTCGACACCGTTCCCAACATTCAGGGCTTGAATGCGGACTGGTTCGCCACCATGCCAATGACCGATGCCATCAAGTCCTACCAGGCCTTCCTCGAGACAGCCACAGCAGTTGCGGCGGCCAAGCGCTAGGCCCGCTAGCCGCTGAGACAAGGAATATCTGTTTACCTGTATAGTCCTGACGCTAGAACAAGCGCTTTAACACCTTTTTTGACAATTTTGTTCAGTTGACTATCTTGACCGTAGGACCTCGTCGCCTACAAGTGGTTGCGAGAGGTTGTGTGTTGTCGTATCTTGGCAGTGTCTTTCGCGACAGACGAAATGATGCCACAGCAGTGGTAGTAGGGAGGGTTGGGAGGTTGACGCAGGACGTTTTTCTGTGCAGCTCGTGTTGCGCAGTTTTTAAGCTGCGTGTGGCGTAGATCCCCGGGCGCTCTGGAGGCTTTTCGTTGCAATGGCTCGATCCGGCCGTGTCCTTTGCCTCGTGGCGGCGGTTGCCGCGGTGCTGCACGCCTCGTGGACCTTTGTGCCTGGCCCGCTGCGGCGCCAGGCCGTTCCCTTGGCGGCCTCTGCAGCCGTCCTTGCGCCTCTCCCCGCCTTCGCGGATGGTGTGGATGCCGCGGCGAAGAAGCTTGCAGACGCCAGCTACCCCATGGTGAAGGCGGTTGACTGGGCCACCACCGACGTGCTGGACAAGTACATGGCCAAGGTGCCCACCACGAAGGAGTTCAGCAAGGCAATCCTCGACCTGAGCGTGTCTCTGGACCCCAAGCTTGTCAAGGATGCTGTCGCGGCCCACAAGAAGGCAGTGGATGCCATGGGCCCCGACTTTGTCACGCCGCTGAAGAACCACGAGGAAGTGACCGTGGCGCTGGCCAAGATGTTGCTAGCTCTGAGTTGAGAAGCTGATTGAAAGGTATGTTGAGATTCCGTTGCTCAGGAATTGCAGGCAATCCAAACTTTCTCTTTGAGCCAGAATCTAGAGTTCTTGTAGGTTGTTGGCTTTGCTGATGCGGTTGCTGATGCGGCTGAGGTTTGCCGCTGCCCCGAAGGACAAGATCAAAGCGGTCTTCGACGCCACGCCGAGCGTGAAGGATCTGAACGCGGCCTGGTATGCGCAGATGCCCAAGGCTGACGCAGACGCCACTTTCGTGGCTTTCAAGGAGCTGGCGGAGGCAGTGAAGGCCGCTCCAGTGACGCAGGTCGCCCCCGTGGCAGCGCCTTCCATGGATGGGCCCATTGGCATGGCAGCCAAGAAGCTGGCAGATGCCAGCTACCCGATGATCAAGAGCTTGGACTGGGCTGGCACCGGCGTGTTGGACAAGTACGTGGCCAAGACTCCAGCCACCAAAGAGTCCATCGCCGCCTTCCTGGATGCCGGCCTCGCGATGGACCCCAAGCTGATTCAGGGCGCTACGCAAGCACACCTGGATGCGCTCAAGGAGGTGGACGGCAAGCTGGTGACGTCCCTCAAGGGCCACGAGGAGGTCACAGTCGCGATTGCGAAGCTCATCGCTTCTGCCCCGCCTGCCACGATCAAGAAGGTCTTCGACACCGTTCCCAACATTCAGGGCTTGAATGCGGACTGGTTCGCCACCATGCCAATGACCGATGCCATCAAATCCTACCAGGCCTTCCTCGAGACAGCCACAGCAGTTGCGGCGGCCAAGCGCTAGGCCCGCTAGCCGCTGAGACAAGGAATATCTGCTTACCTGTATAGTCCTGACGCTAGAACAAGCGCTTTAACACCTTTTTTGACAACTTTTGTTCAGTAGACTATCTTGACAGAGGTTGTGTGTTGTCGTATCTTGGCAGTGTCTTTCCGGGCAGAAGAAAAGATGCCAGTAGTTGTAGTAGGGAGGGTTGGGAGGTTTACGCAGGACGTTTTCTGTGCAGCTCGTGTTGCGCAGATTTTAAGCTGCGTGTGGCGTAGATCCCCGGGCGCTCTGGAGGCTTTTTGTTGCAATGGCTCGATCCGGCCGTGTCCTTTGCCTCGTGGCGGCGGTTGCCGCGGTGCTGCACGCGCCCCTTCCTCGGCAGAGGGGGGGTCCGGTTGCGGCTGCGCTTGAACTGCAGCCGAAACCCTGGCTGCATGGGGCAAGCCTTGCTTGGCAGCTCGATCGGCCTCCTTCCGGGCGAGGAGCTGCACGACACTGACCTTTTGCGGGGGAGGCTTCTTGTGCTCAAGCTCCAGCTGGTGCATTTCTCGCAAGATTTCCCCCATCCGCTCGTGGCTCCCAAAAAGGTTGCAAATCACCTGGAAGTCCTTCTCAGTGCGCCCCTTCTGAACGAAGGCTTCGGACAGTTTCTGCAGCAGCATCTTCGGTTTCTCCTGGAGCTGGTCACTCTTGAGCTGGTCGTATTTGCGCTTCAGGTCCTGGGTGTTGACTGTGCAAGCTGCTTCTGCAGTGGTGCTCATATCCATGGGCGGCTTTGCTTGCGCCACCAGCTGTAGTTGGTCTTGGTCGGCAAAGCTTACCTTCTCAAAGCCTGCGCCCTTTCCTGGACAATCCTTGGAGAGATAACTCTCGCATGCCAGAAACAGGCGACCTTTGAAACCTCGCCGAAAGACACAGCCTCGCCCACAGGTGTTACATTTGATGTCTTCAGGGCCGGATGTGTTTCGCTTCGCCATTTTCTGGGCCTTCTCCGTGGACAAGTACATGGCCAAGGCGCCCACCACGAAGGAGTTCAGCAAGGCAATCCTCGACCTGAGCGTGTCTCTGGACCCCAAGCTTGTCAAGGATGCTGTCGCGGCCCACAAGAAGGCAGTGGATGCCATGGGCCCCGACTTTGTCACGCCGCTGAAGAACCATGAGGAAGTGACCGTGGCGCTGGCCAAGATGTTGCTAGCTCTGAGTTGAGAAGCTGATTGAAAGGTATGTTGAGATTCCGGTGCTCAGGAACTGCAGGCAATCCAAACTTTCTCATTGAGCCAGAATCTAGAGTACTTCTAGGTTGTTCGCTTTGCTGATGCGGCTGAGGTTTGCCGCTGCCCCGAAGGACAAGATCAAAGCGGTCTTCGACGCCACGCCGAGCGTGAAGGATCTGAACGCGGCCTGGTATGCGCAGATGCCCAAGGCTGACGCAGACGCCACTTTCGTGGCTTTCAAGGAGCTGGCGGAGGCAGTGAAGGCCGCTCCAGTGACGCAGGTCGCCCCCGTGGCAGCGCCTTCCATGGATGGGCCCATTGGCATGGCAGCCAAGAAGCTGGCAGATGCCAGCTACCCGATGATTAAGAGCTTGGACTGGGCTGGCACCGGCGTGTTGGACAAGTACGTGGCCAAGACTCCAGCCACCAAAGAGTCCATCGCCGCCTTCCTGGCTGCCGGCCTCGCGATGGACCCCAAGCTGATTCAGGGCGCTACGCAAGCACACCTGGATGCGCTCAAGGAGGTGGACGGCAAGCTGGTGACGTCCCTCAAGGGCCACGAGGAAGTCACAGTCGCGATTGCGAAGCTCATCGCTTCGGCCCCGCCTGCCACGATCAAGAAGGTCTTCGACACCGTTCCCAACATTCAGGGCTTGAATGCGGACTGGTTCGCCACCATGCCAATGACCGATGCCATCAAGTCCTACCAGGCCTTACCTCGAGACAGCCACAGCAGTTGCGGCGGCCAAGCGCTAGGCCCGCTAGCCGCTGAGACGTCACTTTTCCATCAACTGGTCATGCTGAATGCAGGTTGGCGAGATGATTGCCGTCAACGAGGATGCCCTCTCGTCCTTGATACGTAGATTGTTTTGATCGTGCACTCGACATGTTCGCACATTCGACGTTCTTCGAATTCCAGTTGGCCCAAACAGGTCCACACATGTTCGCGTTATCGGTCTTCCCCGATCTGTATTCACCCCTCCTGCTTCCGCCTCTGGGCATTAAGATGTTCTGCGGACCAGTCTGGCAGGAGTCAGCGAAAACGGAGAAGGTGAAGGAGGCAAGCGGCAAGATCGGGCAGATGACATGAATCTGAATCTCACTTTGAGGTGAACTTGGATCCCACGACTGACAAAACGTGCGGTTTACACTGCTTGCAAATGTAAACCCTGGCTCCCACTTCTTTGGCTCTTCTTTGCGCTGTCCGACGCCCTGACGGTGACGGAGCATGCCATATCCGAATCCTAGCCCCTTGCTTGGTCAGGGGTGAATCCAGGTCCAATCCAGGTGTTCTGGTTTTAGAGGTCTGGTGCTTGCAGACTAGAGTCGGTCGCTGAGGACTCGGAAGAGGCCGAATGCTCTCCAAGCCCTTCGCAGCCCCGCTGCTTCTCTACAGGTGGTCGCAGGTGATGAGGCCGTTGCTAGCGAAGCAGCCGGGCAGGCAAATGCCATCAAGAAGGACTGAGTTGGTCGTGTTTGAAGAAATTCAAAGAGGAAATGTTTGCTTGTGGCACTTGAGTTTCAGCATGTACCCTGCAGCTTTTCATCTCCCTTATGCTTGAGCATTACAGTCAAAGACTTACGGCTAGATTTCGAGTGTTTTCTTAATTGCCCTAAACTCTTCTTAAGCCTGGAGAAACTCCAAAAAGCCTGGCTTCAGGAGTGTGAGGCACTTGCTGAAGCTATGCCGTGCACTAAGCGGCTGAACGCAGCAGTTGTTCAGGGCCAGGACACGACCTAGTGCAGAGATAAAAAAGGATGGAACTGATAGATACATTTTACCGTAAATGTCGCCAATAGAAGAGACTTGGGTAGATGCATGCGTGCATGCATGCATGCATTATCTCATTCGTTGTTGATCTTCTGCCGAGTCGCTTCGGCTGCTCGTTTCCCGTGGTGCCACTGCATGAGGACCGTGATGCAATCAATACTTGAACAGTCAGTGAGCTTCCGACATTCCGCTGAGGCCTGCACTGAATGAAGCTCTCAAGGGCTTGGACACATTGCCTCTCGGATGTTCAGGCTTCAGAGCAGTTGAAACTTGGGCTCAGGAGTGGGATGTAGGAGTCATGGGTGGAGCTGCGAGGGCTTCCATGCTCCATCTACAGGATGCCAAATGTTTCTTTCGAGGACCGGGCTAAAGTCTTGCTTTTCAAGCGTTCTGTTCGCCCTTATAGAAGAACTGAGGTCTGGAAAGGAGATCGCCGAAGCGAAGGCGTGAACTTGGGATTTTACAGGCGCCATTGTGGAGCGCACACTTTGAAGGGTCTGGAAATGCGGGGGCGTTTAAGCTTCAAGGCTGCTCACGTTCATTGGAGCTTTGGGGTGTTGGTCGTGCAGGTCGACAACATCAAGCTTAATTCGCTTGCACTGCGAATACTCTCCATCCGGGACCACACCCGAAAGCCCGAACCTCTCAACTCTAAAAGTCCTAAGGCCTCAGCGGCCTCAAGACTCCCGCAAATCGAAAGCCCTGTACTTGAGGCCATGAAGAACCCTGCTGCACCGGTTCGGCTGGTCCTTTCTGCCGTCTGCGTGCATCGCAATGCTGGGGAACCCAGACGGAGTCTCGAGGACTTTGGTTACCACTCCATGGTTGCAGCAGCCTGAGGTCAGGAATTGCCGAGTTTGGCGTTGTTGATGATGGTGGTTATATGATGACGAAGAAGAAGATGAAGATTAAGACTAAGAGCAATAATATGATGATACTTTCCTCAGCACCTGGCTTCCAGAGCCCGTCTAGGTGAAGCCTGTGCGGGTAAAAGACGATGCTGGAAAGATGGCCGGAGCCCATGCGAGGGGATCTGTGGTGTTGCTTAAATCCGCTGTGAAGCCTCGAATGGGCTCTTCAAGAGGCCGCTTCGGAAATGTTGGGAACTTCCGGGCAGTGCAGCACAGTCTCGTTCTTGTCTACTCGACACCATGATGTACCGGGCGAGAATACAGTACGGGTGAAACACCCTGTCCGGCCTGGTTCCCTCCTCTGCTGTTGCCCCTACTGACTGTTCATCTCTTTCTCGCTATCTTTGCTTTCTTTTCCGACTGCGGACTTGATAGTAGCCACAAGACCGCGCTAGTCGACACTTGCCGACCTTTCTGTCCGTCCCTACGCTGCCTGAAAGAAGTCTCACTGAATCTCATTCCACGAGAGGCTTAGAGTTCTATCACCCCAGGCTCCCACCTCCCTCAGGCTCTCCACAGACCCCGATAAGGTGGATGATTTCTGGCTGCAGTCAAGATGATCTCATGGGCTTCCTCCAGTCGCTGCCTTCTCCTCGGCACACAGGCCTGTGGCTCCGGCCTTTAGTCGGGGATGCGGCGCTATAGAAGTGTGTGCATCGTCACTGTACTTATCCTACTCGTACCCTAGATGAACAGAGCTACCTTTGCGACTTAGGCAGTGTTTGTAATGCATCCTTGGCTTCTCCTCCACAGCTCTTCTGCCCTCCGTCCAATGCTTTGCCCGGCAATCAGCCATGCCCATGCACGCGAGGTTCAGAAGGTTTCCACTGCAGCGTGGGGCCTGCCCTGCATGTCTTTCTGTCGAACCATTGTGAAGACACCTGGTATGGAAACCCAGCCCCTGGGTCGGAGTTTCGGACACGTTTGATGTCAGTGCGCTCCAGTCATGGGCAGCTTGCTTTGTCGATGTAGGGTAAGTCGGCGAAGATAGTCACATTCAACCCGTGCTGCAGCTAGCATTCTCTACTCTGCTGTTCTTGAGAAGGTCCTGCAGCATCCCATGATGTGCAGACAGATCTGCTAGGTCTTTGCATGTGGTGTCGGGCCATGGAGACCTACGATCGTGTGGCAAAGGCCGGAGTGTCAACCCAAGAGCCCCTCAGAAAAGCATAAACGATGGAGTAAGTGAGAAGGGGCCGTGCTGAATAGGGTATATATATATATATATAGACATGGAATTTAAAAAACGACCAGACTGACAATAAGTGATGAGAAAGCAGTGTTTATTCCAAGAAATATCGAACCCTTACACGAGTCTTGTTTTGAATGAGTTGGGCCGCATTCGGAGTTGTGGGCGGTTGGAGCAGTCGCCGATCTGGCAGTCATCCGGCATCTATAGCGCAGCTTTTGAGAGTCGATGCCCAGTGCGTCTCCAAGGCCCCAGAACCCGTGGGACGCGGGAATCTCCAGGAAGAGTCCTCCGCCCTCCCATGCATTTTGGAGGTCGCCGCGCCCAAGAAGGAGAGCCTCGCCGAGACCGAGTCCTCTTACAACGCGATGATGGAGAAGTTGAATGCCAAGCGTCCCGACCTCAGAAGGGAGCCTGTGTGATCCAGGGTTTTGCGGCTGTTGAAGGCGATTTCAGTGGAGAAGTGACCGCAGGAGAAGGGGGAGAGTGAGCCACAGTGGAGAAAAACAGTCGGGATGCAGGCGACAGCCCCCCGGATAAGCAGGTGCAGACCTGAAGAAGGTCGTAGATGAACTGGATGCCTTGAACCAGAAGCTGAACTCACTCAGGCGCGTGCTGATTCTGCTGTCAAGCACATTGCTGCGGGCTGTCAAGACTGGAAACGTGTTATTTTGGCTTCGGGTCCTCTTAGAAGCCCGACGTTCTGCATCAGGACCGAGCAAGACAACCTGACTGCTGAAGTGGACAATTGCCAGAAGAAGCTGGAACGAGACCTTCGGTTGAATCAGTTGCAAGCTCTGCAAAGCGCAAGTGCCCTTTAACCTCTATGGTTGGTTCGGAGAAAGTGTGATATCCCGCAAATGAGCCTCTGACCCAGGCAGAGACCCTGATCACGTCCTTGGGCGGCGAAAAGACACGGTGGACGCAGAACGCCATCGACCTGGCAGCTGGGAGCCCAGTGGATGCCATGGGCCCCGACTTTGTCACGCCGCTGAAGAACCATGAGGAAGTGACTGTGGCGCTGGCCAAGATGTTGCTAGCTCTGAGTTGAGAAGCTGATTGAAAGGTATGTTGAGATTCCGGTGCTCAGGAACTGCAGGCAATCCAAACTTTCTCTTTGAGCCAGAGTCTAGAGTTCTAGTAGGTTGTAGGTTGTTGGCTTTGCTGATGCGGTTGCTGATGCGGCTGAGGTTTGCGGCTGCTCCGAAGGACAAGATCAAAGCGGTCTTCGACGCCACGCCGAGCGTGAAGGATCTGAACGCGGCCTGGTATACGCAGATGCTCAAGGCTGACGCCGACGCTACTTTCGTGGCTTTCAAGGAGCTGGCGGAGGCAGTGAAGGCCGCTCCAGTGACGCAGGTCGCCCCCGTGGCAGCGCCTTCCATGGATGGGCGCATTGGCATGGCAGCCAAGCAGCTGGCAGATGCCAGCTACCCGATGATCAAGAGCTTGGACTGGGCTGGCACCGGCGTGTTGGACAAGTACGTGACCAAGACTCCAGCCACCAAAGAGTCCATCGCCGCCTTCCTGGATGCCGGCCTCGCGATGGACCCCAAGCTGATTCAGGGCGCTACGCAAGCACACCTGGATGCGCTCAAGGAGGTGGACGGCAAGCTGGTGACGTCCCTCAAGGGCCACGAGGAGGTCACAGTCGCGATTGCGAAGCTCATCGCTTCTGCCCCGCCTGCCACGATCAAGAAGGTCTTCGACACCGTTCCCAACATTCAGGGCTTGAATGCGGACTGGTTCGCCACCATGCCAATGACCGATGCCATCAAGTCCTACCAGGCCTTCCTCGAGACAGCCACAGCAGTTGCGGCGGCCAAGCGCTAGGCCCGCTAGCCGCTGAGACAAGGAAATCTGTTTACCTGCATGTATAGTCCTGACGCTAGAGCAAGCGCTTTAATACTTTTTTGACAACTTTTGTTCAGTTGACTATCTTGACCGTAGGACCTCGTCGCCTACAAGTGGTTGCGAGAGGTTGTGTGTTGTCGTATGTTGGCAGTGTCTTTCCGGGCAGAAGAAAAGATGCCAGCAGTGCTAGTAGGGAGGGTTGGGAGGTTGACGCAGGACGTTTTCTGTGCAGCTCATGTCGTGCAGATTTTAAGCTGCGTGTGGCGTAGATCCCCGGGCGCTCTGGAGGCTTTTTGTTGCAATGGCTCGATCCGGCCGTGTCCTTTGCCTCGTGGCGGCGGTTGCCGCGGTGCTGCACGCCTCGTGGACCTTTGTGCCTGGCCCGCTGCGGCGCCAGGCCGTTCCCTTGGCGGCCTCTGCAGCCGTCCTTGCGCCTCTCCCCGCCTTCGCGGATGGTGTGGATGCCGCGGCGAAGAAGCTTGCAGACGCCAGCTACCCCATGGTGAAGGCGGTTGACTGGGCCACCACCGACGTGCTGGACAAGTACATGGCCAAGGTGCCCACCACGAAGGAGTTCAGCAAGGCAATCCTCGACCTGAGCGTGTCTCTGGACCCCAAGCTTGTCAAGGATGCTGTCGCGGCCCACAAGAAGGCAGTGGATGCCATGGGCCCCGACTTTGTCACGCCGCTGAAGAACCACGAGGAAGTGACCGTGGCGCTGGCCAAGATGTAGCTAGCTCTGAGTTAGGAAGCTGACTGAAAGGTATGTTGAGATTCCGTTGCTCAGGAATTGCAGGCAATCCAAACTTTCTCTTTGAGCCAGAATCTAGAGTTCTTGTAGGTTGTTGGCTCTGCTGATGCGGCTGAGGTTTGCCGCTGCCCCGAAGGACAAGATCAAAGCGGTCTTCGACGCCACGCCGAGCGTGAAGGATCTGAACGCGGCCTGGTATGCGCAGATGCCCAAGGCTGACGCAGACGCCACTTTCGTGGCTTTCAAGGAGCTGGCGGAGGCAGTGAAGGCCGCTCCAGTGACGCAGGTCGCCCCCGTGGCAGCGCCTTCCATGGATGGGCCCATTGGCATGGCAGCCAAGAAGCTGGCAGATGCCAGCTACCCGATGATCAAGAGCTTGGACTGGGCTGGCACCGGCGTGTTGGACAAGTACGTGGCCAAGACTCCAGCCACCAAAGAGTCCATCGCCGCCTTCCTGGATGCCGGCCTCGCGATGGACCCCAAGCTGATTCAGGGCGCTACGCAAGCACACCTGGATGCGCTCAAGGAGGTGGACGGCAAGCTGGTGACGTCCCTCAAGGGCCACGAGGAGGTCACAGTCGCGATTGCGAAGCTCATCGCTTCTGCCCCGCCTGCCACGATCAAGAAGGTCTTCGACACCGTTCCCAACATTCAGGGCTTGAATGCGGACTGGTTCGCCACCATGCCAATGACCGATGCCATCAAGTCCTACCAGGCCTTCCTCGAGACAGCCACAGCAGTTGCGGCGGCCAAGCGCTAGGCCCGCTAGCCGCTGAGACAAGGAATATCTGCTTACCTGTATAGTCCTGACGCTAGAACAAGCGCATTAACACCTTTTTTGACAACTTTTGTTCAGCTGACTATCTTGACCGTAGGACCTCGTCGCCTACAAGTGGTTGCGAGAGGTTGTGTGTTGTCGTATCTTGGTAGTGCCTTTCCGGGCAGAAGAAAAGATGCCAGCAGTGGTAGTAGGGAGGTTTGGGAGGTTGACGCAGGACGTTTTCTGTGCAGCTCATGTCGTGCAGATTTTAAGCTGCGTGTGGCGTATAGATCCCCGGGCGCTTTGGAGGCTTTTTGTTGCAATGGCTCGATCCCGCCGTGTCCTTTGCCTCGTGGCGGCGGTTGCCGCAGTGCTGCACGCCTCGTGGACCTTTGTGCCTGGCCCGCTGCGGCGCCAGGCCGTTCCCTTGGCGGCCTCTGCAGCCGTCCTTGCGCCTCTCCCCGCCTTCGCGGATGGTGTGGATGCCGCGGCGAAGAAGCTTGCAGACGTCAGCTACCCCATGGTGAAGGCGGTTGACTGGGCCACCACCGACGTGCTGGACAAGTACATGGCCAAGGTGCCCACCACGATGGAGTTCAGCAAGGCAATCCTCGACCTGAGCGTGTCTCTGGACCCCAAGCTTGTCAAGGATGCTGTTGCGGCCCACAAGAAGGCAGTGGATGCCATGGGCCCCGACTTTGTCACGCCGCTGAAGAACCACGAGGAAGTGACCGTGGCGCTGGCCAAGATGTAGCTAGCTCTGAGTTGAGAAGCTGACTGAAAGGTATGTTGAGATTCCGTTGCTCAGGAATTGTAGGCAATCCAAACTTTCTCTTTGAGCCAGAATCTAGAGTTCTTGTAGGTTGTTGGCTTTGCTGATGCGGTTGCTGATGCGGCTGAGGTTTGCCGCTGCCCCGAAGGACAAGATCAAAGCGGTCTTCGACGCCACGCCGAGCGTGAAGGAGCTGAACGCGGCCTGGTATGCGCAGATGCCCAAGGCTGACGCAGACGCCACTTTCGTGGCTTTCAAGGAGCTGGCGGAGGCAGTGAAGGCCGCTCCAGTGGCGCAGGTCGCCCCCGTGGCAGCGCCTTCCATGGATGGGCCCATTGGCATGGCAGCCAAGAAGCTGGCAGATGCCAGCTACCCGATGATCAAGAGCTTGGACTGGGCTGGCACCGGCGTGTTGGACAAGTACGTGGCCAAGACTCCAGCCACCAAAGAGTCCATCGCCGCCTTCCTGGATGCCGGCCTCGCGATGGACCCCAAGCTGATTCAGGGCGCCACGCAAGCACACCTGGATGCGCTCAAGGAGGTGGACGGCAAGCTGGTGACGTCCCTCAAGGGCCACGAGGAGGTCACAGTCGCGATTGCGAAGCTCATCGCTTCTGCCCCGCCTGCCACGATCAAGAAGGTCTTCGACACCGTTCCCAACATTCAGGGCTTGAATGCGGACTGGTTCGCCACCATGCCAATGACCGATGCCATCAAGTCCTACCAGGCCTTCCTCGAGACAGCCACAGCAGTTGCGGCGGCCAAGCGCTAGGCCCGCTAGCCGCTGAGACAAGGAATATCTGTTTACCTGTATAGTCCTGACGCTAGAACAAGCGCTTTAACACCTTTTTTGACAGCTTTTGTTCAGTTGACTATAGTAGTTGACTATCTAGACCGTAGGACCTCGTCGCCTACAAGTGGTTGCGAGAGGTTGTGTGTTGTCGTATCTTGGTAGTGCCTTTCGCGACAGACGAAATGATGCCACAGCAGTGGTAGTAGGGAGGTTGGAGAGTTGAAGGAGGACGTTTTTCTGTGTAGCTCGTGTTGCGCAGTTTTTAAGCTGCGTGTGGCGTAGATCCCCGGGCGCTCTGGAGGCTTTTCGTTGCAATGGCTCGATCCGGCCGTGTCCTTTGCCTCGTGGCGGCGGTTGCCGCGGTGCTGCACGCCTCGTGGACCTTTGTGCCTGGCCCGCTGCGGCGCCAGGCCGTTCCCTTGGCGGCCTCTGCAGCCGTCCTTGCGCCTCTCCCCGCCTTCGCGGATGGTGTGGATGCCGCAGCAAAGAAGCTTGCCGACGCCAGCTACCCCATGGTGAAGGCGGTTGACTGGGCCACCACCGACGTGCTGGACAAGTACATGGCCAAGGTGCCCACCACGATGGAGTTCAGCAAGGCAATCCTCGACCTGAGCGTGTCTCTGGACCCCAAGCTTGTCAAGGATGCTGTCGCGGCCCACAAGAAGGCAGTGGATGCCATGGGCCCCGACTTTGTCACGCCGCTGAAGAACCACGAGGAAGTGACCGTGGCGCTGGCCAAGATGTAGCTAGCTCTGAGTTGAGAAGCTGACTGAAAGGTATGTTGAGATTCCGTTGCTCAGGAATTGCAGGCAATCCAAACTTTCTCTTTGAGCCAGAATCTAGAGTTCTTGTAGGTTGTTGGCTTTGCTGATGCGGTTGCTGATGCGGCTGAGGTTTGCCGCTGCCCCGAAGGACAAGATCAAAGCGGTCTTCGACGCCACGCCGAGCGTGAAGGATCTGAACGCGGCCTGGTATGCACAGATGCCCAAGGCTGACGCAGACGCCACTTTCGTGGCTTTCAAGGAGCTGGCGGAGGCAGTGAAGGCCGCTCCAGTGACGCAGGTCGCCCCCGTGGCAGCGCCTTCCATGGATGGGCCCATTGGCATGGCAGCCAAGAAGCTGGCAGATGCCAGCTACCCGATGATCAAGAGCTTGGACTGGGCTGGCACCGGCGTGTTGGACAAGTACGTGGCCAAGACTCCAGCCACCAAAGAGTCCATCGCCGCCTTCCTGGATGCCGGCCTCGCGATGGACCCCAAGCTGATTCAGGGCGCTACGCAAGCACACCTGGATGCGCTCAAGGAGGTGGACGGCAAGCTGGTGACGTCCCTCAAGGGCCACGAGGAGGTCACAGTCGCGATTGCGAAGCTCATCGCTTCGGCCCCGCCTGCCACGATCAAGAAGGTCTTCGACACCGTTCCCAACATTCAGGGCTTGAATGCGGACTGGTTCGCCACCATGCCAATGACCGATGCCATCAAGTCCTACCAGGCCTTCCTCGAGACAGCCACAGCAGTTGCGGCGGCCAAGCGCTAGGCCCGCTAGCCGCTGAGACAAGGAAATCTGTTTACCTGTATAGTCCTGACGCTAGAACAAGCGCTTTAATGCCTTTTTTGACAATTTTTGTTCAGTTGACTATCTTGACCGTAGGACCTCGTCGCCTACAAGCTGTTTTCAGAGGTTGTGTGTTGTCGTATCTTGGCAGTGTCTTTCCGGGCAGAAGAAAAGATGCCACAGCAGTGGTAGTAGGGAGGGTTGGGAGGTTGACGCAGGACGTTTTCTGTGCAGCTCGTGTTGCGCAGATTTTAAGCTGCGTGTGGCGTAGATCCCCGGGCGCTCTGGAGGCTTTTTGTTGCAATGGCTCGATCCGGCCGTGTCCTTTGCCTCGTGGCGGCGGTTGCCGCGGTGCTGCACGCCTCGTGGACCTTTGTGCCTGGCCCGCTGCGGCGCCAGGCCGTTCCCTTGGCGGCCTCTGCAGCCGTCCTTGCGCCCCTCCCCGCCTTCGCGGATGGTGTGGATGCCGCGGCGAAGAAGCTTGCAGACGCCAGCTACCCCATGGTGAAGGCGGTTGACTGGGCCACCACCGACGTGCTGGACAAGTACATGGCCAAGGTGCCCACCACGAAGGAGTTCAGCAAGGCAATCCTCGACCTGAGCGTGTCTCTGGACCCCAAGCTTGTCAAGGATGCTGTCGCTGCCCACAAGAAGGCAGTGGATGCCATGGGCCCCGACTTTGTCACGCCGCTGAAGAACCACGAGGAAGTGACCGTGGCGCTGGCCAAGATGTTGCTAGCTCTGAGTTAGGAAGCTGATTGAAAGGTATGTTGAGATTCCGGTGCTCAGGAACTGCAGGCAATCCAAACTTTCTCTTTGAGCCAGAATCTAGAGTTCTTGTAGGTTGTTGGCTTTGCTGATGCGGCTGCTGATGCGGCTGAGGTTTGCCGCTGCCCCGAAGGACAAGATCAAAGCGGTCTTCGACGCCACGCCGAGCGTGAAGGATCTGAACGCGGCCTGGTATGCGCAGATGCCCAAGGCTGACGCAGACGCCACTTTCGTGGCTTTCAAGGAGCTGGCGGAGGCAGTGAAGGCCGCTCCAGTGACGCAGGTCGCCCCCGTGGCAGCGCCTTCCATGGATGGGCCCATTGGCATGGCAGCCAAGAAGCTGGCAGATGCCAGCTACCCGATGATCAAGAGCTTGGACTGGGCTGGCACCGGCGTGTTGGACAAGTACGTGGCCAAGACTCCAGCCACCAAAGAGTCCATCGCCGCCTTCCTGGATGCCGGCCTCGCGATGGACCCCAAGCTGATTCAGGGCGCTACGCAAGCACACCTGGATGCGCTCAAGGAGGTGGACGGCAAGCTGGTGACATCCCTCAAGGGCCACGAGGAGGTCACAGTCGCGATTGCGAAGCTCATCGCTTCGGCCCCGCCTGCCACGATCAAGAAGGTCTTCGACACCGTTCCCAACATTCAGGGCTTGAATGCGGACTGGTTCGCCACCATGCCAATGACCGATGCCATCAAGTCCTACCAGGCCTTCCTCGAGACAGCCACAGCAGTTGCGGCGGCCAAGCGCTAGGCCCGCTAGCCGCTGAGACAAGGAAATCTGTTTACCTGTATAGTCCTGACGCTAGAACAAGCGCTTTAATGCCTTTTTTGACAATTTTTGTTCAGTTGACTATCTTGACCGTAGGACCTCGTCGCCTACAAGCTGTTTTCAGAGGTTGTGTGTTGTCGTATCTTGGCAGTGTCTTTCCGGGCAGAAGAAAAGATGCCACAGCAGTGGTAGTAGGGAGGGTTGGGAGGTTGACGCAGGACGTTTTCTGTGCAGCTCGTGTTGCGCAGATTTTAAGCTGCGTGTGGCGTAGATCCCCGGGTGCTCTGGAGGCTTTTTGTTGCAATGGCTCGATCCGGCCGTGTCCTTTGCCTCGTGGCGGCGGTTGCCGCAGTGCTGCACGCCTCGTGGACCTTTGTTCCTGGCCCGCTGCGGCGCCAGGCCGTTCCCTTGGCGGCCTCTGCAGCCGTCCTTGCGCCCCTCCCCGCCTTCGCGGATGGTGTGGACGCCGCGGCGAAGAAGCTTGCAGACGCCAGCTACCCCATGGTGAAGGCGGTTGACTGGGCCACCACCGACGTGCTGGACAAGTACATGGCCAAGGTGCCCACCACGAAGGAGTTCAGCAAGGCAATCCTCGACCTGAGCGTGTCTCTGGACCCCAAGCTTGTCAAGGATGCTGTCGCTGCCCACAAGAAGGCAGTGGATGCCATGGGCCCCGACTTTGTCACGCCGCTGAAGAACCACGAGGAAGTGACCGTGGCGCTGGCCAAGATGTTGCTAGCTCTGAGTTGAGAAGCTGATTGAAAGGTATGTTGAGATTCCGATGCTCAGGAACTGCAGGCAATCCAAACTTTCTCTTTGAGCCAGAATCTAGAGTTCTTGTAGGTTGTTGGCTTTGCTGATGCGGCTGAGGTTTGCCGCTGCCCCGAAGGACAAGATCAAAGCGGTCTTCGACGCCACGCCGAGCGTGAAGGATCTGAACGCGGCCTGGTATGCGCAGATGCCCAAGGCTGACGCAGACGCCACTTTCGTGGCTTTCAAGGAGCTGGCGGAGGCAGTGAAGGCCGCTCCAGTGACGCAGGTCGCCCCGGTGGCAGCGCCTTCCATGGATGGGCCCATTGGCATGGCAGCCAAGAAGCTGGCAGATGCCAGCTACCCGATGATCAAGAGCTTGGACTGGGCTGGCACCGGCGTGTTGGACAAGTACGTGGCCAAGACTCCAGCCACCAAAGAGTCCATCGCCGCCTTCCTGGATGCCGGCCTCGCGATGGACCCCAAGCTGATTCAGGGCGCTACGCAAGCACACCTGGATGCGCTCAAGGAGGTGGACGGCAAGCTGGTGACGTCCCTCAAGGGCCACGAGGAGGTCACAGTCGCGATTGCGAAGCTCATCGCTTCGGCCCCGCCTGCCACGATCAAGAAGGTCTTCGACACCGTTCCCAACATTCAGGGCTTGAATGCGGACTGGTTCGCCACCATGCCAATGACCGATGCCATCAAGTCCTACCAGGCCTTCCTCGAGACAGCCACAGCAGTTGCGGCGGCCAAGCGCTAGGCCCGCTAGCCGCTGAGACAAGGAAATCTGTTTACCTGTATAGTCCTGACGCTAGAACAAGCGCTTTAATGCCTTTTTTGACAATTTTTGTTCAGTTGACTATCTTGACCGTAGGACCTCGTCGCCTACAAGCTGTTTTCAGAGGTTGTGTGTTGTCGTATCTTGGCAGTGTCTTTCCGGGCAGAAGAAAAGATGCCACAGCAGTGGTAGTAGGGAGGGTTGGGAGGTTGACGCAGGACGTTTTCTGTGCAGCTCGTGTTGCGCAGATTTTAAGCTGCGTGTGGCGTAGATCCCCGGGTGCTCTGGAGGCTTTTTGTTGCAATGGCTCGATCCGGCCGTGTCCTTTGCCTCGTGGCGGCGGTTGCCGCAGTGCTACACGCCTCGTGGACCTTTGTTCCTGGCCCGCTGCGGCGCCAGGCCGTTCCCTTGGCGGCCTCTGCAGCCGTCCTTGCGCCCCTCCCCGCCTTCGCGGATGGTGTGGACGCCGCGGCGAAGAAGCTTGCAGACGCCAGCTACCCCATGGTGAAGGCGGTTGACTGGGCCACCACCGACGTGCTGGACAAGTACATGGCCAAGGTGCCCACCACGAAGGAATTCAGCAAGGCAATCCTCGACCTGAGCGTGTCTCTGGACCCCAAGCTTGTCAAGGATGCTGTCGCTGCCCACAAGAAGGCAGTGGATGCCATGGGCCCCGACTTTGTCACGCCGCTGAAGAACCACGAGGAAGTGACCGTGGCGCTGGCCAAGATGTTGCTAGCTCTGAGTTAGGAAGCTGATTGAAAGGTATGTTGAGATTCCGGTGCTCAGGAACTGCAGGCAATCCAAACTTTCTCTTTGAGCCAGAATCTAGAGTTCTTGTAGGTTGTTGGCTTTGCTGATGCGGCTGCTGATGCGGCTGAGGTTTGCCGCTGCCCCGAAGGACAAGATCAAAGCGGTCTTCGACGCCACGCCGAGCGTGAAGGATCTGAACGCGGCCTGGTATGCGCAGATGCCCAAGGCTGACGCAGACGCCACTTTCGTGGCTTTCAAGGAGCTGGCGGAGGCAGTGAAGGCCGCTCCAGTGACGCAGGTCGCCCCCGTGGCAGCGCCTTCCATGGATGGGCCCATTGGCATGGCAGCCAAGAAGCTGGCAGATGCCAGCTACCCGATGATCAAGAGCTTGGACTGGGCTGGCACCGGCGTGTTGGACAAGTACGTGGCCAAGACTCCAGCCACCAAAGAGTCCATCGCCGCCTTCCTGGATGCCGGCCTCGCGATGGACCCCAAGCTGATTCAGGGCGCTACGCAAGCACACCTGGATGCGCTCAAGGAGGTGGACGGCAAGCTGGTGACGTCCCTCAAGGGCCACGAGGAGGTCACAGTCGCGATTGCGAAGCTCATCGCTTCTGCCCCGCCTGCCACGATCAAGAAGGTCTTCGACACCGTTCCCAACATTCAGGGCTTGAATGCGGACTGGTTCGCCACCATGCCAATGACCGATGCCATCAAATCCTACCAGGCCTTCCTCGAGACAGCCACAGCAGTTGCGGCGGCCAAGCGCTAGGCCCGCTAGCCGCTGAGACAAGGAATATCTGCTTACCTGTATAGTCCTGACGCTAGAACAAGCGCTTTAACACCTTTTTTGACAACTTTTGTTCAGTAGACTATCTTGACAGAGGTTGTGTGTTGTCGTATCTTGGCAGTGTCTTTCCGGGCAGAAGAAAAGATGCCAGTAGTTGTAGTAGGGAGGGTTGGGAGGTTTACGCAGGACGTTTTCTGTGCAGCTCGTGTTGCGCAGATTTTAAGCTGCGTGTGGCGTAGATCCCCGGGCGCTCTGGAGGCTTTTTGTTGCAATGGCTCGATCCGGCCGTGTCCTTTGCCTCGTGGCGGCGGTTGCCGCGGTGCTGCACGCGCCCCTTCCTCGGCAGAGGGGGGGTCCGGTTGCGGCTGCGCTTGAACTGCAGCCGAAACCCTGGCTGCATGGGGCAAGCCTTGCTTGGCAGCTCGATCGGCCTCCTTCCGGGCGAGGAGCTGCACGACACTGACCTTTTGCGGGGGAGGCTTCTTGTGCTCAAGCTCCAGCTGGTGCATTTCTCGCAAGATTTCCCCCATCCGCTCGTGGCTCCCAAAAAGGTTGCAAATCACCTGGAAGTCCTTCTCAGTGCGCCCCTTCTGAACGAAGGCTTCGGACAGTTTCTGCAGCAGCATCTTCGGTTTCTCCTGGAGCTGGTCACTCTTGAGCTGGTCGTATTTGCGCTTCAGGTCCTGGGTGTTGACTGTGCAAGCTGCTTCTGCAGTGGTGCTCATATCCATGGGCGGCTTTGCTTGCGCCACCAGCTGTAGTTGGTCTTGGTCGGCAAAGCTTACCTTCTCAAAGCCTGCGCCCTTTCCTGGACAATCCTTGGAGAGATAACTCTCGCATGCCAGAAACAGGCGACCTTTGAAACCTCGCCGAAAGACACAGCCTCGCCCACAGGTGTTACATTTGATGTCTTCAGGGCCGGATGTGTTTCGCTTCGCCATTTTCTGGGCCTTCTCCGTGGACAAGTACATGGCCAAGGCGCCCACCACGAAGGAGTTCAGCAAGGCAATCCTCGACCTGAGCGTGTCTCTGGACCCCAAGCTTGTCAAGGATGCTGTCGCGGCCCACAAGAAGGCAGTGGATGCCATGGGCCCCGACTTTGTCACGCCGCTGAAGAACCATGAGGAAGTGACCGTGGCGCTGGCCAAGATGTTGCTAGCTCTGAGTTGAGAAGCTGATTGAAAGGTATGTTGAGATTCCGGTGCTCAGGAACTGCAGGCAATCCAAACTTTCTCATTGAGCCAGAATCTAGAGTACTTCTAGGTTGTTCGCTTTGCTGATGCGGCTGAGGTTTGCCGCTGCCCCGAAGGACAAGATCAAAGCGGTCTTCGACGCCACGCCGAGCGTGAAGGATCTGAACGCGGCCTGGTATGCGCAGATGCCCAAGGCTGACGCAGACGCCACTTTCGTGGCTTTCAAGGAGCTGGCGGAGGCAGTGAAGGCCGCTCCAGTGACGCAGGTCGCCCCCGTGGCAGCGCCTTCCATGGATGGGCCCATTGGCATGGCAGCCAAGAAGCTGGCAGATGCCAGCTACCCGATGATTAAGAGCTTGGACTGGGCTGGCACCGGCGTGTTGGACAAGTACGTGGCCAAGACTCCAGCCACCAAAGAGTCCATCGCCGCCTTCCTGGCTGCCGGCCTCGCGATGGACCCCAAGCTGATTCAGGGCGCTACGCAAGCACACCTGGATGCGCTCAAGGAGGTGGACGGCAAGCTGGTGACGTCCCTCAAGGGCCACGAGGAAGTCACAGTCGCGATTGCGAAGCTCATCGCTTCGGCCCCGCCTGCCACGATCAAGAAGGTCTTCGACACCGTTCCCAACATTCAGGGCTTGAATGCGGACTGGTTCGCCACCATGCCAATGACCGATGCCATCAAGTCCTACCAGGCCTTACCTCGAGACAGCCACAGCAGTTGCGGCGGCCAAGCGCTAGGCCCGCTAGCCGCTGAGACGTCACTTTTCCATCAACTGGTCATGCTGAATGCAGGTTGGCGAGATGATTGCCGTCAACGAGGATGCCCTCTCGTCCTTGATACGTAGATTGTTTTGATCGTGCACTCGACATGTTCGCACATTCGACGTTCTTCGAATTCCAGTTGGCCCAAACAGGTCCACACATGTTCGCGTTATCGGTCTTCCCCGATCTGTATTCACCCCTCCTGCTTCCGCCTCTGGGCATTAAGATGTTCTGCGGACCAGTCTGGCAGGAGTCAGCGAAAACGGAGAAGGTGAAGGAGGCAAGCGGCAAGATCGGGCAGATGACATGAATCTGAATCTCACTTTGAGGTGAACTTGGATCCCACGACTGACAAAACGTGCGGTTTACACTGCTTGCAAATGTAAACCCTGGCTCCCACTTCTTTGGCTCTTCTTTGCGCTGTCCGACGCCCTGACGGTGACGGAGCATGCCATATCCGAATCCTAGCCCCTTGCTTGGTCAGGGGTGAATCCAGGTCCAATCCAGGTGTTCTGGTTTTAGAGGTCTGGTGCTTGCAGACTAGAGTCGGTCGCTGAGGACTCGGAAGAGGCCGAATGCTCTCCAAGCCCTTCGCAGCCCCGCTGCTTCTCTACAGGTGGTCGCAGGTGATGAGGCCGTTGCTAGCGAAGCAGCCGGGCAGGCAAATGCCATCAAGAAGGACTGAGTTGGTCGTGTTTGAAGAAATTCAAAGAGGAAATGTTTGCTTGTGGCACTTGAGTTTCAGCATGTACCCTGCAGCTTTTCATCTCCCTTATGCTTGAGCATTACAGTCAAAGACTTACGGCTAGATTTCGAGTGTTTTCTTAATTGCCCTAAACTCTTCTTAAGCCTGGAGAAACTCCAAAAAGCCTGGCTTCAGGAGTGTGAGGCACTTGCTGAAGCTATGCCGTGCACTAAGCGGCTGAACGCAGCAGTTGTTCAGGGCCAGGACACGACCTAGTGCAGAGATAAAAAAGGATGGAACTGATAGATACATTTTACCGTAAATGTCGCCAATAGAAGAGACTTGGGTAGATGCATGCGTGCATGCATGCATGCATTATCTCATTCGTTGTTGATCTTCTGCCGAGTCGCTTCGGCTGCTCGTTTCCCGTGGTGCCACTGCATGAGGACCGTGATGCAATCAATACTTGAACAGTCAGTGAGCTTCCGACATTCCGCTGAGGCCTGCACTGAATGAAGCTCTCAAGGGCTTGGACACATTGCCTCTCGGATGTTCAGGCTTCAGAGCAGTTGAAACTTGGGCTCAGGAGTGGGATGTAGGAGTCATGGGTGGAGCTGCGAGGGCTTCCATGCTCCATCTACAGGATGCCAAATGTTTCTTTCGAGGACCGGGCTAAAGTCTTGCTTTTCAAGCGTTCTGTTCGCCCTTATAGAAGAACTGAGGTCTGGAAAGGAGATCGCCGAAGCGAAGGCGTGAACTTGGGATTTTACAGGCGCCATTGTGGAGCGCACACTTTGAAGGGTCTGGAAATGCGGGGGCGTTTAAGCTTCAAGGCTGCTCACGTTCATTGGAGCTTTGGGGTGTTGGTCGTGCAGGTCGACAACATCAAGCTTAATTCGCTTGCACTGCGAATACTCTCCATCCGGGACCACACCCGAAAGCCCGAACCTCTCAACTCTAAAAGTCCTAAGGCCTCAGCGGCCTCAAGACTCCCGCAAATCGAAAGCCCTGTACTTGAGGCCATGAAGAACCCTGCTGCACCGGTTCGGCTGGTCCTTTCTGCCGTCTGCGTGCATCGCAATGCTGGGGAACCCAGACGGAGTCTCGAGGACTTTGGTTACCACTCCATGGTTGCAGCAGCCTGAGGTCAGGAATTGCCGAGTTTGGCGTTGTTGATGATGGTGGTTATATGATGACGAAGAAGAAGATGAAGATTAAGACTAAGAGCAATAATATGATGATACTTTCCTCAGCACCTGGCTTCCAGAGCCCGTCTAGGTGAAGCCTGTGCGGGTAAAAGACGATGCTGGAAAGATGGCCGGAGCCCATGCGAGGGGATCTGTGGTGTTGCTTAAATCCGCTGTGAAGCCTCGAATGGGCTCTTCAAGAGGCCGCTTCGGAAATGTTGGGAACTTCCGGGCAGTGCAGCACAGTCTCGTTCTTGTCTACTCGACACCATGATGTACCGGGCGAGAATACAGTACGGGTGAAACACCCTGTCCGGCCTGGTTCCCTCCTCTGCTGTTGCCCCTACTGACTGTTCATCTCTTTCTCGCTATCTTTGCTTTCTTTTCCGACTGCGGACTTGATAGTAGCCACAAGACCGCGCTAGTCGACACTTGCCGACCTTTCTGTCCGTCCCTACGCTGCCTGAAAGAAGTCTCACTGAATCTCATTCCACGAGAGGCTTAGAGTTCTATCACCCCAGGCTCCCACCTCCCTCAGGCTCTCCACAGACCCCGATAAGGTGGATGATTTCTGGCTGCAGTCAAGATGATCTCATGGGCTTCCTCCAGTCGCTGCCTTCTCCTCGGCACACAGGCCTGTGGCTCCGGCCTTTAGTCGGGGATGCGGCGCTATAGAAGTGTGTGCATCGTCACTGTACTTATCCTACTCGTACCCTAGATGAACAGAGCTACCTTTGCGACTTAGGCAGTGTTTGTAATGCATCCTTGGCTTCTCCTCCACAGCTCTTCTGCCCTCCGTCCAATGCTTTGCCCGGCAATCAGCCATGCCCATGCACGCGAGGTTCAGAAGGTTTCCACTGCAGCGTGGGGCCTGCCCTGCATGTCTTTCTGTCGAACCATTGTGAAGACACCTGGTATGGAAACCCAGCCCCTGGGTCGGAGTTTCGGACACGTTTGATGTCAGTGCGCTCCAGTCATGGGCAGCTTGCTTTGTCGATGTAGGGTAAGTCGGCGAAGATAGTCACATTCAACCCGTGCTGCAGCTAGCATTCTCTACTCTGCTGTTCTTGAGAAGGTCCTGCAGCATCCCATGATGTGCAGACAGATCTGCTAGGTCTTTGCATGTGGTGTCGGGCCATGGAGACCTACGATCGTGTGGCAAAGGCCGGAGTGTCAACCCAAGAGCCCCTCAGAAAAGCATAAACGATGGAGTAAGTGAGAAGGGGCCGTGCTGAATAGGGTATATATATATATATATAGACATGGAATTTAAAAAACGACCAGACTGACAATAAGTGATGAGAAAGCAGTGTTTATTCCAAGAAATATCGAACCCTTACACGAGTCTTGTTTTGAATGAGTTGGGCCGCATTCGGAGTTGTGGGCGGTTGGAGCAGTCGCCGATCTGGCAGTCATCCGGCATCTATAGCGCAGCTTTTGAGAGTCGATGCCCAGTGCGTCTCCAAGGCCCCAGAACCCGTGGGACGCGGGAATCTCCAGGAAGAGTCCTCCGCCCTCCCATGCATTTTGGAGGTCGCCGCGCCCAAGAAGGAGAGCCTCGCCGAGACCGAGTCCTCTTACAACGCGATGATGGAGAAGTTGAATGCCAAGCGTCCCGACCTCAGAAGGGAGCCTGTGTGATCCAGGGTTTTGCGGCTGTTGAAGGCGATTTCAGTGGAGAAGTGACCGCAGGAGAAGGGGGAGAGTGAGCCACAGTGGAGAAAAACAGTCGGGATGCAGGCGACAGCCCCCCGGATAAGCAGGTGCAGACCTGAAGAAGGTCGTAGATGAACTGGATGCCTTGAACCAGAAGCTGAACTCACTCAGGCGCGTGCTGATTCTGCTGTCAAGCACATTGCTGCGGGCTGTCAAGACTGGAAACGTGTTATTTTGGCTTCGGGTCCTCTTAGAAGCCCGACGTTCTGCATCAGGACCGAGCAAGACAACCTGACTGCTGAAGTGGACAATTGCCAGAAGAAGCTGGAACGAGACCTTCGGTTGAATCAGTTGCAAGCTCTGCAAAGCGCAAGTGCCCTTTAACCTCTATGGTTGGTTCGGAGAAAGTGTGATATCCCGCAAATGAGCCTCTGACCCAGGCAGAGACCCTGATCACGTCCTTGGGCGGCGAAAAGACACGGTGGACGCAGAACGCCATCGACCTGGCAGCTGGGAGCCCAGTGGATGCCATGGGCCCCGACTTTGTCACGCCGCTGAAGAACCATGAGGAAGTGACTGTGGCGCTGGCCAAGATGTTGCTAGCTCTGAGTTGAGAAGCTGATTGAAAGGTATGTTGAGATTCCGGTGCTCAGGAACTGCAGGCAATCCAAACTTTCTCTTTGAGCCAGAGTCTAGAGTTCTAGTAGGTTGTAGGTTGTTGGCTTTGCTGATGCGGTTGCTGATGCGGCTGAGGTTTGCGGCTGCTCCGAAGGACAAGATCAAAGCGGTCTTCGACGCCACGCCGAGCGTGAAGGATCTGAACGCGGCCTGGTATACGCAGATGCTCAAGGCTGACGCCGACGCTACTTTCGTGGCTTTCAAGGAGCTGGCGGAGGCAGTGAAGGCCGCTCCAGTGACGCAGGTCGCCCCCGTGGCAGCGCCTTCCATGGATGGGCGCATTGGCATGGCAGCCAAGCAGCTGGCAGATGCCAGCTACCCGATGATCAAGAGCTTGGACTGGGCTGGCACCGGCGTGTTGGACAAGTACGTGACCAAGACTCCAGCCACCAAAGAGTCCATCGCCGCCTTCCTGGATGCCGGCCTCGCGATGGACCCCAAGCTGATTCAGGGCGCTACGCAAGCACACCTGGATGCGCTCAAGGAGGTGGACGGCAAGCTGGTGACGTCCCTCAAGGGCCACGAGGAGGTCACAGTCGCGATTGCGAAGCTCATCGCTTCTGCCCCGCCTGCCACGATCAAGAAGGTCTTCGACACCGTTCCCAACATTCAGGGCTTGAATGCGGACTGGTTCGCCACCATGCCAATGACCGATGCCATCAAGTCCTACCAGGCCTTCCTCGAGACAGCCACAGCAGTTGCGGCGGCCAAGCGCTAGGCCCGCTAGCCGCTGAGACAAGGAAATCTGTTTACCTGCATGTATAGTCCTGACGCTAGAGCAAGCGCTTTAATACTTTTTTGACAACTTTTGTTCAGTTGACTATCTTGACCGTAGGACCTCGTCGCCTACAAGTGGTTGCGAGAGGTTGTGTGTTGTCGTATGTTGGCAGTGTCTTTCCGGGCAGAAGAAAAGATGCCAGCAGTGCTAGTAGGGAGGGTTGGGAGGTTGACGCAGGACGTTTTCTGTGCAGCTCATGTCGTGCAGATTTTAAGCTGCGTGTGGCGTAGATCCCCGGGCGCTCTGGAGGCTTTTTGTTGCAATGGCTCGATCCGGCCGTGTCCTTTGCCTCGTGGCGGCGGTTGCCGCGGTGCTGCACGCCTCGTGGACCTTTGTGCCTGGCCCGCTGCGGCGCCAGGCCGTTCCCTTGGCGGCCTCTGCAGCCGTCCTTGCGCCTCTCCCCGCCTTCGCGGATGGTGTGGATGCCGCGGCGAAGAAGCTTGCAGACGCCAGCTACCCCATGGTGAAGGCGGTTGACTGGGCCACCACCGACGTGCTGGACAAGTACATGGCCAAGGTGCCCACCACGAAGGAGTTCAGCAAGGCAATCCTCGACCTGAGCGTGTCTCTGGACCCCAAGCTTGTCAAGGATGCTGTCGCGGCCCACAAGAAGGCAGTGGATGCCATGGGCCCCGACTTTGTCACGCCGCTGAAGAACCACGAGGAAGTGACCGTGGCGCTGGCCAAGATGTAGCTAGCTCTGAGTTAGGAAGCTGACTGAAAGGTATGTTGAGATTCCGTTGCTCAGGAATTGCAGGCAATCCAAACTTTCTCTTTGAGCCAGAATCTAGAGTTCTTGTAGGTTGTTGGCTCTGCTGATGCGGCTGAGGTTTGCCGCTGCCCCGAAGGACAAGATCAAAGCGGTCTTCGACGCCACGCCGAGCGTGAAGGATCTGAACGCGGCCTGGTATGCGCAGATGCCCAAGGCTGACGCAGACGCCACTTTCGTGGCTTTCAAGGAGCTGGCGGAGGCAGTGAAGGCCGCTCCAGTGACGCAGGTCGCCCCCGTGGCAGCGCCTTCCATGGATGGGCCCATTGGCATGGCAGCCAAGAAGCTGGCAGATGCCAGCTACCCGATGATCAAGAGCTTGGACTGGGCTGGCACCGGCGTGTTGGACAAGTACGTGGCCAAGACTCCAGCCACCAAAGAGTCCATCGCCGCCTTCCTGGATGCCGGCCTCGCGATGGACCCCAAGCTGATTCAGGGCGCTACGCAAGCACACCTGGATGCGCTCAAGGAGGTGGACGGCAAGCTGGTGACATCCCTCAAGGGCCACGAGGAGGTCACAGTCGCGATTGCGAAGCTCATCGCTTCGGCCCCGCCTGCCACGATCAAGAAGGTCTTCGACACCGTTCCCAACATTCAGGGCTTGAATGCGGACTGGTTCGCCACCATGCCAATGACCGATGCCATCAAGTCCTACCAGGCCTTCCTCGAGACAGCCACAGCAGTTGCGGCGGCCAAGCGCTAGGCCCGCTAGCCGCTGAGACAAGGAATATCTGCTTACCTGTATAGTCCTGACGCTAGAACAAGCGCATTAACACCTTTTTTGACAACTTTTGTTCAGCTGACTATCTTGACCGTAGGACCTCGTCGCCTACAAGTGGTTGCGAGAGGTTGTGTGTTGTCGTATCTTGGTAGTGCCTTTCCGGGCAGAAGAAAAGATGCCAGCAGTGGTAGTAGGGAGGTTTGGGAGGTTGACGCAGGACGTTTTCTGTGCAGCTCATGTCGTGCAGATTTTAAGCTGCGTGTGGCGTATAGATCCCCGGGCGCTTTGGAGGCTTTTTGTTGCAATGGCTCGATCCCGCCGTGTCCTTTGCCTCGTGGCGGCGGTTGCCGCAGTGCTGCACGCCTCGTGGACCTTTGTGCCTGGCCCGCTGCGGCGCCAGGCCGTTCCCTTGGCGGCCTCTGCAGCCGTCCTTGCGCCTCTCCCCGCCTTCGCGGATGGTGTGGATGCCGCGGCGAAGAAGCTTGCAGACGTCAGCTACCCCATGGTGAAGGCGGTTGACTGGGCCACCACCGACGTGCTGGACAAGTACATGGCCAAGGTGCCCACCACGATGGAGTTCAGCAAGGCAATCCTCGACCTGAGCGTGTCTCTGGACCCCAAGCTTGTCAAGGATGCTGTTGCGGCCCACAAGAAGGCAGTGGATGCCATGGGCCCCGACTTTGTCACGCCGCTGAAGAACCACGAGGAAGTGACCGTGGCGCTGGCCAAGATGTAGCTAGCTCTGAGTTGAGAAGCTGACTGAAAGGTATGTTGAGATTCCGTTGCTCAGGAATTGTAGGCAATCCAAACTTTCTCTTTGAGCCAGAATCTAGAGTTCTTGTAGGTTGTTGGCTTTGCTGATGCGGTTGCTGATGCGGCTGAGGTTTGCCGCTGCCCCGAAGGACAAGATCAAAGCGGTCTTCGACGCCACGCCGAGCGTGAAGGAGCTGAACGCGGCCTGGTATGCGCAGATGCCCAAGGCTGACGCAGACGCCACTTTCGTGGCTTTCAAGGAGCTGGCGGAGGCAGTGAAGGCCGCTCCAGTGGCGCAGGTCGCCCCCGTGGCAGCGCCTTCCATGGATGGGCCCATTGGCATGGCAGCCAAGAAGCTGGCAGATGCCAGCTACCCGATGATCAAGAGCTTGGACTGGGCTGGCACCGGCGTGTTGGACAAGTACGTGGCCAAGACTCCAGCCACCAAAGAGTCCATCGCCGCCTTCCTGGATGCCGGCCTCGCGATGGACCCCAAGCTGATTCAGGGCGCCACGCAAGCACACCTGGATGCGCTCAAGGAGGTGGACGGCAAGCTGGTGACGTCCCTCAAGGGCCACGAGGAGGTCACAGTCGCGATTGCGAAGCTCATCGCTTCTGCCCCGCCTGCCACGATCAAGAAGGTCTTCGACACCGTTCCCAACATTCAGGGCTTGAATGCGGACTGGTTCGCCACCATGCCAATGACCGATGCCATCAAGTCCTACCAGGCCTTCCTCGAGACAGCCACAGCAGTTGCGGCGGCCAAGCGCTAGGCCCGCTAGCCGCTGAGACAAGGAATATCTGTTTACCTGTATAGTCCTGACGCTAGAACAAGCGCTTTAACACCTTTTTTGACAGCTTTTGTTCAGTTGACTATAGTAGTTGACTATCTAGACCGTAGGACCTCGTCGCCTACAAGTGGTTGCGAGAGGTTGTGTGTTGTCGTATCTTGGTAGTGCCTTTCGCGACAGACGAAATGATGCCACAGCAGTGGTAGTAGGGAGGTTGGAGAGTTGAAGGAGGACGTTTTTCTGTGTAGCTCGTGTTGCGCAGTTTTTAAGCTGCGTGTGGCGTAGATCCCCGGGCGCTCTGGAGGCTTTTCGTTGCAATGGCTCGATCCGGCCGTGTCCTTTGCCTCGTGGCGGCGGTTGCCGCGGTGCTGCACGCCTCGTGGACCTTTGTGCCTGGCCCGCTGCGGCGCCAGGCCGTTCCCTTGGCGGCCTCTGCAGCCGTCCTTGCGCCTCTCCCCGCCTTCGCGGATGGTGTGGATGCCGCAGCAAAGAAGCTTGCCGACGCCAGCTACCCCATGGTGAAGGCGGTTGACTGGGCCACCACCGACGTGCTGGACAAGTACATGGCCAAGGTGCCCACCACGATGGAGTTCAGCAAGGCAATCCTCGACCTGAGCGTGTCTCTGGACCCCAAGCTTGTCAAGGATGCTGTCGCGGCCCACAAGAAGGCAGTGGATGCCATGGGCCCCGACTTTGTCACGCCGCTGAAGAACCACGAGGAAGTGACCGTGGCGCTGGCCAAGATGTAGCTAGCTCTGAGTTGAGAAGCTGACTGAAAGGTATGTTGAGATTCCGTTGCTCAGGAATTGCAGGCAATCCAAACTTTCTCTTTGAGCCAGAATCTAGAGTTCTTGTAGGTTGTTGGCTTTGCTGATGCGGTTGCTGATGCGGCTGAGGTTTGCCGCTGCCCCGAAGGACAAGATCAAAGCGGTCTTCGACGCCACGCCGAGCGTGAAGGATCTGAACGCGGCCTGGTATGCACAGATGCCCAAGGCTGACGCAGACGCCACTTTCGTGGCTTTCAAGGAGCTGGCGGAGGCAGTGAAGGCCGCTCCAGTGACGCAGGTCGCCCCCGTGGCAGCGCCTTCCATGGATGGGCCCATTGGCATGGCAGCCAAGAAGCTGGCAGATGCCAGCTACCCGATGATCAAGAGCTTGGACTGGGCTGGCACCGGCGTGTTGGACAAGTACGTGGCCAAGACTCCAGCCACCAAAGAGTCCATCGCCGCCTTCCTGGATGCCGGCCTCGCGATGGACCCCAAGCTGATTCAGGGCGCTACGCAAGCACACCTGGATGCGCTCAAGGAGGTGGACGGCAAGCTGGTGACGTCCCTCAAGGGCCACGAGGAGGTCACAGTCGCGATTGCGAAGCTCATCGCTTCGGCCCCGCCTGCCACGATCAAGAAGGTCTTCGACACCGTTCCCAACATTCAGGGGTGGGGCTGGGGCGTGGGGGGGGGGCGGGGTGGGGGTTAGGGGCGTGGTGGGGAAGGGGGTGGGAGGGAGGGGATCAACGGCAGGTGGAGGGTGTGGGAGGTGGGGAGTGTGTCAGGGGGGAGTTGGGTGGCAGGGGGGGGGGGGTGGTAGTGGGAGAAGGGGGGAGGCGGGGAGGGGGGGGGTTGGGCGGTGGGGGGGGGGTGGGGGGGAGGGGTCAGGAGGGGGGGGGGGTGTGAGGGCGGGCGGGTTTTCAGGGGTGTGGGGTGAAGGAAGGGTGGGAGGCAGAGGGAGGAAGTGAAAAACAAGGGCTTGAATGCGGACTTCAACAACACTTATGATGGTTCGCCAACCATGCCAATGAACCGATGCCATCAAGTCCTACCAGGCCTTCCTCGAGACAGCCACAGCAGTTGCGGCGGCCAAGCGCTAGGCCCGCTAGCCGCTGAGACAAGGAAATCTGTTTACCTGCATGTATAGTCCTGACGCTAGAGCAAGCGCTTTAATACTTTTTTGACAACTTTTGTTCAGTTGACTATCTTGACCGTAGGACCTCGTCGCCTACAAGTGGTTGCGAGAGGTTGTGTGTTGTCGTATGTTGGCAGTGTCTTTCCGGGCAGAAGAAAAGATGCCAGCAGTGCTAGTAGGGAGGGTTGGGAGGTTGACGCAGGACGTTTTCTGTGCAGCTCATGTCGTGCAGATTTTAAGCTGCGTGTGGCGTAGATCCCCGGGCGCTCTGGAGGCTTTTTGTTGCAATGGCTCGATCCGGCCGTGTCCTTTGCCTCGTGGCGGCGGTTGCCGCGGTGCTGCACGCCTCGTGGACCTTTGTGCCTGGCCCGCTGCGGCGCCAGGCCGTTCCCTTGGCGGCCTCTGCAGCCGTCCTTGCGCCTCTCCCCGCCTTCGCGGATGGTGTGGATGCCGCGGCGAAGAAGCTTGCAGACGCCAGCTACCCCATGGTGAAGGCGGTTGACTGGGCCACCACCGACGTGCTGGACAAGTACATGGCCAAGGTGCCCACCACGAAGGAGTTCAGCAAGGCAATCCTCGACCTGAGCGTGTCTCTGGACCCCAAGCTTGTCAAGGATGCTGTCGCGGCCCACAAGAAGGCAGTGGATGCCATGGGCCCCGACTTTGTCACGCCGCTGAAGAACCACGAGGAAGTGACCGTGGCGCTGGCCAAGATGTAGCTAGCTCTGAGTTAGGAAGCTGACTGAAAGGTATGTTGAGATTCCGTTGCTCAGGAATTGCAGGCAATCCAAACTTTCTCTTTGAGCCAGAATCTAGAGTTCTTGTAGGTTGTTGGCTCTGCTGATGCGGCTGAGGTTTGCCGCTGCCCCGAAGGACAAGATCAAAGCGGTCTTCGACGCCACGCCGAGCGTGAAGGATCTGAACGCGGCCTGGTATGCGCAGATGCCCAAGGCTGACGCAGACGCCACTTTCGTGGCTTTCAAGGAGCTGGCGGAGGCAGTGAAGGCCGCTCCAGTGACGCAGGTCGCCCCCGTGGCAGCGCCTTCCATGGATGGGCCCATTGGCATGGCAGCCAAGAAGCTGGCAGATGCCAGCTACCCGATGATCAAGAGCTTGGACTGGGCTGGCACCGGCGTGTTGGACAAGTACGTGGCCAAGACTCCAGCCACCAAGGAGTCCATCGCCGCCTTCCTGGATGCCGGCCTCGCGATGGACCCCAAGCTGATTCAGGGCGCTACGCAAGCACACCTGGATGCGCTCAAGGAGGTGGACGGCAAGCTGGTGACGTCCCTCAAGGGCCACGAGGAGGTCACAGTCGCGATTGCGAAGCTCATCGCTTCTGCCCCGCCTGCCACGATCAAGAAGGTCTTCGACACCGTTCCCAACATTCAGGGCTTGAATGCGGACTGGTTCGCCACCATGCCAATGACCGATGCCATCAAGTCCTACCAGGCCTTCCTCGAGACAGCCACAGCAGTTGCGGCGGCCAAGCGCTAGGCCCGCTAGCCGCTGAGACAAGGAATATCTGTTTACCTG